TCGAATTTCAGCAGATCCGCAATGTCGGGCGAAATGGGTTTCGATTGGATTTGACAAACGTATGCAAAGTGTGCAAGATGTAGCAGCAAAGTGCCGTCAAAGTATTTGGGTTAGACACTCAGTTGTAATCGTATATCGCCCCGGGAAGCTGAAGTGGGTGGAGTTTGTCAATATGAAAATTTAAGATCAAACGTCGAGAAAAGAATACTTTGACAAAGTAGCAAAGGACCAAAGTGAAATAGAGATGAGATACTGAGCTGAATATTCTTTTTATTTATTTATTTGTGTTTGACATAGGACTTATGTATAAAGCCAACCGAATTTAAATAAAAGACAGAACTAAGTTTATATGGCATTATAATAAGCCATAGAAATTTATCACACACTCGGTATTTATGTGAACGAAATCTGGGCTTACTATGGAAATCCTCTTTTAACTTAATTTTCTTTTATTGTAAATATCCATCCAAATTTAATGAACTGCTCAGTTCGAAAGCCCATTATCTGTTCTTTCAGTTCCTGACAAAGTCACATCGACTCTGTTTTTAAGGAAAGTTATAAACTTGTTGCTCGGGGGAACCTTTTAAGTGAAAACTTTCAGACAAGCTGGCAACACATTCAAATCGAATCGATAGCCCCACGCCCCTTTGCACATATTAATTAAAGTTTGTTAATGCATTGCCATGGCGAGCGAGTAAAAGTTACAACGAAAATTGAAAACTTTTCTCGCAATTGAAAGTTGTTTAAACATTCATAAGCTTTCCATTTGCCCTTTCCCGCGGGGAGGGTGGACTCGCCCCAGTGCGGTGGCAACTCGTATAAAAGTAACTAAACTAAACGCAACTGGAGCTAAATGGCCCTGTTGCGAAACGGTCAGCACTTAGCTAGTGCCAGGCCAATTATGAGCCAAGTCAAAGGACGAAAAAGGGAGGCGAACGCCTGACTGGCAGCCGGCAATCAATGAAGCCTTCTTGGGGTCCCTTTTTGTCAGTTAAAATTGCTCAATTGAGTGCCAAAAATTTCGAAACCGAAAGCGTGAAATGCCCGCTAACAATGCAGGAGCATTTTGGCCAGCTTAACACCGCCCCGGTCGCATTGTTGCAATGGATGCGGTGCGCTGTGGTGCTTTAATTACTCGAGACGCTCTGGCTCCGGCTCCTTTGTGTATTTGGCCGTCAGGACTCTGTCACGGGGCGCAGGACCTCGCGAACGTGGCAGCAATTAAAGTAAGTGGCGCCATTTTCCTTTCACGCTGCCGTCGCCTTTTCTTTTCGCCGAGAAGTGGTCCATTCTGCCCCGGTCGCCACTCCCTGCAAGCATTAATTTCCGCTGACAAACACCCTCAGCATAGTTTTCACTTTGGTGAGATTTTTCATAATTGCCCCCACCCAAAAGCAAAGTTTTTATTATTTATTTTGCATGTTCTTTAGTATAATTTTGTATAATCATAAAGACTTATCTAATTAATACCACACTTAGCTTCTTAAAAAACCTTAAAAGGCACCAAATGTCAAGTTTCCATTCTGCTTATGACTTCGAAATATCAACTCAAATGTAACTCAAATTTCCATAACCATTTTCCATACTTAACGCATAGGGTAGCTGTGACTTCTATCCTGTATCTTTTTTGTGTCAAGAGCCGGCAGGCATTTGATTAATGAGTTCAACCTTTTTTGCAGCGCTGAAAGCAGTGTCACAATTTATAGGCCAAAAGCTAAGTTTACTCAGGACTTTGTTGCCGAGAAGGTTAAAGTAATCTAAACTTAGGTGAACTTTAAAATTTAATCTGCCTAAAGAAAGATTTAAATAAAATGTGGTCTTGACTAATCCCAAATAATGCTTCAAAATGAAATTGCTTGTATCTTTGTGAATTTAAATCACTTTGATGCCACAACTTTTTGGCACTCACATAATTAGAGACACTTCATTGGCGTTTCCTCTGTGTTTATTTCCTATCAACTTGGAAAAGGAAATATTTAAAAGTAAAAACCAAGTCTGTAATTACTCACAGCAAAACAGACTTCCACAGAGACAAATACGTGTAATTTGGTCGAATAATGTTGTGTAATTTTTGATTTCTGTTGGAAAATTGCCCACCCTGTGGTTGTGCGGTGTGAAAATGCCAGCACGGCAAAACGAATTCGGATTTGAGGACCAAACAACAACAGTGGTAACTACCAGGGAAAACAATGAAAATGGGAAAATAAATTGAAATGAAATGATTTCTCTGTGGCTTCTCCTTCGACACTGGTCCTTGGTCCCTTGGCGGCTTCTAACTGGTCCTTTGGTCCTTTGGTCCTTCGGTGCTTTGCTCCACGTCCTTTGCCTGCGTCTCCGTTTGGCATTTTGATCTTTAAAAATTGCTTTGAACTTTTGACATAAAAAATCGTAGCCGGATAGCGAAAAGCAGAAGCCCCAAGATAAACTTATACGCTCATGGCAGTTGGGGAAAGTTCCTTGGCTTGGATGGGGTTTTCTGGGTTGGTAAATAGTGGTTCAAGCCGAAAAGTTTGCCATATACGAGATGTGTAAACTGTCGAGGCAGCAGCAGCTGTTCTCTGCATGTGTGTGACTGTGAGTTGGCCATAAATTCAATTTCCAAACTGGGGACAAAGCAGGTCAAAACCAGCTCTCATGTTGCACGCTGTGAGAAGTGACTAGATGTCGCGTTTTTTGTCACTTGCAACTGCAACAAAACTAATAATCGAAGAAATTTCATTACCTTTACGTCGACAGCGCACACCTGGCGTATGAGCAATTTTCAGTGTATCACATATTGATTTTCATTTGGGTGGCAGCTTCTATATTTAGGCAGCGAGCAGCTGGGTACCTGGTCGTTTGCAGGAGATTAGGCGCTTGACTCTGGTCAAAACGAATAAATTAATCATATTATATATGTATACTCCATATTCGGAGCTTAGAGCTCATGGAATGGGTAAATTTAATCAGCACTGAGCTTGGCTAAATTAAATTATTGTAGATGCGGCCAGGGCGGAGACAAGTGGCCAATGGAAAATGGCAAATGGTAAATGGTAAATGGCGAGTGGCCCAGGCTAAGTGGCACAAAAGATGGCAAAATTGCTGCCTGGCACGCATTTGAACTTAAGAAATCGCCGCCATCCGACTCCCCTCTCAACGGGTGTCCTTTCTTGGCTGCTGCTTGGCTGGCTCCTTTTCTCCTTTTATTATTTTTGCAAAATATCATGGCCATAATTTCGTTTGGCAAGCAAATGTTTCAGTCGCTCCCGGGAGGGGCAATCGCCCAGCACACTTGAGTCGATGCGGACCGGCAATAGTTTCTTTTTCCCCAGCATCCGTTTCTATTTCTCTTTCGCAGCACGAACGGAGAAAACAATAAATATCAACAGGAGTCCAAGGAAAGCAGCTTTATATATTAGCATTATCAACCAGCAACTGACCAAATACATTTAATAACTTATAATAACTGATAAAAAAAAAACAAATACCTAATCCAACTGAGCGGACCAAAACGCGGAAATTCTTCTAAGCTGTAAAATTTAATGTGAGACTTGTGCTTGTAAACAAAACGGAGACCAAACAGTATCGGTTATACGGATCTAATCTAGGAACATTTATAATTAGAATACCTTTTAAGTGTACATATGACCAGAATGGAATACAAACTTGGTAAAAGCTTTAAATTAGTCAACTAAGAGCAGAAGGGGCAAAACCAATCTCGAATTTTGCTGTCAATTCTCGTGTGTAAAGTGTAACTGAACGTGTAAACTGTAGACTGTGCTAAAAACATATTCAACCTATTTATATAAACTAACCATATACAATATATTATTGTCGAGAAAAAGCATTTAGGCCGGGCAAGCAAAGACCGCTTTCAGGTAACTAACAACTAATACCTAGACCAAACCGCAACACATCAACAATCTTTCCTGGGAGCTTTCCTTGCTGTTCTTTCGTAGTTCTGTCTGTCAGTGTACCATATGCATTTATGTGACTGCTGTGTCTGTGTTAGTGTCCTTGCCTGTGTGTCCATGAGTTCCTAGCACGACATTTAGCCATAAAGCCTGCGAGAGTCCTTCTGCAAGATGAGCAGCAGCAGCTTAGACCAAACGCCCAGTGGCAGCGGCAACGACAACAATAACAATAATAGCCACAACGGCAGCATCAACAACTGCAGCCGTTTTACTAGCATTCGCAACTACAAGTTAGCTAATTGGTTTCCACAAGTAAGTTTGGTTTACCCTTTGATTTCACTCACATCACCATCCATTCGGTTTTCACTTTTCATTTTTATTTGCTCGACAATTTTCCCACCGCACCTGCAGATGGTTTCATTCATGGCAAATCAAATTAAAGTGTTCACTCTTTGGCAACACATACACAATGACACACAAAGTAAAGACCAGCATCCATTGTTGTCGCCGGATGTTGTTGGAAAATACCCTGGAACGAGGTAATGGCTTCCGGTGAAACTATAAACAAAATATCCACTTAATAAAAGCATAGTAAATTCATAATTAGAAAGCAACTTTCACAGTTAAATTTAATGAAATATGTGTACTAACAAAGGCAAAAGTAATAACAGAGACCAACATAATTTGACATTTGAACTGGGAATACCATTATAATTTTGCTGTGGAAAGCTAGATGCAGTCGTACTAAAGTCTTGAATAATAATACTTTTCTCCTAACCTATTTTGGCCCTATTCATTTTTTAGAATATTTAATGTTAGCCTTTAAAAATTAAAAAAAAAAGCTATCTAATATGGAACTAATAAAAGGGCCCTAAGATCTCATTTCATATTTAGGACTCAGAAATGTAAAAACTTTAATGGGTAACTACTGACATATACACAAACTCCGAACAGGGTATTATTATTTCGAAACTAACCTATTTATAACTAACCTATTTTTTACCCAACCATTGTGCAAGCTTAACCAATCCTTCCTCATCATCATCAAACCAATCGTCATCGTACACAGCTCCTTGGCTTGTAGCTCTGCATTGTAGTTGATTTTTTCCATTATATATTTACTGAATACATATATGTAAATGTTTGTATTGGTTCAAGTTCTGCATGTGCCTTGGTTTTTTGCTTTGTGCTGACAGGCCAGACAAAGTCTTGTGCATGGTATAATAAACTCTTAGAATCGGAGGATTTGCTCTGAATGAAGTTTCGACGGTCTATGGCTTCAGTTTGTTGTAGTCGCCTTGCAACCAGCAGATTGTGTACAAAGTCGACTTGGCAATGAGCGCCAGAGTCAGCTTTCGGTCAAAGGTAAACACGTTGAGTAAGACGACCCGCTTGGGATGTAGGGCCAGCTTCAAGGTGAACATGGAGAGCTGAAATCAGAGTTCAAAAAGGAAGTTTATAACACTCGTTTGAGCTAACTTGGCTGGAATGGCCAACAATTTTAAGTGCAATTTTGCTTTCCTCCTTTAAAAACAAGATTTCTTTCATTTAAATATTGCTGTAAAATATTTCTTTATCAGTTTTCAATTCGAGCAAAAATCCCGAAACTATCTTATTACGAGTCCAGTAATTAATTGGAATTAATGTTTAACTATTTAATTTAATTAACCAAATTTCTTGTTGTATTATACTATTAAGCAAAACGATTCAGCTACTAACCAAACGATCCATCCGATTAGTCTCGCGTAGAATGCGCCGTGAGTCCGCCCTAAACGTGCTGAACAGTTCAGCGATGTCTGTTCCAAAGAACAGATTGATAGCATCCAAAATGTAGCTGAGAACCACAAACACTCTCATGCCCAGGCTCAAATCCAAAGACTTTGGGGCAGCTACTATCTGGAATATCTCGTAGCCATAGGTGATCTGGAACCAACTCTTGCAGGCCAAAACGCAGACCGAAACATGTCCGTACTCGTAGTTCAATTGGTCGCAAAGGACTAGAACTTTCGAATAGAGCTTGAGGCAGTGGGTCATCTTGCCCAAGCGATTCCTCTGTCTCGATTTAGTTAAAATCAAAGTCATCTGGTCATTTAACAGCTTATGAATGCGACAAATTTGCCAAATAAAGCAGTAGAATCCAAGGACAGCAGCCAGCAGCATGTTGTAGAGTAGCCAATAAGACCCCACATTCAAATAAAACATTGACGGTAGGAGTCTCTTCAGATAGATGGGATAGAAAAGATGAATCCTTAGTAGGGTTATCATAACGAACAATATTTTCATGTTAAATCGCGTTTTCAGGACCGAACCGCTGGGTTTTCCCGTGAAGTATTTCTGCTCCATTTGTATTAACCCATTGGCCAACTTTCGAAGGCCTTGACTTTTTTGCCAGCAGGACTGCATACAGAAAGCTGTAGTTCCACCCATCGTAAGAATGGTGACACATATCCGCATATTTCCAGCGGAATTGTAGAACATCCGACCCAGAGCCAAAACGCAGAGTACATGGTGGATAAGACAGTATATCCTTAGCTTCCAGGTGCCCCGAAATCCATTCCCCTCTGCGTTAAAGTAGTAAGTGTTCAGTCCGTTGAGGGCCGTAAACTTTGTCAGAAGACTATAGAAATGCGAGTTGGTCGGTCGCATCTTGAAAACTAACAGAATGCAGCTCTTTCATTGGCTGTTTTATAGGCTTCTAGGTCAGGCCAATTAGGCCTGTATTTATAGTTTCGCCATTCATTACAAAGGGGCGATAAATGGGTCAATGGGAAGTCGTTAGTTGGCGTTGAAAAATTGTTCACACATTAGGGATCATTTTACTGGACACGGGTAATCAATTAATGGACATCAATGCTATGGTTTATTCGAAAACGGTTGTCTACTTAAATGACATGAATATGTACTTATTAAAGTGACTAAACACTTTAATTTCAGTTGACACGAAAGTACCGTCCCCATAAGCGTAAAAGATGAAAAGCCAGCGACAGATATACTTTTCAATATGGATAAATCAAATACAGAGTGGAAGCGGCCGAGAAATCCCAATAACGCCACTGACAAAGCCCCTTTGTGTGGCAAACTATAATAAAAGTATGGATGGATAAAGGTCCTGTGGGCACTCTCGAATGTCCCGCCTCCACAACCTCCTGGTGGGCAATCAATACTGCTTTTTAATGAAGAAATAAAAGCGGAATGTCCACTTGTGTTGTTCGGACAGTGTCGTAAAAATTGTCTACATTTTTATTACGTATCTTGGGGTGAAGCAAGTCAGGCCGTGCCAAAGACCGTGAAAAGATTGTATCCTGTCTGCCATTCGTCTGTGGGTCCTTCCCAGTGTGCTCCTTATATATATCTCCCACTCACCAGGCTAATGGTCTCCAGGACCTAGGCACGCACCAGCGCCTAAACGCGTGCTGAGCTGGAAAATATTCTCTTTTGTGGTTGGGAAAACACCAAAGCCACCACCGTTCCAAATTTTTACCAGCGACAAGTGTTTATTTTGGCATTTCGCTGGGGCTTTTTTTCCTTTTTTGCCCGGTCAGCGCTTGACAACGCACTCAACCCGATAGGAAATGCTGGCCAACCTCAATCCCTCGGCAGGGGCGAGTCCTTTGTTGGCCTAATGATTATTGCTTTCCCTTCGCTTTTTTCGGTTCCTGCATCGGCATTGTTCGCCTTTGCGAAAACATCGCATATTGTTCGCCTGCCCTTCGCTTTTTTTACGACGATTTTCAATGGACGTGAAAATACTTTTTGGGGCAGAGCTGTAGCATGTTCTCGACCTGATAGGGATTTTATGTTATTTAAATGATTTGCTAATTTGGGAGAGCTTATGGGTTCCGCACTAAAACGCTTCATAAATAATCCCAATTAGGCCATTCCGCTCTTGAAATTCGACGTGTGTAAACTCTCTGCAAGGAAATAAATATATTAAAAGACAAAGGTGTCACGAAATCATTCATTGTTATGTAATCATTCAGAATTAAATATCACAATTTTCAGGCTGTTAAGCAAATATAGGTTCAGATTATTTTAACGTCTTTGGAAAGGACTCAATTAGCATATCTCCCTGATGGTATAAACTCTCGTTCTTCGAGTTCTTCTGGGTCTTCTAGTTTCTCTGGTCGAAGATAAGTCGATCCCTCTTGAAGTCTCAAACTGTTTAGTTGAGGTTTTAATTTCAGCCACGGTTGTTGCACAAGTTGTTATAGGTGTTGATTTTAGTGGCTTCGGCTTCGGATTGGATTTTAGTTTAGGTTTCAGATTTGGTTCCGGGTTTGGTTTCGGGGTTGGTTTTGGTTTTGGTTTTTTAAGACAATTTTTCTGGCATTCTTTCTTGGAGTATCCATCAATACAATGCAGAGCCTCCTTGCATTTTCCATTTCTAAGGACCCAGAGTGAACGCAGGGGATCGCACATTACTCGATATCTCATAAGAACCACTCCAATAGTACAGTAGTTTACGCCTGAATTCATAAGAGATCGTTGACTTAGAGCCCATTAAAATATGTACCTTACCTGAACGTTTCTTGAGAGATTGCACATTAATTAAAAGAGTAATGATCAAAAACACACCTGCAATGTTTCTCATAGTAACGTTGACTGATTGAAGAACATTCTAATTACTTTTACTAAACCTGTGAAATTGAAATTGGCCATGCTTTTAAATATCATGCAATCGATTGTGAAACAAATATTTCCCTTTTACAAAATTACAATATGAACGGTAATTTGGCATGGGAAACGCAAGGTTTTTGTTATTTTGTTTTTCCTTTATTAGGTTTTAGATCCCTGATCCCTGTTTGTTTGTTAAGGCCAAGGAATTATTTATTGTCGGACTTAATTTTAATTTGCCGCTTCATGTTGATGGGTAAATGGGCAGTGTAGAACGCCATTAGTACAAATAGGGGCTTTACCACACAAAAACGACTGACGATAAACTGCCATTTATGAAGAGAAACTTACCTTCGCTTTTCTTATTTTTCTCCCCGTGTCCTCTTTTTCCATATTCTCTGCCATTTCCTTTGAGTTTCATAATTCTTGGTTATAATAAATGTAGGGGATTATACGTTCAGCTGGGCATTGGTTTTGTTTTAAATTATTCTTCAAAGAGAATGTATAACAGACACTGGATTAGTACAATTAATGTAAGTGAAATAGTTGGTGTGAAAATGGTATAGCGGGCTTAAATTGTTTCAAATATTTGAAAAGAAAATAGTTTCTATTTCGCGTACCATTTTCTAACTAGTTTAATGTTTAGTTTGTTTTTTAAACCCAGATTAAGCTGTTAAGGCTAATTTTAATCCAGACATTTTCTAATCATATGCTAGAGTAATTTCTTATAAACAAATTAATTTTAAAAATATAAAATTAAAATTTTAAAAATATAAATACAAATATTCTATCTAGAAAGTTATGAAATTTTTAGATTTTGAGTACTGGCTTTAAGCACATACTGAGATTTAGAGATCTAAGAAGTGATTTTTTAAACATATACCCATTAAATTAGCCAAACCAAACGTTCTACCAGGACTAGCTAATGATGGTGCAGAGTGTTCGTTTTTGTATTCCAGTTCATCGCAACTTCCAATGCCCTGGCCCACATCTCCCTCTTATTTTCTTTTGGCTTTTATAATTAAGTTTCGGGTACGCAATCATTTAGAGTGTTTGGAGTATTGGCGCAGACGACGCGACAATGTCTTCAGACCAAAACAAATTTATGCAAATTTCGATTAATTTATTTTTGACACAAGCGGGAGCTCTCACTTCGCCAGGCTCATTAAGGAGGGAATTCGCTGGCTAATTGAACGGAAATCTCGAGCTGATTACAAGAGAATCGGTTGATTCCCGGCAAATATATTTGCAAAACAGCTGATTGCAGCCGATCAATCAATCAATTTGTGAAACCAAATTTGCCTTTGGCCTTGTGCATAAGAAATATCACAGTAATGAGAGCAGCAGCTTTAAATTCCTTGGAAATCTGGCTTACCCACAGAACTTCCGCCATTTCCTGCCTTTTCCGAGGACATTGTGTAGCATTTTCGAAGGGACATCTCGCCCAGAATGCGGTTCATATTTCAATTTCCGGAATGGAAGTAGCATTTCAGCTTTTTAGCTTTGAATCCTCCGTTTGCGGACAGTTGCCAGTTTGTTGCTGCCTTCTGTCCGTTCTAAAGTTTTTCTCATTTTTGTGAAAAATTCCATTGGACTTGAAATTTGATTGATACTACGGAAGTTGGTTTGTGCCCTCGGGCGTATGGCTCTCTATTTGATTTAGTTTTGCGATTTTAGTTTGTTTTTGTAATCTTGGGGTTGCTGGGATTAAGTGTGGTGTTTTTCCTCAAGCTGTGCTGTGCTTAATAACTAATTTATTGTTTCATTTATTTTCTGAACCATCTACTGCTTATTTTGGGCTTTTGTTAGCTTTTGAGATTAAATGCGTTTTTCTTTTATTTTACTAAGAACTGCACCTTTTCATCAAATAGCTTGCATTTTAAATAGCAGCAAAAGTTTATTAAGCCCTAGAACACAGAAAAACTGTATTATTCATGATTTCTCTTTTTTAATTTCACTACAAAATTTACGATGAATTTATTTATGCTTTTCTTGCTGTTGGTGTTTATGTTGTGCACTTATTTAAAGTACAGAAAGCTCCCTAAAAAACCTACACTCAAAACTCACTTCAGAAAAAAACAATTCACAAATCTATCTGTACATTCACTGTGCTTTTACCATATGCTTTACAATAACTCATGCTTTTGATGACAATGAAACCTGAAATCAACCAAAATAAAATGCTTACCAAAATTATGAAAACTGTATGTGAAAAAACCAAACAATTAAAACTCTCGAAAGCAATAATCGAAACATTGTGCACAATAACGCTGCGAAATTCAACGGAAAATCAACCCGCTAAAAAAACAAATATTGAAACTGCAATCGAAATTATTTCTGCAACCGACTCGTCATAACATCCGCCACCCACCCACAACCAACCAACCAACCAACCACCCACCCGCAGAATGTCAATGTTCTTCTTTCGATTGCATAACCTGCAGCGCGCCGAGGAGACGAAGCGCAAGAAGCGCGTGGAGCAGCAGCGGCAGCAGCAGCGCCAGCGGCGGGGGGCCAAGGTCTTCAAGTGTGTCAGCGACTCCACCGGCCACCTGACCCTGGCCCCCTCGCGCCTCTTCGAGCGCACGCCCATGAGTCCGTCGGACAGTCTGGACGAGATCGCGCTGCAGATCCCCAGGTGAGTGGGCCCCAAGCGGTCCCGTTGCCCGAATATTTGAGTGTTAAAATAAATGTGAGGTATTTACAAATTAAAAAAAGGAACCCGACCCGATTGCAAAATATTAAAAAAGCATTGTTATTCGAACCGTCGCTTATAACAAAAACAATCAATCGCTGCACAGTGGGCCAGCGGTCCCGAATTAAAAATGTTTTTTGAGAAAGTAATGACATGTTTATAAGTTTATACCCGATATTTAAAAAAACGAAATTGCTAAAAAATAATGACATGTTTATAAGTTTATACCCGATATTTATAAACGAAAAATATTTTTTTTTTTATTATATTATTATAAATATATGTAAGGAAACAAGGACGTTATAATTTTATTTCATATGATATAGTAGGCCCGTTACGACTTATATACTTGCTGCATCAAGTAGCTTTAAAACTGAGGAACTAGTTTGCGCTGAAACGGACATACAGACGAACAGACATGGATAGATCGATGTAGAACTAAAGATGAAACCAAAATCAATAAATATGTTTTTGTTGGCTTGATTATTTTATTAACATTAGCGTCGGGGGCACCAAAACCTGGCACTTTTAAAGGTTGATAAATCTTAAAGCACTTAATATCTTATAAAGTCCAAAAAGTGGTTTGTTAAAATGTTTAACATGAGCCCAGATAAGTGATCAGCTGTATCGACCTACCATTGTTATCAAATATCTACTCTTAAAAGACAAAAATTCATTTTAAACGAATTCCTTTTAAGAGCTAAAATTATGAATATTTTTGTTTTTTTTGTTTTAGTGTAAACGTTAAATAAAACTTACATAAAATTACATAACATTAATTTATCCTAATTAAAACCTAATTAAAAAGTTCAATATTTCATTTAATGTTAATTGTACCCTTAAATATTATTGAAATAATATTTAAGATTCCAGTATTTTTTCAGTTAGCGGTTTAGCCAAAATGAATTCAAGTGTCGGCTTAGACTCTAAGAAAATCAGCAAAGTCTAACGCTTTCAGTAGGGTTTTTTCATGCTTTTGGATAAAATAATTACCTACCAATCGAATGCACCCAGAATAAAGATAAAGCAGTATTTGGTTGTCTTAGTTCTCAGGTGTGCACAGTCCAAAAATGCGTAAAAAGATTGTCAAGTATTTCAGAAAGGAAAACAATGGGGGACTTGGAATCAAAACCAACATTTTTGGGTTTCCCTGCTGGTTGTGACATCGAAGCACCTTAGCAAACTTGGAGACTGATTCCCTGGTAGGTGTGGTTTGGGTGTAAAAGCGCTTTCTCAAGTCACTTGCAAAAATGTGGTCATGTCAAGGAGGTGTTAGATAAGAATACCCATTTTCTGAGTCCAAAAGGCTGCACGTTTCAGTGGGCCAGCTGATAATATTAACGATGTGATTTCTTAAAACACTTTAAGCAACCAAACTCTTTAATATAATATAAATTTTAAGTTACTTTTACTAACGGATTTTCATTTAAATGTCACCAAAGTACGCTGAGTTCTTTTAGTCATTAGATTCAGAAAGTCGATTAAGCAGTACAACTCTGATATTTTAAATTTTTAGTCCTCAAAATTGTTCCGTATTTTTAGCCAGAAAAGCCATATTTTTGTTCTCTAAAATGCGTATGCTTTGCGACCGACTTTCCGCCCTGACCGCCGGAGCAATGGTTGGGGTTTGGTATGCAAAGAATTTCCCCTGCGAAGAGTCCACGGGAGACAACAAGGATAAGGGAAAGGATAAGGGAAAGGACAAGAGCAAGGACAAGGGGAGTGACAGCGGAAAGGAAAAAGAGAAGGAGAAAGGCAAGGACAAGGGATAAAAATGGCTAATCTGGGTGGAACTAAAGCTTCTTTTAGCCAAGATGATACGTATGTGAAAGTCCTTATACCTTAATTTTTTTGTTTCTAGTTACTCGTAAACGTTCTAGTAGGCATGGGCAAAACTCGAATGTTGATGACGCGATTGGAAACATGAAAAGCCAAACTGTAAAATAAGTGACCACTGAACGGATACGATAATTCTTCTGCTAATGTTACCTAAAAAACTCTGTTGTTATTCTTCATATGATATGGACAAGTTTTTATTAAGAGCCCACCCAGCTGATTTATTCTGATGAAAAATTTGGCACATTAATAAAGATGCTATTTGCAAATTGTATTTAAGAACTCTCCGAAGTTTTCTCTTACGATTGGGTTATTAAAAGTGGCCCAAAAAGACCCATTTAAAGTGCAGAAGTCAAATGCTTTTGCGTATTTTCAGGGTAAATTTGGTTTATCTCCTGTGGTTTACCCCCAACTGCTTCATTTTTAGGCGAATCATGTCCTTTGTAGCATGTGGAGCCTTTGTTGTGCTACACGTGACTCAAATACTGGCGAATTTTCAATAAGAGTTGCCAACGGAGGTGGTAAAATGTGGCTTTTATTCGCGTTTTCACAGCACAGGGATACACGTAATCCCAGCTAATTAAATTGGCCTTTGTAATCTTTCAGTTAATTAAGTGTGCGACAAACTCAATAATTTAAATTGTATGGAAAGTGCTTCAAAGCAGGCTGTGAGATTTGGGTAAAGTGCTTTGGAATTTAGGCTGGGGTATTTTTCAGTTATCCGTTTTGGCCGCACCAGTACACTTCAATGAATCTGAAAATTTTCTAAATTGTGTAAATATTAAATTCGTAAGTTGCTTTGAGGTCACGCTTGGGTTCAATTGGAAGACTTTTTTTTTAACACCATGCATTTAATGTGCGAGCGATTGTCTTCGGTTTTTGCGGGCGTCTTAGTAGGTTTGTGGTACGCCAAGACCTTTCCCGAGGACGACAAGGGCAAGGACAAGGGCAAGGAGAAGGACAAGAAGAAGTAGGAGCAGACGGACGATCCACATTACTACTCCCTTCCCACACAAACGCAGCAGAAATCGGGAACTCAATCGATTTAGGTGGGTATTAATTTGCATCGCAAGACATAAAAGGTAACCCTAATTCCATCTAGTAGTCGAGCCGGGAACTTCAAGCCAGTTCGACGACCTGTCAACCAGGCGACCCGACAAAGCTCAGTATTAATTCGACTTCACAACTTCAATATCAAACTCTTTCGACTTGCACAAAATTTTACCGTGTTTGGTTTTCGATCAACATCCGCCAGCAAAGAAAATTTCGGTCTAAATTGAGGCAGATCCTGTCGAGCTTTTGGAGCCATGCCCTGTTGTAAGCGTACCGAGGTCCGGAGGGTGTGCCGGCCGATGCCGTCGCTCCTTTCTCGGCTCAACTGTACGCCGTGCAACCGCGTCCTGTTCTTCGTGATCGGGGTGGGACTGGGCGTGCTCTTCGTGCGCAACAAGGACAACGCTGGCAAGGACAAGAAGAAGGACGATGGCAAGGGCAAGGGCAAGAAGTAACAGCAGTCCATCTCGGCCCGCGGGATTTTATTTAGCCGCCCAATCCTGGCAGTCTTGATCGAGATCGCACTTCCTGGGTCACCTTCTTTCAAGTACCCAATGCAGCCGGGCGTTGAGCGACCAAGACAAATGCCATTCGATAAGTTTGTCCGCCGAAGAATTAAGGAATAAGAAATTTCTCAGTCGATAAATTTATCTATAGAGCAATTTGTCAATCGAACAACTACCTACCACATTCTAGACGGATTTCTTCGATTGATCTATTCTCTATTCCTTTGTTGAAACAATTGTAAAATTGGTGCTGTACACTACATTCCCTCCGGACTTTCCTCCGTTTAAATGAGAATGGAAATGATGCTAAGTAGATATTAATTGGGGCTGTATCAATCCTAATTACCCGTAAAAGCTTGGCCTGTAAATGCTTGGGAGCTCAAAAGTAGCCAATTCATATAGTTGACCTTCAAAACTACTTCAAAAATGTATTAAATAAAAACTTTACATCTGTATTCAATTGGTGTTTTATCATAACTTGCCACCTTGCTTGCCAGCCGAATAGCAGGAATCGAAAGACCCAACGCTGTTTCAATTTATATGAAAGCTTTTGGCAATATATTGTTATATAATATATATAAATATATATATATATATATATATTATTTTTATCGCAACTTGTTGCCTTGCATTTAAGTGTGCTCCTGCGTCGAAAAGCAAGCAATAGTTTTTGAATACATCACGGGCCCCAAATAAATATAATTTTATTTGTCTTGAGGTTTTGGTAATATATTTCAATATATTTTCTTAAATTGCTTAAAGCCTCAAACTGTACGAAAGTTACAATATTTCGCTGGTAACAATATCGTTGGCAATTAATATTTGGCAATAATATTTTAATATAAAGTTCCTTCTGCTCACTGTAAATTTTAACAAGGACTAGCAAAGAACCTGCCTGAAAGTAAAAAAAAAGTTTTAATTGCTGATATCGTTTTGTAACAAATATACAAATATACCCTTAAAACTGCAAGCATTTTGGTTTGGTGTAGCCGAATCTTCTTTCCAGTTCCAAATCCTTTCCGATCTTTTGCCTTGATCGATAAGTATTAGGATAACACCAGAAAGTTAAGTATCGCGGGGCCATAAATCTCCATTTCAAATTCCTTGCCGATCATATTTTTAATCTGAAAGTATTAGGGTAAACACTAGATGGTAAATGAAGAATCCTTTTATCACCTTAACAAGGGACTAACCAATAATTTTTAATTCGTCCATTTAATGTACTTAAAATTTTGTAATTGGTGGTGATACGAATTTCGGGGCAAGGAATCCTTCTTCTGGACATCTCCGTTTTAAAGCTCATTAACGTTACTTGCCCTCCTTTCCCTTGTCCTTTTCCTTGCCCTTGTTATCCTTGCCCTTGCTCTCCTTCTCCCTCTTCTCCTTTTCTTTCTTCTCCTTTTCAGCCTTCTCCTTGTCGGCCTTCTCCTTCTCCTTCTGCTTCTTCTCGCGCTCCTTGGCCTCCTTCTCCTTCTCCTTTGGCGACTTGTTGGCCTCCTCCGCCGCCTTCTGGGCCTCCTTCTTCAAGTGATCCCAGTAGAGCCCAATGCCAGCCCCGAGCAGGAAGAAAAAGAATCGGTTGCAGGGCACGCAGTTCAACTTCTGCCACAAAGTGGGCGGAGGACGACAGGGGGGAGGGGGTGGAGGACAACACCGCGGGGGCGGGGGACAGGCTGGCTTGTCGCACATCTTCAACGGAATTTGAAATGGATGTCCGGGTAATCAGAGGGTTCCTATAAAAACGTTTTAATTTTACACCAAAAAAAATTTAAGAAAAGTGATGTTAGCCGAATGGAGAATTTTGAGCAGTGAGGTCTTTCGGTGCTTTGACATCCGAGCTAAGATTTTGACGTTGATTTCATCCACTACTTTCTAAAAATACTTTTCATACTTTCTAAATAAATGTCAAATGCGCAACATATCGTCTTTAAAGTAATTCATTTACAATTATCATTGTTCTCCTTTTCATGTTACTTATTGGTATAATTTTTTGTATTCCCAGAATTCAGGCAAATTAAAGAAAAAATCAATATGTTATTTTTTTAGTGCTAAGTTCCAGTTCCTCTAAATATTCCTCATATATATTAGCATTAATCAATTATTCTTATTAATCAATATCTTTGGTTCAATGGTTGAAATGCATTTCACAAAATACAACCATACAGTCCATACTTCCTTGCTTGTAATGTCATTTTGAAACCCTTTCCACAAACAAGTACGTTTATTTTCCAAATATGCATCAATGCAATTTCTGGGCTATTATGGATAACTCTTGGTTTCTTACCTTTATTGTAGGCTGTATTGTTGGTTATTTGATAGGCAAAAACCATTAGAACAGGTAAGAGCCTCAATGCATATTTCAGTAGGCTTTGGCAAAACGCTCACTGTATTTCCAGACTCAAAACTCGCTTACTTTTTACAAGTTTCACATCAACTGATATCTTTTGGCAAAAATGGATGTAGATTGGGTAATCACATTTCTAGTTGGATGTTTGGTGGGATACATGGTGGCCAGGAATACCTAGAGGAAAATCAATGAATAAAGGTCGACCAAGTACACCTGGAAATTTAAGTTCTAGCATATTATTGCCAGCCTGAACTACAAAATTTCGACTGGATTCCAGTATTCGAGAAATCAAGAGGACCAAGAAGAATAAATTATTTCCGTATTTCCCGAAACCAAATTGAAGAAGCAACATGACCCACATCATCTCCTTTGCCTTGGGCGTGATCATTGGAATGATGACCTGCCGGAGGTGCTAACTCATCCCATCTCTTACACTAATAATATTCAAAGCTTATCAAGAAAAATGCATGAATAAACTTTAGCAATGACCAAAAACTTGTCTTTTAATTTTTTAAGAATTATAGAAATTATTTATTCACTTTTGAATGGGTATTTACTATTTACACTATACTATTTAGTTGGCTCTTCTAAGTAAGCCAATTTCGAAATTGATTTGCTTACAATTCAGTTTAAATTTGCTCTGATCATATACACGTTCTTTCTTGAAAATTATACTTTTTTACGGATATGGAGTGGATTTTGGTTTTTATTATCGGCTGTATTGTGGGATTTCTAATATCGCAGCATACATAGTTGCGGTTTGTATAAATTGGTCTAGAAATGGGTGAGTCTAAAACCATGGTCGACTCACCATACAACGACTTTTTTCTTTTTGTGCGCGAAAACCGCAGTTTAATATTTATACAAACAAGAAAGGAAGCAAACTTCGGAAAGCAGAAGTTTATATACCCTTGCAGTTATTACAAAACGACTACATTTCGATTTTTATCACTAAAAACAATGAAGCTATGTTGATTTTGAGCTGCATTCCGCCATCGTTTCTGCGGAGGCTATATGACATTGCTGTCCGATATTGACAAAACTAAAAGCGTAATTGTAATATATTAAAGGAATAAGAATATATATACTTTATAGGGTCGAAAATATCTCCCTCACTGCGTTGCAAACTTTTGACTGAAACTATAATACTCTCTGCTAGGATATACAAATCAGTAGGCTTTGCTTTTTAATTTCTAAAGTTTAACTCGAAACTTAACGATTTATTCCTCAGTCGACAGTCTACTTGAAGCGTACATTAGGTGTTCTTTAAAAAAAAACAAAATTTTCCGTTTTTAGCTGCGGAGATTTTAGTTCTATTAGAAAATATGCAGCGGTTTATTACTTTCGTTGTTGGAGGAATCGTTGGTTTTCTCGTTGCCAAGAATACCCGTGTAAGTTTATGTGATTGGAATGCTGTTGTTAGTTCTACTATATATCCCTTCTGCAGTAAACATCATGGCCTATGTCATCTGCTTTGGAATGGGCATGGTGTTCGGCATGTTCGTATGCCGACGTTGCGAGCCCTGATTGAGAAGACTTAAGAACCCTATCATAGCCCTTCAGGAATTCAAGATCTAGAGTGCCCACTTCTATCACATGGACTTTGAATAAACAATTCCCCACAAAGCGCGGCTTGTTTTATTATTTATCAATTCTAACGAAAGCAATTTCACACTTGCAGGTAATTTATTCATATTAAATTGAATTACGAATTGTAAGTAAAAACCTACTAACTATAAAAGCAATGGGCAGTCTAAAAAAAGTAACCCCTTAGTTTATTATTTTTAAGTCGCTTTCTATATTTTTATAGAATATTCCATTGCCTTTTAAAAAGTATACAACTCTAAAATACTTTTTTAGTTTTCACACTGAAGTCGCCAGGGATTAAAGCCAAGTTCAATGCATTTATGACTTTTGGGAAAGTTTCGCCGCCTTTCCTTTTAATGGCTGAAAAAACAAAGGCAGCCGCAATAAATACATACGTCAGAATCTGAGCAGGGTAAAAGTTGGCAAACTTAAAGGAAAGGAGTAAACTTTTCACTTCCTCTATCATTCGGGCCACGAAGGTGGGAGTTAAAGCAAACTTTAAGGGCTACCAATTTGCCGTTTCATGTGTGGGAGTGTGGAACCCTTTTGACCGGCTCCACCTGGCCATTCATTATGATTGATTATTGCGCAAATCCGGGGATATATGTATATGTGTTCAACGTCGTCAGGCGCACAAAACGTTTAACAAATGAGAAGACTGACGACCTCCTGACACACAAATGAACTCGTTTCAATCAGTCTTTGGGCCCCCAGATCGAGCCGCAGCATCCGCATAAATAAATATTTTATGAACTCGGCACCAGCTCTCCGGATCCATTTCCAGTTGGGTTAGGCTCGAGTGCGTCGCTCTGCATAACTTAGGGCCGGAATGTTTGTGGCAAGTCTTATCTGCGGAGCAAACAAAGGTTGAAAAGGCCTGGGCTCCCCTTTCCCACGATTTCCCCTGTTTTTCATCTGCGGTTAGGTAATTGGTTAAGGTGGCGCTCACAAGATTGACTCGCCTACCAAATGAAACGGTTGCCTTCCAGAATGATTGATGCCCCTGCCAGGAAGTCTAAGCCGGTGTGGGTTCCCCTTTTGGCCCAAAGGCTAAATTGCTTAGCCGTGCGGGTCGGGGACTTGGATTTATAAGCCAGCCCAACAGGTGGGGCAGCTCAAGTGCCTCTCACCTGTCCCTGGAATGGCGGGCACCCTTCTACAATTTTTCTGATTGGTTGACTCCTCTATTTGTTTCGCTTTGCCAAGGAGTTTTCCGGCGTTCCTGATGCTAATTTGTCAATACAAAGTTTTAATTGAATTTTTGGTTCACATGTTTGCAGTTAATTTATGCAGTTTCCTTTCTAACAGCGGGGATTTGAATTTCGGTTGTGCTGTGGAAAGCTTCTGTTAGTGGAAAGCTTTCGCTTAACATTCTGACCCTTAACGCTTTTCCTGCTCTCCCCAAGCTTTTCCTTGCTTTCTCCTCGGGCGAAATTCCCGCTCTCTTTTGTGAATAACGTAAACAATAACGGTTGCCGGCATCTCAGCTGTTTGGCGCCCACAAAACCCACCACTGTGGTGAGTTCCCGCATTTCCGTTTCGCTTTCCGAGCCTGCGCCACTTCCCTTTGCCGAATCGGGTCCTCGGCAGGACTTCAGTCCTTATCCCAGTGCCGAGGCGAGCGTATCTAAAACAGCCGCTCAAACGCTTCAACCGCGAGATATTTTCAAAACGTAACGCTCGAAAACGCATTTCAAATCGAATTTCCAACAAGCAAATGCTTAGTTAAATAGGATGTTTACAACTTTTTGTTTCGAAAACAAACATAAACCTAAAAGTGAAACTGAAAATAAAATGCAAAAATTATAAAAAATAAAAACCAAATTGCATTTATCAAAATTTTTAAATTGCAATTCCAAATGATTAAAATAATGGTCCAAAATAAAACAAAATAAAAATACTTTTTAATAATAAGCAAGTCATTTCAAGCAATTTACGATATTTTCTAACCTCATAAATAAGTATAAGGCAAATTACCACTCAAATATGATATATTAAATTACAAAATTCAAGTTAAATAAAAATTTAAGTTAAATAAATAAAATTTCAAAACTATAATAAACTAACGTATTAATTAAATTTCAAACGAACTATAAGAATTTGGTTAATAAAAGAATATTTCTAATTAAGAGCCATTCTCAGAAATTATTTCTAACAACCGAGTAAACGATTAAAAACATTTAAATCAAATTTCGTAGATTAATTCAACAAATCTAAATTAAATTATATAAAACAAACCATAAATATATAATAATCTGTACAGCATTAAGTAAACAACATAATAAATCATTTAAAGCTATCAAGCCATTAGCATCTCTAGTACAAATTGCAAGATAAATTCTCTATTCAGAATAAAATATGGCTTTAAAAGGGGTGTAGAAAAGAATTTAAAACATTTAAAGCTGGAAATAAAAAAATATCAAGAGAAGAAACATTTTAATTTAAAAACCCAACCTAAAAACTTCCTAAAGTCTAAGTAAATTACGCAGCTTTATGCCAGACACTTCTGTAATTAGCCAAGTTAATTCTCCACCTAATCGAGACCTGGCTGACGGGGATTATGGATTGGGTCCTGCTCCTCTGACAGACTGCCTGCGAATAGTTAGTTGTCACTGAAAATTTGCGGCAATTCAGGCGAAAGTCGTTCCAACAAATCGACTTAGCAAGAGAAAGTTTTTGACAAACTTTCCACAAGTCGAAATCATTTATGATAACTTGACATACGCCACATGTTGTGAGCTTGACTTAGTCAAATGTGGAAGATTAATTGGATTCGATATTATTAATCGAAGGGACGGAGAGCACTGGCTGCCCCATCATTCAATAAGCCAAGAAGCTGGAAAGGCGTCTTTAATTAGTAAGAAGGAGGCAGAATGCGGAGTGTTGACAAGTCTCCGTCTGGCTGGCCGTGTAATTGAGTTATTCCCTTGGATTTCTGCCATTTTTACCATTTTATTATTATTAAATGGCTGCTGCGACAACAAGCTGTTAATGGCAGCCCATAAAATGGCGTTCCTGCTGGTGTGTGTGTGTGTGTGTGTCTGCGAGTGGGGGTGTAAGCCTAAGCGGCGGCATGATTGTTTTAATGGCTACTTGAACGGAAATTAACTGACAGCTGCAGATAAACGAAATACCCACTCAATGCGAACCGCACGATCTTAAAGCTCCATCGATTTCCAACGACTGCAGTCGGGCATGAAAAATGCGAAGCGACTTTACATTCACACTTCTCCAAATATTTGCACATTCAAATGTCAAATAAGCTAATTTGGCCCATAATTCCCATTTCGTACGCTTGTTCTGTGAATTTCCATGTATGATAAACAGAAATGGCAACCAATTTGTTCCCAACAGCAAGAACAACAAAAAAGCAAATGCAAATTGCTTTTCGGCACGAAGAATATGAAAATTATGAAATATGTGCGACATTTCTATTTGCATACATTTGGCCAAGAAACTGGGAGAAGGTTGGGGAGGGATGGTAAAAGAAAACACAAGTAGAGTGGGAGGAGGGGGGAAACTGGAAAACAAAAGTAAATTTAGGCCAAAGGTGAAAGTCGCTTTGCACAATAAAAGGGGACTAATTGAAAATTTTAATAAATGATTTAATTAACTTCTAAGAGTCATTTTGTCTCAGACAGAATCTTTTGTATTTAATAAAAATACCACAAGCTGTAAGATTATGGAAAACCACATTTTTAGCATTTAATATAAAATTATACATTTAAAACTGAAATTATTATATTTATTTACTTATGAAACATAATAATCAATTTTTTGTAAGTTGTTTTAATAAAACGTATCTAAACAATTATAAATCTAGTCTCATAAACTGATTCAATTCCTTATTGCCTTACTTATGACTTCATTTTCACATTAGTTCATCAGGACTCACTTAAGCCGTAAGACTTCACCTTTGGCCAAGGTTTCTTTTAATGCGCTTTTCTTTTATTCCTTTGGCCTGGCCATCAACACAAACACAAGCACACGCACATACCACAAAAGAGGGATCAAGTGAAATGTTAAAAAGAGGAGTGGAAAAACAACATGCTAAACGCTTTGTAATACGCTTTTGTTTGGCCCAAGAGCCATTAAGCTGGCCAAGTGATAAATTCGTTCTGCCTACTCAAGTTTTTTTTGTTTTGCTGCTGCACAGAGATAAAAAGTTCTACCGTCGTATCCTTTTATGTTAAACGTGACACACAAGTGTTGGTCGCCTCTCAAAAACATAGATATAGATTTCGATAGAGGGGCCAGTTAACACATTTTATTGTTGTTGTTCACTATAATAATGCTTTACTATAAATGTTTTGTTAGAAGAAGACATTGCTAAAAAGTACTTCTTTTCGGTCACTTTCCAGGTCACGTTTTAACCAGTTTAAATTTGTTCATTAGTTAAATTGTTAACTTATTTGTCTAATCAAAAGAAGTACACCCATAAACATCCATATTAAATTAAAATATATGCTTTGTTTGTGAAAATTTCCCCCACTTTGGTATACTATTCAAATTAGGGATTGTAGAAAATATTAATAATATTTCACTTTATCATAATATTTGATATGTCAAATTTTGTGGTATATGCGTCCTGTTGCTACACTACTTAAAATAATACAAGTTTTGATATTGGTAAGGTCAAAAAGCTTATAACGTTCTAAGAAATATAAAAACTTTGCTTTACTTTAATATGCCAGATATGAAATAATAAAATATTTTTAAACGATGATCCTATTATCAAAAAAATGGTTTCATTTTAGTCCGTCTAGACACTTTTTATCAAAAAAAAATTTCGCCCCTAGGGTCACATTTTGTCGATTTTTTCTAACAGTGCAGAGCTGCTGGTTTGGTCTGGCCAAGAAAAGGTCGCGTGCGGTTTTTGCCAAGTTTAGAGCATTGATTTATGAACGGGCTGCTGGTGCGGACATTAGCCTTTCTTCTTGGCCAGAAATGTCCTGCGGCCGTTGGCAGTTTGCTTGTTGCATGTAATGACGTCATTAGGTACAAATTGCCACCCATTTAGCGGCAATCGATTGCTTCCGCACGATTAAATATGCTAAGCCAAAGGGGAAGCAGCAACAGTTTGTCTGCTCGTCTTCATTGCTTCACTTCCTTCCCCTTTCCTTTGGAATTTTTTCCATTTTGTTGTCCTTTCTATTCCGACATATCGTGTCGTGTCGGTTGACGCCTACTTTTTAAACTGTTGCGCACTTCTTGTTGGCCGACAGCCAAGGCGTGCCGCTGTCTGCTGTTCGAAACCCTTCCCCCTCCCTTTATTTATGCCACGCTGTCTCTTCCACTTTCCCCGCTTTCACTTTCCCTGTCTTTCGATGGCGCGTGCCAACTTTCACTCGAATTGGGGAAGCACACGCAATCGGCAAAACAGCAACAATACTAAAGTAGTAATCAACAAGTTGAGGAAAATATAGCATGAAATATTTGCGGTCTATCAAAAATATTCCACCCTGTATTTCTTTAAAATTTTATTATTTTATCGTATTTAAAAATTTACAGATATTTTGCTTAAGTTTGTTAAATAATTATTTAATTTATGATATTTTAAACGTTTATTCAAAAAGTTTTAAATAAATCCCTTGTATTATTTCCCTCATAGATGTTAAAATGTAAACTATGCACAAACTCGAAAAATAAGAACGAATTGAATATCTCAAAATATAATTTGAAACGTATGTAAATTTGTGCTGAAGCGTAAACAGTTCCCTTCCTCCTTAAATACTAATCGAAGTAAAGGTATCGTTGCTGTTTTGAAACTTCAAACCTGTCCATTCGCTTTATTAAATTTTCAAAGAGACAACTATTAATATGCGAGTTTCCCAAAGATAAGGTATACCACTCCGTAAGAAAACGCCTAACCCTTGTGCCTGGTTATTTGAAAACCGTAAATGGTTCGATCGCGTGGGAAACGGCAATATGTTTGCGGATGACTCAAAACATTTGTAAGGCTAATTTGGGCAGATGCGAGTGCAACTTAGGTCTGCTCCGGTGAGCATCTGCTCAGAACACATCAAAGCCAAGTCCATTTCCAAGCCGTTGAAATGTGCAGCATTAGGAGTTGGATACATTTGATCCCATCATATTTCTGGGGATTTTGTGTGCAATCAAGATATAAGACCATTAAAAGGCGACCTTCACTCAGTTTAAACGATTCAGACATCAAGTTTATTATGCTGCACATAAAGCCAGGACATAAACTGCCAGCAGAAATCATAAAAAGGAAAAGGCGGGGATGGGGAAGAGGGGATGGGGGAAAGGGGAAAGGCGTACCAAGAGCTCCAAAAGAGTTCATGAACTGTGACGTCTTTGGACTTCCGTAGGAACAGCGGGCAAACAGCCAGCAAAGGTCACCGGATTACCAATTTCTATTCGCTTGGCTCACCAAAATGAATAAAGATATTTTCGGTATGCAAATGCCAGCAGCTCCAGCGAAACAAAGCCGAACTGTCTGGACAATGAAACAAAAGCACGGCTCTGGCAAAATGGTTGAATTTTATGCAGTCAAATTGATTTGTTTGCGAGCAGCCAGTTCAACGCTCCTGGTCCTCTCCAGCTCCTCGAAGGACTAGCATCCCATTCATGTGCCGAGTGTTAATGCAAATGTTTGCATATATTTAGGCAGCACACACGATTCCCTCTGCAAAAGGAACTTTTGGTCCTTCTGTCTGTCGTCAAGGCTATTGCTGCACGGCAGACTGCTCCAATCTGAGCAATCGATAAACCTAATGAGCTGTGCCACAGACGGGCAGACGAACTGTCGTCGGCGCGGGCTTTGTTTTAAAATAAACCCCCATGCGGGAACCAAAAATAAACTCGAAAAACTGGAGTACTTCCTTGATGGGGAAAAAACAGGCACTCAACGTTGAAACGATTAAAAAATGAATACATTTGTTTGATCCAGTTTGAAGTGTTCAAGTAGGAACCAAATTTAGAAATATTTATGGAATCACAGTGACTAAATAAGAAAAATATATATGGGTATCAATTTAATCTTATGTAAAATACCACCATTTCTATGTTAATATTTTAACAATTTTTCCAACAACATATCTGACAGTCTAGTTTTGCACCCTTACAACCCCTTAATTTGGTTACTGGAAGTTATTTTGGGTTACTTGAAATTATATAGTTATGGTCATATTTCTTTTTTTTTGTTTCGCACCCTTAAAGCCCAGAAATTGGGTTACTTGCCCCCCTGAGACCCACACCTTTCGCGCCTTCAACTGGAGTCCATAAAAAGGTGTTAGACGCGGGACAGGCCAATTACTGTAATTGCCGAGCCCACGAAAAAGCGCCACATCACACAGGCATTACCGGCATACTTAGCCTGAACAGGGCGTATACTTGATGTGAGACAGACAGTCGGCACGCACAAGATTTCCGAAGAAGACACTTCGATTAATCACTTCGAATGCCTAAATAATTCACGGCAAGCCATTGCCATGCAAATTGCATTTGGAGACAGCATGAATAAAAGAATAAATGCATTCGAAAGTAGGACCAGGGAATCAATCAGCGCTCGATAGGAAAAAGTGCAAGCTGGTAAAGTTCAAAGTTCAAATGAAATGAACGTCAAAGAACGGGATAAGAATTTCTGAGGTTTTTCTGAGATTTTTTAATTGAAGTACCGGCATACCGAAAGCCATAAAGCGCGGCAGCATCTGCTGCTTAAGGCCAGACTCCGGGTAATTTAAATTACAAATACCGAAAGGCTGGGAGAAAAACGCTTTAAGAGAGACAGATTCGTCAAGCGGAATAAAAACCGCAAAATGTCCTTTGGACCAAGACAGACGGTACTTGGCCTTGTCATTTGTCAATGTGTCACTTAGCGAGACTTCTCAGTCACGTCTAATGATTTGGCTTTGTGTCTGTCAGCGAAAGTCAAAAGCGATAAATTTCATTGACTCTTTAGGGCCAACTGATGGGATTCTCAAATCGCTCACGTAGCCGAAATCAGCAGCCTGTAACTTCCGTAAGGACACTTTAACAAACTTCCTATCCCACAGAGAACATGAATTTGCAATTAAAAAGCAATCAAAATGAATACATAAGCTGAAACCGCCGAACACCTTAAATAATGTATGAATTTACAATTGAATTCCGGATTAACAAATGATGATGGGGATGAGGAATATTCCAGTCAATTCATGCGGTTTAATTAAATGCGTAAATTGAAAAGGGAAGTTGAAAATAATGTTAACTGAATTTTTTTTTTGGGTGGAGGGGGTTCATTTCCTGACGTAAAAGAAGCAATGTCAGATAATAAAAAGTGTAAAAACAGGGCTTAATGACAAAATGAGGGCACAATGCCGGTTTATCGTCCACATCCATTTGCCCCGCTAACATTGCTTTTCAAGGCTATGGCCGTTAGGGCAATAAATTTATTAAATGGCGAAAGAACACACAATGGGTGGACGCAACAACACCCACAAGGCCAGCAACAAAAAATCATGTTAAACAAGCTATAAATAAGTGTGTGCCAGCGTGTGTGTACATGCTTTCTGTCCTCAATTGCGTGTTCAAACAACAAAATTAATTGCCGAGCCAGGGCAATCAATTTTGATTAAAGTTGAAGTTACCCAAGTGCTGGAATTAAAGTGTGATACTCCTACAGGCTCTAGGTCCACTCTCAAATCAACAACCCATACATATCAGTATAACCATCCAGAAATCGAAAGTGCAATGCAATTGACAGAGTGATCGAAAGGTGAAATTAAATAAAGTGCTTCGTGCCGCGGTCATTTAAGCCAATGGATCATCTATTATGCAACATGGCGGGCAACAGTCGCAATTCGTCCTACAATTGTCTCTCCTCGTGGGACTCCTATGATCGAATACCCAGGTAAGTCGACATTGCGTATACGCCGCTTGGGCCCTGCAAAATCCCGTATACGCTCCTTCGTAACTCAATTCGAAATTCGATTTGAGCCATTAACAGGTCAAAGCAGTAGCAAGGCGTCGATTCATAATCGAATCAGTTCACAACTAAAAGCTTACACTTCCAAAAAAAATTAAGTATTCTGCACTTTAAAGTACAGTTTCCCAATAAAGCTGACTAACTAACTATTTTATGTTTATTTAATATGAATCCTTACAGCTAGCTTTTCTTAAATGAAATAAATATACAAGTATAATCTTATTTTTAGACCAACTTGAAAGCTATTTTAAAAAGTTGGTACACATTACAGTTAAATCGTATAATACCAATAGTGGTTATAGTTAATAAGATGGCAAATATACATCTTATTCCAACATTTTTCCCTGTCTAAACGAATAATCAAGAGGCATGGGAAATTCTCGGGACATGTAGACTTTTTTTCGCAAAGGTATTTTCTTATAAATATTTTAGCAAACAAAAGACAACTTTGCATTGGAAATGCCAAATGAGTGCCGGAAGCTTGTCAAGCAAAATGCATTCTCATCCTGAATAATTTCTTGAATTCCGCCCCTTAAGCTGTCATCTGCACACCCATAAATAAGTGTATATCGCCTGCTAAGAGCTCTTAGCTTTTTACGAGAAGCAATCAATGCAGCGTTTCCGTAATGGACACTTTAGTAGAGATATAGAGATGCCTCATCAGGACAGCAATAAACATGCAGGAGCCGGGAACAAACAAAAAAGGCAGCCTCTTTTTTCTGATGGTGGGGCCCAAGGATGCAATTTGTAGCTACCTGAGACCACGCATGGGCTTGAATGGTGTCCTTTGTCCGCCAATCCTTTGTGTTGGACGGGGCCGAAAAAAGCCTGCTGTGTTAGGCATTCTCCTAGATTCCCTTTGTGGCCTTTGATTTGCTTGGCTTCGCCGTTTCGCCCTCGCCTTTCTTCCCGGCACAATTTCATCAAGGAGTTGTAATCAAATCTCGACACGAATACAGAAACCCGAGACCACCACGCACAGAAAATTAAATCAAATTTTCTTTAAAAAGCACGAAATCAAAAATCAATAAAGGTAAAACAATCTAAGCACATCCCGCCGCGGGCTGCCCATTTGCCCATTTTAGCCAGCTTTAAACTCAATATCTGTGGATAATCAAATAATGGCACAACAAAAACACATTAACGTGCAATTTTTCGTCAGCTTAGGAGGTCCTCCCAGCCAGGACCATAAAATGCTGGATGAGCAGAAGAATGGAATCAATTTAAGCCAAAGTTGGGGGTTACTTTAAAAGTTCATAACTTTGCGGGTACAGCCACAAACTTCACATAGGAAGAATGTGGGATCCTGCGGGTATAAAACCAATTATTTTAGGCTAAAAACTTCGCCAAAAAGATATGCAAACACATAGATGGTATTATTAAAACTTTTGAATATGTTAGTAAGAAAATATATAGATCTCTTGAGTTTTTAAAACCGAAATTTAGAAACAAATATGATATTAGTTCTAAGTTGAACGAAACTTTTCTGAAATGTATATCCACTTTAACCAAATAAATAACCACAACAAAAACTGTTCTTGGAAGTTCAACCATTTGATTTCATTTTGAAGGACTAAAAATCCATAAAAAGTATTAGATTATTATTTAGAGGGAATTTTCAACAGTCTCCAAAATATTTTTGACAAAACATTTTGTTTCAATGCCAAATAAATAAACAATAAAATCGATTAGACTCTAGCAATAACGTCAGATTAAAAGTGCCGTAGTTTTCGTACGGAAAAGTTTTAAATTTTCCAATTTATTATATTTAAATGCTGAATAAATAAACAATGAATTCGATTAAGCTCTTAGCAATAGCGTCAGTATAAATATTCCGTAATTTTTAGTACTGCAAAGTTTGCCATTTTCCAATTCAGTGGCTAACCCGCAGCTTTCACTTTTAAAGTGGAATTTTCTCCAGCTTTTTTGCCACCTGCAAAATTTATGGAAATATTTGCAATCAAAGTGAATGCAAATGTTTTGTAGTTTTGATTACAGTTCAGCTTGCACAAATGAAAATGCGAAATTTATTTGAAATATGCAGAGCTGTGTGTGCGCCACTAAAGACTTAAAGCGCATGGATATGGCTCTCGAGTGACTAGTGATTGGTGACCCCTTCTTGGCCAGAACTTATGGCCATCTGGCGAACGCTTGTGCCGCGTTCAACGGCCGGAAAAGGCGAGGGGAATGAACTTTGCCGCCACAAACCGCAGAGAAGTGCGAAAAATCCTTCGGGGGCAGGTCAGAGTTGATTGTATGCAGTGGCCCGCTGGACCTTCTGGCCGGGCCATAACTGATTGGTCACTTGCCAGTGTGTGTCACGGTGATTGTGATGGTGGTGGTTATGGTGACTGTGATGGTTTGGGCCACGCTCGTTAATTTCGCCACGCACTTGCAGTCATCGTCCTTGGCCCTCGAATGGCCCCCAAGGTGCCATTTCTGAGTCAACACTGCTGCCGGGAGCCACTTGAACTATTCTTACAGTTTCTTCCCCTGCTCCGGTGCATTAACCTTGGCATGAATATTCAACGGAATGCTCCCAAATGAGCTGCGACAGAAAGCTGCCAAAACAAAGGCCAAGAAGGTGGCAAACAGTTAATTGAATCTCGTCCGGGTCGTCTTTGTGCCAGGGTTTAAGCAACTCCTTTAATTACTTGAACCCAGAGAACATTTTCAACTGTATGGCAAATTGTCTTGTGCAGTCAAGTGCATAAAGATCCCGCAAAAATGTTTGCCCAACACTTATGGTGCGGCGTGTTGAATATTCAGACACTGAGACGCCAAATGCAAAACTCGAGCTGCACATAAAACCATATATGGCGCCACCCACAATTGTCGGAAGAGCTTATAAGCCCCACATTTTGTTGCTCATACGCCATGTGTGCTGGAGTGGCTTAAACTCGTTTTACACTTAAGGCAGCAGTGTTGCAGCTGCAGTCAAGGGTTATCAAATATGAAAAATATAAAGATGTTAAAAAGAGAATTCAATGAGTCGAAGAAGGTTTACCCTTTAGTTAACAGAAGTTAGCCTTTGATGATGGAATTGTCGAAACAGGGGTTTTTCCTTTGATCTAATCAGTAGTACATGAATGGGTATGCTTGGGGCTCAGACAAATAGTCATTGATTGAAACCCATTGACGGCGCTCTTTCTCAGGGAAAAGCCATTTGTAGACGCCATTCGTCCTTGAGCGACGGGAAGAAGAAAAGGGCGGCCAAGACAGTCACGTGTGTGGAGGACTGCCACGTCCCCATCTCCTGTGTTTCCTTCTTTCGACCTTCATTACTTCCCAGATACTTAGCTGCACGCACTAAGTATGGACTTACACAAGGAGAGAACCTTTTTCATAAAATGTTCAATAAATAATCTGAAATAATAATGCTTTTTGAATGAGAATAATTAATAATAGTATTTGCGAACTTTTTTGTGGACACATAAATGCTTATTGAGTTGGGAAATCCAAAGTTAAATAATATGAATATATCCCCCTTATGAAACTTTACCTATAATTTAAGCATTAAATTATACCCCAACATAATACAGTTTAAACTAACTTGACTATCACTATTTTAGGCAACAAATAAAGTTCATTTTAACTTAACCTTAAAATAATACTATGTATTTTTTCTGAGTGTCAAGTAATGGAGCATGAGGAAGACTGCAGCCAGCTGCGTCCCTTAATGTGATAAGTAAGCGCATCAATTGTCAAGTGCAGCGAGTGGTGGCGCGGAAATGGGGGAATTCGATTGCCGGGGATATAGAAGAAGAACAAGGGTACTTGCAAAGGCTTTGTTCAACAACTCAATTTAGAAGCTCAATCATCAGTACCCCGCTTTTCTCCTTTCTTTGCAGAGTTCGTGTGGAGTACTATGTGAACGAAAACACATTTAAAGAAAGACTGCAACTCTATTTCATTAAGAATCAGCGTTCAAGTAAGTACCCACCAGCTAAGTATTATCTTTGAATTAACCAAAATACTCATCGTAATCACAAGAAGCAACAAGATAGTATTTAATTGAATTTGATTAGTGGCGGGATGGACGGGAAACGGATGTATACGTATCCTGCCAGCCGCATAAGGACGTAGACAAACGCACGAACACACAGACAGAAGGACCAACGAATGACATTACAAAGCCGAATTCGATAATCTTGGGTAAATATTGATTTGGAGAGGAAATAATTGAACAGGTAAACAGGTCGACTCGGTTGAGGGGAGGTTGTTTTTCGGGGCCGAAGGGAAAACCCACTCGACAAACATTCGTAGACAGTATAATTTACTCAACTGACCCAAATTCTAACGCATTTGCTATTCCCTTCACCAAAAAGGCCTGCGCATACGAATCGCCGATTTATTCCTTAAGTTACTGTCGTGTGTTCTCTACATAATACGTGTGATATTGGATAAAAATCCAACATTTATAACATGGTGAGTGGCGTCGGCAGATGGAGCTGTTCCATGATGATTGATTAAATATATCATACCATGTGATAGCTATGGCTGCGAAGTGGGCAATAAAACGGAGTTCATCATCTCGGCCAAACTGACGGAGGAGGAGTTCCAGGAGCAACCCATCATCAACTGGGACGCCATACTCTGGGTGAATCGGCCAACAGTGCTCTGGGTCCTGCAGCTACTTCTAGCCATGGTGTCGCTAACGCAATCCTTGGTTCTCACATATCTAGGCTATAAGGTATCCCAACCCGCCCCTTAACCCTATCTATCCTGTATTTTAACTTCTGTCTCGCATTTTCAGGGCAACATCTGGCAGCAGATACTCTCATTTCACTTTATACTAGAATTAGTAACGACAATACCCTTTGCACTTACGGTAGGTTTTGACTCTGGTCCTTATATGGGCTAATCAGGTGTGTTTACCCCTTCAGATTGTTCATCCTCCGCTGCGGAATCTCTTCATTCCCATTTTCCTCAACTGCTGGCTGGCAAAGCGATCGCTGGAGAACATGTTTGTGAGTGAAGGTGTTGGTCTTAACACGATCTTAGATTTATCTAATATACCGAACTCTATAGAATGACCTCCACCGTGCCATGCAAAAGTCTCAGTCAGCGCTCTCCCAGCAGTTGACCATTCTATCAGCCACACTATTGTGTCTAGTCTTCACGAGGTAATGCAATCCCGATTACAAATTTACCCTACAACCCAAATAAATTTTATTTTGTTCCCAGCGTTTGTGGCATCCAGCACTTCCAGCGGGCTGGCCATCGGCATTTAAATCTCTTTCAGAGCACTTACTATGTGGTTGTGACCTTTTCCACGGTGGGATACGGAGACTTTGTGCCGGACATTTGGCCCTCGCAGCTCTACATGGTCATCATGATTTGTGTCGCCCTCATTGTGCTGCCCACGCAGGTGAGTCAGACGAGGGATCCAATTTTGGTTCGGGACGGGGCATTAGCCAAAGCCAAATAGTTTTGTTTAGAAGCTATCTTATGCCCGGCAAAAAAGCCACATCAAATATTTATGCTCCCAAAGCCGGAGCGAACCGTATCCACATCCATCATCTGCATCTACGAGAGGGTGGGCGACTTTGGTCATCAATCGATATTAATAAATAGAGGAACCCGGCTGGGATGCTGTCGATGGAAATTGTTCACCATTTGCCCGGCTGGCTGTCTGTCCGTGACCCCTCCTATTCCCCGACCGACTGACTGACTGACTGCCATGTTCAACAATTTGCAAACAATTGTTTTATCAACAAAAACAAGCGCTGAGCAAACAGCAGAAACAGGAGAAGAGATTCCAAGGAGAAATGCGAACTAGGATGGAATCACAAAATCGGAATAACGATAGCAGCACACCCTTCACGGCTAAATAGGATAGATAGTTAAGAAAGTATAAAGTCTACTATATAGATGAATGAGCTTTAGTAGTGTTATTACTGGTTTCACCAGAAAAAATATAACTAAATCAGAACATAAGAATATTATGTACTATTAAAATGTATTGTAAAATTGGTTAAGGTTAATAACAATCGATCGAAAGAGTATAAAAATATGACTGACCATTGGTCACTTGGCCAAACAGCAAACAACAAAAGCATCCATCAAAACAGTTTTTCTACTTTTTTTCCAGCGTAGTTTTGGATGTGGAATGGGTTTTTGTTCTGCCAGCACTAAAAGTTCCAAGTGCATGTCAATATGCTGCAGAATTTATGACTTTCTAGCCCCCGCCCTACAATAAAAACAACAAGTTGCAAGCTTTTTTGACCAAAATGTTGCACAAATCCACGGAAGGTGCTGGCATCTACGTTTTATTGAACTTATTCAATCCCAGAAATCGAATTATTCCTTGTGAGGCTTGCTACACAAAAAAAAGTTTTTTAAGCGAATACTAGCAAAAGAAGCCAGTCTTAAACTTTTATATCAATCTTTTGAAGTCACCTTCAAATCGCAAGCTTTATTTTTATGAGACCATTAAACTGTAAAGTAGTGAAGCCACAACCACTGTAAAGAAAGTGCATAGTTTTCATAGGTTTGTTAAACAGAAAAGTATCCTAGAAAAAAAGGGATAATAATGCTTAAAATGAGTTTTGTACAACATAATAATGTAACTTTAAAACCTAAAAGTGACAAGTGCCTTGCTGCGAAGTTGACTATTATTGAAAACTAGCTGATTGATGTTTTAGTTACATATTAAATGAATCCTTTGTATACAGTTCGAACAGCTGGCCTTCACGTGGATGGAACGTCAGAAGCTGGGTGGCAGTTACAGTTCTCATCGCGCCCAGAGCGAAAAGCACGTGGTGGTGTGTTCCACCACCCTGCATGCGGACACCATCATGGACTTCCTGAACGAGTTCTACGCCCATCCGCTGCTGCAGGACTTCTATGTGGTGTTGCTGAGTCCCATGGAGCTGGACACAACGATGCGGATGATCCTGCAGGTGCCCATTTGGGCGCAGCGCGTCATCTACATTCAGGTGCGACTCGGACATAATCCGGCTTAGTTATGGACAAGAATCCGACATGCTGAACCCACTCAATTGCAGGGCTCCTGTCTGAAAGATGGCGACTTAGCCCGCGCCCGCATGAACGAGGCGGAGGCGTGCTTTATCCTGGCGGCCAGGAACTATGCAGACAAAACGGCCGCCGACGAACACACCATCCTACGCTCGTGGGCGGTCAAGGACTTCGCGCCGAATGTGCCGCAGTATGTGCAGATTTTCAGGTGGGTAAACATATCCTGTTCCGGTGCCGAATAATTCGAATTTTCTTTTTCTATTTGCAAATGCCAATCGCGGCGACTCAACCAATCGCACATCCTGCGGAAATTTCATTTCGCATTTCCGCAGGCCGGAGCACAAGCTGCATGTGAAGTTCGCGGAGCACGTGGTCTGCGAGGACGAGTTCAAGTACGCCCTTTTGGCCAACAACTGCACCTGTCCCGGCGCCAGCACACTGGTCACCCTGCTGCTCCACACATCCCGCGGACAGTACGTATACGCATTGTAGCCCTGGTGGCAGGACATGCAAAAAGTTCTCTATCCGCCGTGCGTCATCGTTTCGCTTGGATGCGTCACGTCATCGGCGGAGTCGGTGGTCAGGTCACAGCCGCTTGATTGCTCATTCAGACGTTTTTCCTCGGGCCTTTTATATTTATTTTTTTGCGGGAGCAGCTAATTTAGCTTAGCACGGAGTGGGCGGCCAAATGCATAAACTGGGGGGGAAAGCCATGATTCAGAGCTTACTTCTTGTTTATTGAAAATAGTTTCCAGAAGTGGCGTGGTAAAAAAGAAAGTAGAACAGGGTAAAACACTAAACTATTTAATACAACTCGAATCTTTAGAAAAAGCTTTCTTACTTCTTAAATTAAATCTTTGCTATGCCCTCTTTTCATTCCTGAAAATATCTGAAAGATAAGATTTTTTTACTTCCAAAAATCCTTTTTACCTCAGGGGAAAATCTAAAGATTTTTATTACTCCTGGGAGATAAATAAAAAACTGCTAATAAAAACACCATAAAGAACGAATGAGCTTAGCACTAACAAACAAATAACTATCCCCCGTTCTATCCCTACACTTGCATAATAGAAATTCAATTTTAAATTCTGGTTTTAATTAAAATAACAAAATGGAATAACAAAAATAATACTCGCCGACGGCAAGTGTGAAAATTAGCTGAGCAAAAGGTGGAGGTGGTTTTATGAAAACCTTTAATTAATTGCGGCTTTGAGTGGTAGTTTCCGTAACCTGTGGTCGCGCGGCATGAAAAGACGGGTTAATCAGATGTCAGCGAATGCTAATTGGGAAACCAACTGGGCCGTGACTCATGCATTCCACATGAGCCTAATCGCGAAATCGAGAACACATCCCCATATACGAGTATATACATTTGAACCTTCTGCAGGGAGGGCCAGCAAAGTCCGGAGGAGTGGCACCGCCTGTACGGCAAGTGCTCCGGAAACGAGATCTACCACATTGTGCTGGGCGACAGTCGATTCTTTGGCGAGTACGAGGGCAAGAGCTTCACCTACGCCAGCTTCCATTCGCATCGCAAGTAAGTGTTCCTACCAGAGGAGTGCCCATTCAGAGCCGGAATTCGTGCTAAGCCCACCCATCCCCATTCCCATCTCCATCCCCCCCAGATATGGAGTGGCCTTGGTGGGCGTGCGTCCGGCGGAGCTGCCCGAATTCTACGAGGAAACCATTCTGCTGAACCCCGGACCCAGGCACATTATGAAAAAGGATGACACGTGCTATTACATGAGCATCACCAAGGAGGAGAATTCCGCATTTGTCGTTAATCAAAATCAAACATCGGACCCGACGGCAGCTGCCAAGGAAGGGGGCGGGGGCGGACCCTCCTCGTCCGCCTCCCCCACCCCGCGGCGGCAACTGGTGGGTAGACCCTCTCTATAAGTCACAATAAGTGTGTGCGTGTGTGTGTGTGCGCGGTTCAAACATTTAAAATTCAAGCGAATGAATGAACTATAATATGTATCCATTTACATACAAACATAAATATGATATATGAATTATAAGCTTTCCTTATTTAGCAACAAGTTCTGTCTCTCTTTCTCTCTCCTTATTACATTTTTCCGATAATCCTTATTTTTGAGGCTGAGTTAAAAGTTTTCCTTTTTGTCGTTTCCCCCGAATATTCCGTTCGTTTGGTTTGTCTGAATGAAACGAAAACGCTTTAAATGTTTGTTTTGTGAGCGAGCCTGCCTCGAATTAACGTTAATCATAATATTCGCCTGGCCCGAATTTGTTTATTTTTTGTTGGTGAAACTTTCCACTTTAATCATTTCGTATGGGTTCCACTTTGTTATTTAATGTATTCCTACGAGGGAGTAACTTAGCCGCTTTATTTTAATTTACAACATACTATATAAATATATGAAAACTAATATCACACTTGAGAACAGTTGAAGAACACGCTTATAGTTCCTGACGGCAATGTCCCTTAGGTGAAACATAGTTTCAATTAAGAAACTGTAGGTCTAAGCCTTTTCTGACCTTAGATCTCTATTGGAATTAAAGTATTCTTAGGTTAGCTCTTTAATCCTCCACACACACACACAACACTTATATTCCCTTTCAACTCATATACTGCTAGAGAAAATACTTTCCCCAGTTTCCGTTTCCGCTTTTGATCCAATGTGTCGGATAAAGTATTAACAATTGTTCCAAAACGAAAAATAATAAAAGCTTTCTTAAGGCTTTATCAGCTATAAGTCCGCTACTTTTGATCAAATTCGAAAACAGAAAGGGGGTTAAGGGAAAGCCCTGCAGGATGTAGTCCCACGTAAACACTCGTTTGATCGTTTAATGTAATGTGTGAATGTCGCCTAAGTACAACAATTACAATCAAAAAACTACATCATCAACTATGACAACAGCAAATCCAACAACAACAACAGTACAAGCAACAACAACAACAATTAGCACAACCTTCACATCATCAACATTACTATCAGCATCAACAACAACAGCTACAATAAATGCAACCTCAACCGCCGCAGCTGCACCACCACCAGTGCCGTCTGTCTGTGTGCGTGTGCCCCACAGTCCCAGTTACGATAGTGGTGGTGGCACCACCGGCAACACCCACTTGCAACCGTATCCGTATCCGCAATCGTATCCGCAATCGCATCCGCCAATGCAAACACCAGACAGTGGCCAGTTTGCATCACTATTTGTGCGTGAGTGTGACACCAGAAATACCAAAACCCCTCAAACGAAAATATAGCCCGCAAGTCAAGAAAACCCGCATCATTGGAACCAAAGAAAAAAACAAAAATGAAGCAAAACACAAATATTTCTTTCACGTTCTTTGCCTAACTCTATCACTCACCAAAAACCGATTCAGCGACCCCCATCCAAGCTTTATCTTCCGCAGTTTTTCTCTCTCGCTGTCTCCATTTTGAAGTTCGAGCTGCCTTTATAACCCCCCACCCCATATAACTCACATTCTCCGCAAACCCATGTCAAAACACATTTCCGCAGCCATCAAACCCGATTCTGCATTCCTTTTTCTCACAGACACGATTGAAATAAAAAATCCATACATGAACACTAGGGTGGACCGTAAAACTATAAAATAAAAAAAAAAAAAAAATTATTTTCGGAAAGGGTTCCTTTTGCTGTAAAAAATATAAGTTACCAGTAAAATTTCTTTAACTTGATTTTAATTTTTTAAATTTTTAAACATAATACAAATCTTGTAAAAATATTGGTCAAAATAAAAAATCATTGAATATGATATACATTTTGCTTAATTTAAAACATATAGAATTACCCTGTGTAACATACAAAAATGGTCCACCCTAATGACCACACCTAGCCAAGCCTTGCCTTTTCTCCAATTTTTCTTCTTTTCCCACTATGCAAAACTATTTTTGTTGTTTGCTTCATTTTTCACTTGGCTTCTTTTTCACGTTTTGTAGTTGTCTTTGCTCAAACATTACTTTCTCAACTTCCGCCCATTTTTTTCTTCTTCAGCTTGTCTTTGCATTTTGTTCGGTTTGGTTTTGTATTTGTGTTGGTTTTAGTATGTGTGAGCATGTGTTTTGGATGTCTAGAAATGGCTGTAAATAATATATCCACCTCACGCAACAATTCGTGTAAATTAGCTGCATAGAAATAGTTTAGCCTGTTGTGCGCTCAAATTAAGCCCTTCCCCGTAGCTCACCCCTTTTTCCCCACGCCGCCCCTGTAATTAAGTAACCAAAAACTATTGGCAGAAAGGGAAAGACAACATTTTGGCCAAGTTGCACCTTAATCACTTTGCCGAAAGTTTCCCGGCCAGTGCAAGCTTGTCGAGGACTTTTAACGAGTTGTTTTCCCAGGTTTGTCTTGTAGATTCTCTGCAAATGCCCCCACTTGCCTTTTTTCCCCCTTTTTTTCTGTGTCACATTTTTGTCGCTCAGCTGAAATTAGTGGACATTTTATCCTGTATAGCAAGCGCCAAAGTAGTCGTAATTAGAATGGATATTGATCGACAATTTGGCCCGGCTTAATTGCACTTTACGCTCTCCCCCATCCAGCCAGCGATAATCCGACGGCTGTGATAATCTCGGACTCCAGGCAGAACCTCAAGGACACAACGGTGACCCAGACGGCGGCGACGATAACCACGACGACCCTGCCGCCTCCTCCCCAGACGATGGGATCCCCGAGCATGGCCGGCGGATCGGGAGGTGGTGGCGGTGGAGGAGGTCTGGGAATGGGTAGTGCCCACAGCATGGGCACCTCGCTGAGCATCACCCCAGCCACGCTGACCACCACGGGCAATCACCTGGACGTGCCCTTCGCCAATAATCCCAACCTGCTCAGTCCGGATGTGCTCAACCAGCGGAGGGGTGAGTTCGAGTCCAAAGAAAAGTCATCTGCTCGAGGCATTCATTTTCCTGGATTCATTGAAGCTTTGAATAAATTGGCCAGGAAGACAACCTTATTGATAAGTAAAAATGGTTCTTCCAGGAACTATTCAACCTTAAAAAGATATTGATGAAAATTTAAAAATATGTAGAATGGTTTTCTCTTTATACCTCTATTGGCACTTCAAAAATATTCATATTAAATTACAACTTAACTCAATACTCTGAAATTATTTCTGCGCCTAGGTAGTAGACGTCCCTCGATCCTGCCCGTGCCCGATATGTTCACCTCCTCCTCGTTCAGCATCGCTGGCAATGACGATGGCGAGGAGGGGGACGAGAGCGATGATGAGATCGACGACGAGATGCCCTGGCGTTCGCCCTCTGAGAAGATTGCGTAAGTATCGCCTTTCTAATCGCCTGCCCGACGACACACCTTTGTCACTATTCCGAGGCACCGTATCCCTCCTTTCCAGTGTAGTGCCTCTATTTACATAGAGTTAAACCCCTAATCCGATTGTACCACGTATATGTATCACTAACTATACTTCTTAGTCAATTATTTTCCATAAGAAACTAACCTCGAACCTGAATCTGTGTACATAGACCATGCTAGTCTGAACTCGGTAATCCGAAATGATCGAGGTTCTTCAACAGAAGCTCAAACTCGATCGCTGAGGATTGAGAGACCCAACTGAATGTAAATTGTATATGTTGTATTTAAGCACTAGACACATACCCGTTCCCACTTGTAACCACCATCCTTTTGAACACATCGAACTAAACGAGAATCGATAACTTTGCCTCAGCTGCTTGGGCGGGCACTTTCCACAATCGCGCACCTATTCGCTCATCATGAGCTCCTCGGAGGATTCCTACCAGCGAGGTTGCAGCTTCTGCAATGCCACTGCTTCCGCTTCCGCTGCTACTGTTGCTGCTGCTCCTGCTAATCCTGCTTATCCTGGTGATTCTGGCGATCCAGGCGAATCCGCGACCAATGCTGATTCCGCTGAATTCGCCACTGCAGTGCCATCCGAGGAGTACCTGCCGCAGTTACGCAGGCGCGTTATGAAAAAGAGTTTTAGCTGCGACAGTGAGTGCCGTTCCATGCCCGGAATGGGGATGGGAATGGGACCGGGAATGGGTATGGGTATGGGCTTGGGTCTGGGGGGAGGAGCCTTGGCCAGGTTGGCGGCTCGCAGGCGTCAGTTGCAGCGATGTTGCTCCTGCAGCTGCTCCACCACCACAACAACTACAACCACGCCAGCGGTGGCAGCAACAGCAGCAGCAGCAGGAAGTGGGGCAACTGCATTCACGTCGAGCAGTTCCGTAGAGACACGTCGACCGGTGCGTCCGGTCTGGGTCTACGACTACTCCTGGTAAGTCTGACGATTGGGGAGCAAGGACATTCTGCGGACACACGCCATTTGTTGAAGAGTTCTTGTCTCATTGTTGCTGTTCGTTCGTTGTTGTTGCTTTTGTTTGCCTGCCGCAGGACATCTTTTAATGACGTCGCGCCGTTTACCTTGGACCAACTGAGCAACAACTCGAGATTGGAGATTCGTTACCGTTGCCTAGTTGCTGTTTGTCGTTGCTCTTGATGCTGGTGCATCTGCATTTGCTTCTGCTTGTTCCTTGGCTATGTTTTGTTTTTTCGGCTTCCATTTTGTATTCATTGTGTAAAGGACTCCCCGGAAGCGGCAAAGTTTGCCTTCATCCGCAGTGATTGTAGGAGTTGCAGAACTGCAGGGTCTCGGGAAATCACACTTTAAGTTTTCACCATTTGTTAATTCGTAGTGAATGCTTTGGATCTGCTCGTAGTTTGCATTTGCCCCACCCCCACCCTACTCCCATGACACAATTTCCCACCTCTTGTCTCGTAGCCCAATCATTTGAGTCCCAGCACATTCTGCTTGCTTTCCCACTCGTACACATCACCGCCCACCCGATATCCTGCAGCCCATCTCCATGTCCACCGGGATCCACCCGTCTAACCCAGAGTTGTCTGCCATTCCAGCATCGTCAAGGGGTTTCCACCCGTGTCACCCTTTATTGGCGTGAGTCCCACGCTCTGTTACCTGCTCAAAGAGAAGAAGCCTCTCTGCTGCCTGCAGCTGGCTCAGGTGAAACACTTTGACAGCCTTTTTGGTCAGGCCATTTAATTAGGGGAACCCAATCTCCACCACAGGTATGCGAGCACTGCAGCTATCGGAATGCCAAGGAGTATCAGTGGCAGAACAAGACCATCATCTTGGCAGCGGACTATGCCTCCAATGGAATATACAACTTCATCATCCCGCTGAGAGCTCATTTCCGATCGAAGACCTCATTGAATCCCATCATCCTGCTTCTAGAGCGGCGGCCAGATGTGGCCTTCTTAGATGCCCTCTCGTATTTTCCACTGGTGGGTTATTATTAAAGTCCACTTGTTAGAGGTTGCTGAAAAGGTTTCTGGGGACTAGGTCTACTGGATGCTAGGTTCAATCGACTGCCTGGACGATCTGCTGAGGGCTGGCATCACATTGGCCGAAAGCGTGGTGGTGGTCAACAAGGAGCTCTCTAATTCGGCCGAAGAGGACTCACTCTCTGACTGCAACACCATCGTTGCCGTGCAAAATATGTTCAAGTGAGTGAAGTGATGGCTGGAAGTATGTAATCCCCATATCACAACACCCCCATCCCCCCGCAGATTCTTTCCCAGCATCAAGAGCATCACCGAGCTGTCGCAGAGCTCCAACATGAGGTTCATGCAGTTCCGGGCCCACGACAAGTATGCCCTTCATCTCAGCAAGATGGAGAAGGTCGGTAGCGCGTTGGCCCCATGCCCACCCATTCAGCTGACATTTGGTTAATTTGCCGCTCACTTAATTGCAGCGCGAGAAGGAGCGCGGGTCGCACATATCCTACATGTTCCGGCTGCCCTTCGCCGCAGGAGCCGTGTTCAGTGCCTCCATGCTGGACACCCTGTTGTACCAGGCCTTCGTGAAGGACTATGTGATTACGTTCGTGCGGCTACTGCTGGGCATTGACCAGGCGCCTGGTAGCGGATTTCTTACCTCGGTGAGTGGTTGATTTGAGGGTTTGAGTCAAAGTGGTCACATCTTCAGCCCATTCCAGATGCGCATCACCAAGGACGACATGTGGATACGCACCTATGGGCGGCTGTATCAGAAGCTGTGCTCCACCACCTGCGAAATACCCATTGGAATTTACCGCACTCAGGACACCTCGAATGCGGACACGTCTCATGTGAGTAACTCGCCGGTCGAGAGATGGGGACCCTTCTCGGCCTTCAGCAGGCATTGTGTGCGCTTGCGTCCATCGGTGAGTCCAAGGCAAAACAGCAAATCTCCAGATCCCATGATCAAGCTTCAAGATCGCGCATCCGATCCCACCCAGAAAGGGAACGGCTCTGCAGGACACTCAAGAGACATCTATTTCTAACCCAACTAACACGCTCACTCACTCACTCGCCCACACTTAGCCTGACTATATCTCTGTTTCTCTATGTCTAACTCTATCTTCCTAGCTCTACTCTAACTATAGCCTTTTACTTGTCTCTTGCTCACTTAATCGTATTTCGAGCTGCGATTAGGTACACACACCGAAACACAGCGAAAACAAATTTACCAGAAAACGATAACTTTTTAACTTCAGTTGCCAATTACCTAATTGAGTTGCCCCAGAAGAGGACGAGGCCTGATCGAAGTTCTTTTGGTTTTGTATGGTTTTTGGTTTCACTATCCCTCGGTTATTGTTTTTCTTTTGACTTTTGTTCTCTCAATCACACGCTTACGCTTTACTACTAACTGCATTGAGTCTAAAGTCTGTTCATCATACGAAGTTTTGCATATTTACCTCCAATATCGTTAAGTGCATTCGTTTACCTGTATCCCTCTCTTGCTCTCTATCTATATATATATCCAAGTATATATAATCCTATTCGACTTGTATCAGTAAATGGCAAAAATGGTAAAGATATAGATTTATCTTATAAATTTACATTTAAGCTTGATTGACGCCGTTAGCAGCGACTGGATCCCTCTAAAGTAAACTCCAACTTATCAAAATACATATCCACATTTATACAAAGCATAGCGTGCTGATTCTGAATCCGATTACGACTCCCACTCCCGTTGCAGTTTCGGTTCAGATTGCCCTCCTTATTTTGTTTATTTTTCCAGTAGCTCTGACCTTGCTGCAATCGGGTTGCAGGACTCTCACCCAAATCCCAATCGCCTGTTTCGTTTTTAGATTAATTTTTGCAGTCACAGCATTTATCATCCGATAGGAAAACAGATCAGACAGACGAAACATTAGCCAGCGTTCTGTGAGCATTTATAATATCAGGTCATTGAAATTATTCATACAAATTACACATACGCCCCGTTGTACCAATTGACAATTGATTTGCGTTTGTATTGGACCTGACGCACACGCACGCAGTGAGTTCCCCGAAGCGAAGAAAAAACGAAAATGAAACTGAAAACAAAAATACCCATTAAATACCAACTGAAAATACCAGTCACACTTCATACAATCTCATATGCTTGCCCCATTAGCCTGGCCTCCAATTCGTTGTGTGTAACTGTGTGTAGTCTAGTCGTAGTTGTTGTCCTTGGGAGTGGGTAGTGGTAGCTCCATCCCGGTTCCTTTTGGTCCTTTTTGCGTGACCTGTGGCTGCTGCATGTTTGGCATTTCCGGCTTTAATTTGGTTTCGGTTTTGTTTTGTTTCTGGTTCTGGTTCTAGTTCTGGTTTTGTTTTTGTAACTGTTTGCATGTCGCTTTTAATTAGCTGATTGCATTCGCTTGTTCTGCCAGGCCTTGCAGTTGGAACTTTCTCCAACACATTCTCTGGCTTAGAAAAATTCTCCCAATTACTGAAAGTTTTTGTCCCAGCATTGACGCGCCGCTGATTGCTCATTAAAAATGCTTACTCGATCTTAAAATCAATAAGAGTCAGCCGCATGAACGAAGCCAAGACAATTCTGGGTTAATTGGTAAACAAAGCTAAGAAAAAATATTGTTTAATTGGACTAGAACAACCTCAGAAAGTAGATGAGAAGTATTCCTAAGAGTAGAAACTTTGTTTTCCCAATTCCCAGTTGAAAAACAACCGCCTATCGCTTGCCCAGCACCTTCTTTCCTAGAGTTTTTATTGTTTTTTGTTGAAACTTTTTGCTTTCCGGCTTTTTAAATCAAAAAATCGCGTGTTTTACTTTCGTTTGAATTTTATAATTTAACTGTTAGCGGAAGGGGAAAACCAACTTTTGCGTGTTTCCTTTCCACGGCATGCCTAAACAACCTAAATGTTTACAATTTTGCTAAGGCCACAACTCAACCACCATACCATATTGAACACAGATATTCTCTCACACACGCGCATCGAACACTGAGAGCAGTGAAAGCAATTTGCCATTTCAATTAAAATCCAATTAAATTTGTAAATCATTTTGTGTTTAACCGAACTCATCGAACTCGAATTTGCATACACCAAACAAATCATGGGCATGCCTCAGTACGATGAGGAGACCGGAACACCCGACTCGACGAAGGACTCGACGGAAATGCTTCGCGGGGTCACCTACCGTCCGCCGGGGTCGGCAACAGGTGGCGCCAGCAGCTTCCGGCCGCAGCCCCAGCGCCAGCGGTCCGTCAACTGTTTGGGCGGTTGCTCGGAGCGCAAGGGATCATCCGTAAGTAGCCGCGTCCCATCTAATAGCACTCTCCATTCCACACCTCGACTCTGTTTCCGTGGGTAAAAGTGGGATTAAATTTTGAGGGATATGTTCGGGTTCAGGTAGGTCCGTCTTGACTCCATTCTGGCTTTTGCAGCATGATGTTCTTTGTATGGTAGCATGATTCACTGCAACTAAAACAACTAAGCCGGCAAGCGACCATGGATTCCATTGGTCAGCCAATTCTCACTGTCCATCCGTCTGCATTTCAGCACAACAATAACACAAACTCAGGATCAGCTAGCATACATCCAACAGGCCTTATTGGGGTTTTTCTTACACACACTTTAATTTGCCTACGTTTGGTTTCAAAAGTGTAGCACACTTTTGTTCAAATTTTGATCAGTGAAAGAAAAAACGCTAACTGGCCTGTAACTTTATGTGTACGAAAAACTCCAAGACATTGTGTTATGAAAGTGCTTAACCCTTTTAGTATTCCATCAACCTGGCCGACGAGGCGAGGGACAACCATGCTCAGCAGATTGAGCGGGCCGAGATCGCGAACCTGGTGCGAAGTCGGATGGAGTCTCTGAATCTGCCCACAATAGATTACGACGATGTGAGCGAGAAGCGCAACCACCTGTCCTATGTGATAATCAACCCGAGCTGTGATCTGAAACTGGAGGAAGGCGATCTCATGTGAGTATCAAGCCATTTAAATTTTGTATATACATAGAAATCAGAGAAAAATAACTCTAAACATTAAGGAATGAAGATCTGCTCGGGCGCCATGTGTAAACCAAACGTAACTCGTTACTTTCAACAGAGTTTTCGTTTAAAAATAACTAAATAATTTACTTACGTATATATCAGCATATAGATTATTGATTACCAGTAATGGGTAAATGGTTATATTTTGAATGTTTTCTTTACATCTTAGATACTTGGTGAGGCCGTCGCCGTTCTCGGCACAAAAGACCTTTGAGCGACACAACTCTCGGCGCAAATCGAACATCTCGTTTTGCTCGAACATTAACCTGGGCGCCACCTGCGGCCCCCAAATGCCGCAGATGAACATGAACATGGCCAACACCGCCGTCGGGGCTGGATCGCGTCGAGGATCGGGCATCGGCGGCTTGAACCCCATGCAAATGCAGAGCGTTCAGACCTTGGCCGGGTATGGATCATCCTCGCAGCGCTGTAGCCCCCCGATGCAGCAAATTAAATCGAATTCTCTTTCTCTACCCGACAGTCCGACGGTGGTTGGCAATCAGCGAGGACGGAGTAACTCATTGCGGGTTGGCTATTATTCCTATTACACCCACACACCCCAAACACACACCACCTATTTCCTTCTATATGTTTGTTCGGTTTGATTCGATTCACGTTTCCACGTTGGTTTGTTCCATTTTTGTTTAGATACACCAGAAACACTAAATCAAATCACACTAAATAAAATCACGATGATCGAGTTTTATATTGCGATCGCCTAGTTAAAATCTCAATATATGAAAATGGAGCTTTTTTTCCGTCTTCTTTTCATTAAACATAAACAAAACAAGAGAGAACGCTATAGTCGGGTGCCCCGACTATCAGATACCCGTTACTAAGGTAAAGGGAGTGCGAGGGAGATGGAGATAGAAACTTTGATCACGCATAACTTTTTAACGAATGGTCCGATTTGAAAATTTTCTTCACATTTCGATAGGTATTGATAAACACAATAAAACTGCATTTTTACTTTTCCGAAATATTTAAATTTTTAAAATCGTATATAAGCGATTGTGGGCGTTAAAGGGGCGTGGCACCTTTTGAAACAAACTTGCGCTGCGTAGGAACTCCTAGAATCTGCATGCAAAATGCCAATCTTCTAGCTTTTATAGTTTCCGAGATCTCAGCGTTCATACGGACAGACAGACAGACAGACAGACGGACAGACAGACGGACAGACGGACAGACGGACAGACGGACAGACGGACATGGCTATATCGACTCGGCTAGTGACCCTGATCAAGAATATATATACTTTATAGGGTCGGAAACGCTTCCTTCTAGCTGTTACATACTTTTGCACGAATACAATATACCCTTTTACTCTACGAGTAACGGGTATAACTATCAAAATATTCCAAATTTTCTAAATTTTCTGATCGCAATGTAAACTCCATCTTAGAATTGCTAAAGTGAGCTCCTTACAGAGCTTCGAAAAACACGAGTAACTTTTTCAAACTTTAGCCTTTGCTTGGTTTTATTGTTGATTTCTTAACAAATTGGCTTGAACTAACGAACCCCGTTGCTTTTCCCACTTTCCGGGGCCAAGCACTTGCACTCTCACACTGAGCATCAAAATTATGGGTACACTTTTCAAAATAAGCCGCAGAACACTCCACCAAACAGCACGGCAGCCACTGCAACTATCAACAGCAGCAACCGCAAGAACAACTGCAACAATTATTCATAGCAATAGTTCGCACTCAGAGGACAATCACTAAAGCAAGGAACTCATGAAATAACAGACACGTTTCATCCAGTGTCCAAGTCATCGAGCCGCATTTCGAGTTGAAGTTCATGTGTTTCTTCTTAATGTATTTGTTTAGTTCATTGAGTAACTGTTACTGCAACAATAGCCAATTTGTATGTGTAAACGTAATTGAGTTTTGTTGGTACAATAATATCTTGGTTTTGGGCTTACTAACCCCACTAACGACCGCCATCCCTGGTGGATATTCCCCATGCTTGCCTCTCTTGCAGATCGACAACGACATCCTGCTCCGTCGATCCTCGTCCCTGCGACAGGGCCTTCCCAGCGTGGGCGTCAGCCACGGCCGGAGAAAGTCGTCGCTGGAGGAGATCGGCATCAGTCACTTCACCACACTCATGCAGGCGACGAACCACAGTAATCCCATCAAGATATCGCTTAACGGCAGCATCGGCATGGAGGTGGGTTTGCAGTTCAATCTTGTTAATCGACAAGAAGACTAACCTCTTGCCCAGAATCAAATCTCCCTGCAGGTGACGCCACCCGAGGAGCCCACACCCATGCTGGGTGTACCCTGTGTGGTGGGCGGAGGCGGTGGAGGAGGTATTAACCCATCCGGAGCTGGTTCCTCTACCGGCGGAATGCTGGGCGCCGGCTCTTCCCTGGCCATCAATACCGCTGACCTTGGCCCAGGACCGAGCACCTCATCCGGAGCCGGTGGGTCACTGCAGGCCCAGGATTCCCTGGGGCAGCAGTCGTCGCAAGTATCTTCGCCGCAGCATTTGCAGGGAACGATCGTATGATACAACCTGATGTGGGGGCGCCGACTCCGCTCCTCCATGTCGAAAAACAAGTGGATATAGAACACGGCCGGCACACACAGACACACCCGTAGAGATAAGTTCTAGGCAGAGCGAAAGTATTAGGAACCCAACCAAATAAACCCACCCACCCCAAAAGGCTGTCTGTGGTGTGTGGCCCCCGGAAAATCCATTTCGAGCCCCATTAAGTTAGTCTCGTATGTTCAATAGATCACTAGATCTCTAGTGCGCGTGCTTATCGGTTTATCCCTTAGGAGTATGTATAGATATATATATAATGTACATTGCAAGTTTTGCAATTAGTTATAAGCTAATGATTACGACGGCTTTGCACACTGAAGCCGCGGCAAATTGTGTTTTGGGAACAACAAATGTAGTTAAACTATTGGATAGGTGGGACTATGATGATTTAGCAAACTGTATAACTGTATATATATAATGCCTAGTTGTAAGCATTTCCGAGAAGTCAGACGTAGCAAACTATCAAATAGATCAGGCTTTAACGCTTAAATCCATGTATATACCTTAGGTATGACCATTTAGTTGGGCTTCAGCTCGGCTTAGCTTCCCCTTCCTTCGGGAGGAAATTCCTCTGACCCACGTAAACCCCATATAGATACATATATGAAGGTGCTATCAATGTCTTGTACTATACACACACTCAGATAAACGTTTTGTGAAACTACTATAAATGTTTTACAGAATTATAGGAAAGAAAGGAGGTAAACAAACCAAGAAAGTGAAAAGGTTTTCATAACATAAATTGGAACGGGCTTTGGTATACTCTAATGCTTTACAAAACCAACAGAAATATGTATACATATATAAAAATAAATCAAAGAATTTGTATATAAACTAATTAGGTAAGAACCAAACATGCATTCAAGAAAAAACAAAACGAAAAACTAACTACTAGAACCTAATGGACAAACTTAAATCGAAAAACAACAGAATCTAGGAATAAAGTTCTACTTTAGAGTTTACTAATTAAGACTAGTTTGGACCGAGGATGGAATACCGGTAACTGTACCAAATTCAATGAGCTATATGAACCAGCGTTCGCAGCTAACACAACCCTGTAGCAACGCAACCTACGTCCCTTTAAATTAATTCGATCCCAGCTATAGGCCCTATAGGAAGTAGCTAAAGCGAACAATGTACCTACACGACCACTTACCACTCAAGCATCCACACTCACTTAAAAATGTTAGTTAAAGCACCTAAAGCAGTTTTATAAGGAAATTTTAGTCAACGATGACGATGAAATGCATTCCAGTGTCTCGGGAGGAAACTAGTTAAGCTTATGCCTAGCACCCCAGAAACCTATTTATATAGATCTGTATACTTATGTATCTGTATATCTGCATCTACCACATAGATCCAACCGATGTCTCAATGTACAAAAGTAGGTAACTAAACCGCATCTGGCATTGGCTGCAGCATTAGAGATACATTTAGTGAACTAGGGTATAAACTTGCTGTAATATTTATCAGCGCAATGCTCTTTAAGGCATGCCGAACAAAACTCACAATAAACTCAAACTATAGTTGGAAATAATTGGATCGGATTTTGTTTTTAAACCTCTTTGGCCGCTGCAAAGGTAAGATATGGTGTTTAAGTACAATTAATTGTGGATTAATTGTAAAACTATCTGTTAAATATCTTTCTTAAATTTTTCTAAATTCAATGTTTAAGGACCACTTGGAGAGAAGCCAGATCTTAGCACACATCTATGTACGTAGACCAGATTATTCGGTCAAAATGTGCAGGCTGTTTCTTTCGGTCTCGGGCTGTACGTATATTCCTATAATTTTAACCAGGATTAATATGTCTATATTCATATATTTTTACTTCGCTGTCAATAAATTGCACATACTTTAGGTCTACATTTTCCCGAGAAAAGTAAATTTTAAGAACTTTTTAAAGCTGTTAAAGTTGACGAAACGGGAAAGAATGGTTGTGTTCCTTTGTACCTTTTTAGTATTTCACAACAAAATATATAGTGTGAGTATGGGCTCAAATCGATTTAAAAAATATTCATTTGTGTAAGGCTTAAAACTTAAATTTAAATCCTGTGTAAGACTTGTTTTTCTTTATTAATTATTTTTCTTTGAGTAGCTTTACATAAATTGGCACACAGGCACTCCTAGTTAGTTTATTTAATTTAGTTTAGTTTACTTCCGTTTCATTCAGCGCTTTGGTTAACTTGCTTTGTGTGTGATTGTATACGAATCGAAAAATAATTTCCGTTCCCATTAAACATATTCTTATAAGTTGGGGTAGGGCGCTGGCACAGTGCATCCGGTGGAGGCGGAGGTGCACTTGCAGCTCTTTCCAGACGGAGCCTCTCGGTTCACCAGGCAGAGCCGGGAGTCCGTGCATCCGCCGTTGTTGATCTGGCAGGGACTCTGGTACTGCGGGCAGTTCTGCTCCACGACCGTCATGGCGAACATCTTGTGGCTGCCGAAGAAGAACGGCTGGAGGGCGGTCTGCCGCGTGCCCAGGCTGTCCACGCTCTCAACTTTTTTGCTGAAATAATATAAACAGCTATTAGAAAGGGCTCTTAAGGAAGGCGGTCCGTGGAAACTCACGTGGTCCAGTCCGTCCAGTAGAACTTATCCTGCGCGTAGGCGATGCCGAAGGGATAGGACGGCTCGTTGGAAATGGTGCGGACCTGTCGGTTCTCTGGGTTGACGCACTCCACCTTTTTGGTACCCGCATCCGCGAAGCACACTTCGCCAGAGTTTTCGAGCACCACCAGGGAGTTGGGCAGGTTCACTGCCTGCTGACCCAGCAGCAGTTCCCGACCAGTGCCATCCAAGTTGGACATCTCGATTTTGGGCGAGTTACGGTCCCAATCCGACCAGTAGAGTTTTCTGGCAAAAGTAAACGAACATATTAGTAGAAACACGTTTGCTTTGTAGGTTGGTCAACTAAAAAAGGGGATTTCTTTTTATGAAAACCGCAGGGAAGGCACTCACTCCCTGTAAGGATCTACGGCAATGCCACGCGGGTTCACCAGCTGCTTGTTGATGAGTACCGCCCGCAAGGTAGGATCGTCCAGACTGGCCACCTCAATGGTGTCCTTCCCCGAATCCGCCCAGTAAAGGCGGCGCGAGATCACATCAATGGCAATGCCCTCGGGAGATTCGATATCTGGGTATAACAAATGGTTAAGGATTTGATTCCGTGCGGTGAGTTATTCGTCCTACCCGTGGTGATGAAGGGACGTACATCGGTGCCGTCGTACTTGGCGCTAACAATCTTCTTGCTTGAAATATCGCTCCAGTAGACACGTCCCTCCACACAGTCCTTGTCCAGACCAATGGCCATCTGGGCCATCGAAATAATTTGCACCTTGCGTCCATTCAGGGAAAAGCGGAGAATTCCCACGCCCTGGCTGACGATCAGGAAGTCCGATTCGTGCCGCTGACGCTCCTGGCAAATCGATCCGTTGCCATAGAAATCTGAAGCATTTAAAGTTTATGATTTGAAAAAAATAAATTAATTAATAAACATATATTATTGTTAAATTATGATAATTAAGAAGGAGTTGTTTAAGGGATCGTAGTACCAGTTTCTGTTTCACTCTTTTCTAGGCCTTTCTTTTTATTCAGAAACTACTTTTTCTTTAAATTTTCAGTTCCTTAAATCATTCGGTAAGTTTCCTTATATAGCATAGACATTCCTGATCATGTTAGTCTACTATCCCATCAAGGGATGCCTCACGCCCAGAAGCTGTTGACCAAGATGTGGCGCCCATCCACTAGTGGTCTGAAATTGAAATGCCGCTCTTTCAACCAGCAAAACTTCACCCCTAAGAATCCCGACGATTCGCTCAAGCGCCCTGCTCATTTCCAGTCCATGCGGGAATTCTTCATGCATCCGCTGACCTGGGACCGAAACAACGGCTACTTCAATGTGGTGCTGGCCCTGAGCATCTTCGGCTTCTGCTTCTTCAACTCGTGCGCTCCTTGCGAACAACAGAGGAGCGGCCTCGAGGAGCGCACCACCCGCCCGCAGTGAATCCAGATCGGATTGGGCCCCAACTCACCCTGATTGCAGACGCAGACCAGACCGGCGTTGGTCGATCGGCACTGGGCATTCATGTCGCACAGCGTCGGGTTGTTCAGGCAGTTCTGCTCCTCAATGCACACGTGTCCATCGCCCTTGAAACCAGCAAGGCACTGGCACTCGTAATTCGCCGGGTCCCTAAAAATATAGAATTGGAAAAATATTTTTATTTCTTTTACATTGACTTCCGATGATCGTCTTTTAGTCTATTAGAAATACTCCAAATCCGATTTTAAATATGCATAATTTAAAGTGATATAAACCTTCTTCACTTTATGAGTTCAAAGGTCGCAAAACAAGCCACTCTTGATCATGATTTTTCTATAATCAAAGTTTTTTTTTAGAAATGGCCTAAAAATACGAGTCGAAATGTATGTCTCGATTAAAGAAACCTTTTATTCTTTGAGGCACTCACTCGGTGGGCTCGCAGGAGGCATGGTCTCCGCAGTTGTTCGCCACGTGGCAGGAGAGGGGCTTGCTGATGCATCCTTGCACGGGATTGCCCTGGTATCCCTCGAGGCAGCTGCAGAACTGGGTGCTCTGCGCCGAGTCCAACTTGCAGATGGCATTGGAGCCGCAAAAGTCGTCGCCGCACCGTCCAGCTGGCACACAACGGTCGCTATCGTCCCGCTCGAAGTTCACTTGGCAGCGGCAGACGCCGTCCTCGCAAATGGCGTTCTCGCCGCAATGCTCGGCCGAACGGCAATGGGGGGCCGGTTGGCACCGGAAGCCATCGCCTTCGTAGCCCTCCCTGCACTGGCATACCAACTTGACCAGGTCCTCGGTGTAGACGCAGGCGGCATTGACATCGCAGAGATCGGGTATCTAAAAGCCAAGCGGTGCACGTTTTATGGAGGATTCTTATAGAGATCATGGAGGAATTCGCAAGCTCACATTTCCACAGGAGTCCTCGCCAACTGGTTCGCAGGTGAAGCCATCACCTCGGAATCCCGGCTTGCAATTGCAACTGTTTTTCAACTCCTCGTTGTTCCAAATGCAGGAGGCATTGATGTGGCAGGCTTCATCCACGTCGCAGGGAACTACAAAGTTGAAAGAGGGAGTTATAATGATATACCAATGTATATTGAAGGTATTCTAGAACTCACTTAGTTCGGAAATCGATTCCTGATCAAAATCTTGGGCGTAGGAGCATCGCAGGCCATCCTCGGTCAGATCGTATCCATGGGGGCATCGGCAATCGCCCAAAGCATCGCAGACCGGGTCCACGTCGTGCCAGTCATTTAGAGGCTCGCAATGATCGTTGTCCCAAATCTCGTTTTCCCCGCAAAGGGCGCTGCAGTTGTAGCCATCGCCATCAAAGCCCTCGTGGCAGGTGCACCGACCATTGTTGCAGTCGGCATAATGTGAACAGCGCTGTGAAACGGAATGATGATGCTAATGAGAAACGGAATACACTGCGGGAATATACTGCGTCTACTAACTATAAATATATAATAATAATATTATATAATAAATATATGACTGATAAAGGATATAGGCAACTCAAGGGATTGAAACGAAATGATAAAAAAGCAAGTAAACATGTTCAGTGTACACATAAAATAATTTTGAAAATTTTATGTGGAAAGCATTCCGCGATTAAGCTGCATAAAATCATTTAGGCAATATGGCACATATTTAAAAGCTTCAGGTTATAGTAATCCTTCGTAAACATATAAAAAGGCGATTGCCAGGTTTAATTTTTTAGCTCTCTAAATAAGCTGGCAAATGTTGTAGAAACTGATGGAAATGCGGACTAAATCAAATTGCCTAGTGATATTGGTCAGGAATACGATACGGTCAAAAATGTCTCCTTTCCAGTCGTTTAATTTTTGTAAAAACTTCTGCTTGCCCAAGTTTGCTTCCTTTCTTGCTTGCACTGATTCGGGATCTTTAAGTCATTTCAATTCTCTAGCTCTATTAGTTTCTGAGATTTCATTGCTTTTTGGACGGACTGAATGACTGATGAACAAAAGGATATGCATTCTTTTCACTGCCAAGCACATTTAGAGGATATAAGATATAAGATTACGAGTAATGTGTTTGACTAATAGCTAAAGTATGTATTTAGGATTAATTGGTCAACCTACGTAGCATTCGTCGGGTTGTTGAGGCACCTGCTCCCCAGGATTAGGGTGTGTGTCCGACTGGGAAGCCTGCTCACGTTCCCGCTCCTGTTCTCGCTGTCTTTCCCTTTCCCTTTCCCATTCCCGTTCCTGTTCCTGTTGGCGTTCCTGCTCCTGGGCACGGTCTTCATTCTGGTCCCCTTCGGGTTGAGGGTATGGATCCTGGCTTTGGTTGGGATCGGTATTAGATCCCCCTTGACCCTGGTTCGTTGGCAGGTACTCAATATTGTCGGCGGTGCTATTGGACAGACAACGGTAGCCGTTGCCCTGGAAGCCCTCGGAGCAGTAGCAGGTAAATCCGCCCTCCGTGTTGGCGCAGATGGCGTTTTCGTCGCAGACATGGGAACCCGTTGCGCATTCGTCGATGTCCAGGCAGACCTCCGCGCCCCGCTCGTCCAGCTGGGCGGCGTATCCATGGTGGCAGTCACACCGATAGGTGTCCTCATAAGGAACGCAGATGGAGTTGTCCACGCAATCTGCGCTACCATCGTTGCAGGCGTTTGATTCGGCGGTCACACCGACCTTGCTCAAGGCACCAATGCGCAGAGCCTGGTCACCATCCACGTATTCCAGGGACACCTTGGATATCTTCTGCAGCACCTTGGTGGCACTGGGATCCGGCTCGTCATCCCGCAGACAGCTGCGGTACAAGATGCGTTGCTCCACCTGCAGTTGCATTTTATGAGTCATCAACAATACTTCCAAATTTATGATTTGGTCTCACCTTCAATTCCAGCACACGCTGATCTCCCGTGATCTCTATCTTGTGCACCTGCACGGACTTGAGTTCTCCAGGCCGCTCGAAGGTGTACTCCTCCACATATTCGGGCAGATGAAGGACCGCCTGGGCCGCTACCGACGGCACCTCGCCGTACAGCTCGATCTTCACGGACAGAAGGTCCCACGGGTTGAGGCCCTCGAAGGTCTGGTTGACATGGAGGCTCTCCCCGGAGTCGAACTGCAGGCGGGAGATGTGGGTGAAGACGCCGCCGGTCAGTTGGTAGCCATTGGCCACGCCGCCCACCGACTTGGCGAACAGCCAGGGCACGGTGGTCAGCAGTGGGAGGACCAGTCGGAGTTGGGCGCCCTGTTCGGGGATCAGTGGGTGGATGGTCGTGTAGGTGCGACCTTCGCTGGTCACCACATAAGACTGCAGCTTGCCCTCCTCGGTCACGGGGTGGTTGTTCAGCTCTCCGGACAGAGTTCCGGTCACTCGGATGGGCTTAGAGTTGGCCAGACAGGACTTGCCATTGCCAAAGAATCCGGACTGACAGACGCAGCAGTATCCTTCGGCGTTGTCGTGACACTCGGCCTGCTCGTGGCACTGATGGGCATGGGCCTGGCAGCTCTGGGCCAAGGCGGGTGACTCTGTGCGAGTCTCGTCGTTGTCGGGAGTCCTCACATTCAGTTCAGGCTCAATGGGAGCCACTTCGAACAGCCAGACTCCGGGCACGCCCAGGTTGGTGCTCTCGCTTAGAAAACGCGCCTGAAAATTGAATATTTTGGTATATTAACAGGGATTTATCCAAGAAGAAGTCCGACTTAATAATAGTATTTATAATAATAGAAAACTAGTGACCCTAACATAGGGTCTTTCACACGTACGTTCGCCGATCCGGAACCATTCAATTTGTAGTAGCGGCCATCTGCACCCTCGAATCCAGCCTGGGCTCGGATGTCGGGCAGACCCGATCCAGCGGTCTCGCCCTGCAGCCAGTTAAGACCGCCTTCCGGATAGATGAGCTGCACAAAGGTCTGCTGTTCGTCGGCGATCAGTGCCACCTGGAAGGTGTTCAGGCGATCTGTCTTGGAGTCGAAATAGCCCACTTTGCGCCACGTGCCCACGATCACCTGGCTAGCCTGAAAGTCATGCTGACTGCTGAACGCGTACTGCACTATTTTGGAGGCTTTGTCGAGCGTTTCTTGCTCCTTGGTCTCAAACAGGGAGATCGAGGTGCTGTCATCGCTGTTCGAGGTGTCCACATTCGAGTAGAAGGCCGCTATCGAGGGGTTCTCAAGCGGAAATTGCTGGTTCAGATAGTCTGGAAAGTCCAGATTGAAAGTAAGAATGCCATTGGTGTTGATCTGGGAAAAAAACAATAAAATAATGTCCCATATTAGTATTACATATTTTCAGATTAAAAATATGTATTAATTAATTTTATATCTTTAATTGGATTGTAAATTATTGTTATTATATAGTATATGTAAAACGTCTCAGCTTATGTAATTCGGTTTCCAACCGCTTCTCATATCTTTCATCCTGATTACCAAATTTAATAAGGGCCCTTTGTTCAGGCGTTTTGGAAACCAAAACAACATTAAGACAATTTTTTATGTTGGTGTTTTGGAATAAGGAAGCTACACTTGGGATCGTTTGAAGTGGAAATACTTGGCCTCCATATGGCGTGGCAATTAGTGCGAGGCGTGAAGTGCTAACGGGCCACTTAGCTCTAATGGGCATTCTCCTGGCGGAAACAAAACAACAACAAACCATTAACAAGGCGGCAAATGATCTGACGAAGGGATGTGCATACGAGATGTATATTAAGGCCTCCTAATTGAGTCCTCGGCCGACATCCGCCCAACGATCCGTCTAAATTTAGCGGCATCTCCAGCGATGCAACAGGCAATCTGAATAAACAACTCGGAATTGGAGCACAGGTGTTCGGGAAATGCCTTTCTTGTGGCTGCCGACAGGCCGCAGCATAAATCATGTCCATCTTCTGGCTCCACGGACTCCACTCATCTCCGCAGGTGATCGCGGCATGTCTGGGAATTCCGGCATCTTGGCAGGTGATTTGTACAGATTCCTAACTCCACATGGATAATCCACATGCCGCAATAGATGCAAAATTGAGGTTGGGTGAGCATGTAGTCGTTTATTTCTTCTTGGCCTATTTTACACACTTGATTATGTTATGTTTTTGTTCCAAATTTGAATGTTTAACGAAATAACTTTGCCTTTTGGTAGCGGATTTGGTAGTTGACCGTACATACTCGGTTAAAATTTTTCTTAAGCAGTCAATATTAAATATATTATTAATATAATATTAAATGAGAACTTCTAACCCGTTAGGACTACAGAGTACGTATTAAAATGAGGAAATGGGCTTTAAAAAAAGTTATTAGGAAATCAAAATAAACAATCACATTTTAAAAATACTAAAACCTATTTTTCCAAATATTTAGTTTTTACATAGGTTTTTCGACTATTTTCTTTAAACGTGATAAGAAGACTGGGAAAATTGGGAGATCGTTAATCTTCAACGAAGTATAACAAAATTGCAAGAAGTGTCTGAAAATATGTTTTCTTATCAGAAATATAGGTAGGTATGTATGTATATATAACCAGACTTGTGAACAAATCTTGTCTGGGGTTATTCACACGCTATTGTGGATTGGAATTTGATGAATCTATTTATACGCCTCCAAAATGCTTTCGACACCAATTTGACCCAAGAGCTTTGAAACTGGTGGCAGACTCCTCTGATCTTTTCGACCATTTTGTCAAGGAAATTCATTGAAATTTATGGATTTCTATGGCCAAAGAGCTCGTTCCGATTCTGTGCCGCCTGTGTCTACGTCAGACACATAAATTCAGTTAATTAACTAACAAAATGCCGAGCAGAAAAAGAAAATCGTTCAAAAATAGGCGACACTCTCAATTCGGAGAACTCATAACATAACTTTGGCTGCCAAGTGCCGAAACCACTCAGACACTCGGATGCGGATGCTCACAACTCTGGCATCTGGCATTTGGCCAAGGCGGCAAGCGACATCGATGGGTTCGGTTCGGTTTGGCATGGTCTTGGACCACCCTCAAGTGGCTGAGGATTGTAGCTGCGGATGTATGGCGTGTGCATTGGGACACCCATGCGAGCGAGGTGTGTGGAAATCGATGTACGACCTGTCATGTTTTGCCTAAAATTAATGTCGCCTATAAATACGCGCGCCACAACAAAGCAATCTGCCCAGAAATAGAAAAATAGTAGCTATAAACTATTGAACCGCGTTGTATTTGCATATTGATTGCCTCTTATCGTCGATACACTGACCAAAGCTTATCACCTCGTCACCCTGCACGCTGCAAAAATTCATTCAGTGCACAATCTTCGAAATACTTTGTAGCCCAAGCGAACCCTGATCTCTTAAAGGGGGTGCATTACTCACATATAGCTTCTCGTACTGCTCCCCGTAGAAGTGAATGGGCTGCTCCAGTTGCAGCACGGCCGACTCGCTGTCGCCCTTGGCCAGGTACTGGATGCTGCCCGAGGATCCTTCCTCGAACTCGTACAACTCCGAGGATCGCAAGCTGTCCAGGTAGTGCTCGAACTGACCGCTGACCAGGATCACCGAACTGAGCAGCAGGAAGGCGAGGAATTTGCTGCCGAAGCTCGGCATTATGACGGGATATATGGGGCTCTTTTTGGTTTATTTATATTTTTATTTCTGTGACTTTGACACGCGAGGATTTCACAATTTCGCCAAAGGCATTTTCACACTAGACACAGAACACTTTTGCTTTCGCCTCAAGTTTGATCCAAAAATATAGGCGATTTATAAATAAAATGTGGCACTATCTATTCGATGGTAATACATATATAGAGGTGTATGTCGTGTGTATAGTTTGACAGATTTTTGGAACTGTCGCTCCAAGTGGCGGCCCAGCTCCTCAGCTTCTGCTTTTCTTCTGGTTCCTGAACACGCGAGCGAGGAAAACCGAACGAACCGCACGCCTTGCCAACAGATTCTCGACTGATTGGCCGTCGTCTCCGCTGTGGATTCTCCTCGACTCGGTGCTCATCCGTCCGTTACACTTGAGTATCTGTGTGCGCTACTGGCCCGAGTGCCAGTGTATTGGTAAGTGCCCGAAAGCGAGAGTTTCTCTGGAGGCCACAGATACCATGCATTTGTGTCCCAAATAGGATCCGCAAACTGCAATCCCCGCCAGATGCTGTTCAATTATGACAGTTCTTTATTGATGTTTACATCAAGAACCATCCGTGGCGTGGGCACTCAACTCGTGGAGGGACTATCTAATTATAGCCAAATAAAATAATCAGTTATTGTGCTTTACTTATGTATAGCCAAGATCCAGATAAATCCAGAAGAACGATTTACGCATGAGACCTAATATTAAGACTAGGACTAAAAATGTTTTAAGTCATATGAATCGCAAACCAAATAAAAACTATGGGATTCATATTTTTAAAATTTTGTATAAAATGAGAAATATGAACGTTAGTTTTTCTTGTAAGGTATAAACACTTAGACTAGTTATAGTGTTATCAATAAAATATAAATAAATATATTTTTAAATGTATCTACAATTACAATTCGAATAATAACAAGTAATCTACAGTATGATTAATAAATAAAATAAAGTGTTCCAAATGAAAAAGAATTGTGTTAACCTAATATTTAAATAATAACTTGTTGCACTGCGCTTATAAAAAATAGGAAACAAAAGCTTTAACGATCATTTGTAGATCCTAATACTTGTAGACTTCTGTGGCAACACAGGATGTATGACATCTTTATGATCTTTCCATCACTACGTATTTACCTAGAGTTCGAATATAAAAACTAAAGAGATTTCAGAGCCACTTCTGAGTAATGTGATTTAAAATCCATTACTCAATAAAAACTGACAGAAAATCACTCATTTTCACAAATTTTATAAATTAAGATTTAAGAATGCTATAAACAAATGGCCTCTTTTTCATTCCCCTGACGGTGACTTAAAGGCCGGGCTTCCGAAACTCACGGATGCGGCTAGTTAGTTGTGGGCGTTCCAGTTCCTAGGAACTGAACTTCAGGCGGGCACGTGCCGCTCTGTTGCTCTTGCCCCCCAAATTCCCCATCGCATACCACCGTGAAGCGCCGCCAAGAAAGGGAGGAGCGGATACCTTCCATACAGGCACATCCGAGTCCACACGCACATCCACACCCATTCCTCAAGTCCCCACCCCATTCAACAACACAGCAGTGGTGCTAATTTAGATTTTTCTGGATTTCTTTAGGCATTTAAAAAAATATATCATCTTTATCGATTTGAAAGCAAATCCGTTTTGAAAAATCCTCAGCAGACATAGGACCTTGAGCGTTTAACTCTTCTGTAAATTTAAATTTGATCAGAGTTTTTAAACAATATTTTTATACCCTGCAGAGGGTATTATAATTTCAGTCAAAGTTTGCAACGCAGTGAAGGAGACATTTCCGACCCTATAAAGTATATATATTCTTGATCAGGATCACCTCCTGAGTTGATATAGCCATGTCCGTCTGTCCGTCTGTCCGTCCGTCTGTCCGTCCGTCTGTCCGTCTGTCCGTCTGTCCGTCTGTCCGTCTGTCCGTCCGTTTCTACGCAAACTAGTCCCTCAGTTTTAAAGCTATCTGCTTGAAACTTTCCCAAAAGTTGTCTTTCTATTGCAGGTAGTATATAAGTCGGAACGAGCCGGATCGGGCCACTATATCATATAGCTGCCATATAACTGAACGATCGGAAATGCCATAACTTTGGTGTTTTTTAAGTTTGGAAGTTGGGATTTTCTATGGGTCTTATTTTTGGCTAATCAATCCGACCTACCAAATTTCATAAGGATCGGACGACTATATCCTATAGCCGCCATATAACTGATTGATCGGAAATGCAATAGCTTTGGTGTTTGTAAAGTTAGGAAATTGGGATTTTCTATGGGTTTTATTTTTGGCCAATCAATCCGACCTACCAAATTTCATAAGGATCGGCCGACTATATCTTATAGCTGCCATATAACTGAACGATTGGAAATGACATAACTTTGGTGTTTTTAAAGTTGGGAAGTTGGGACTTTTTATGAGTATTAAGAATGCATCATATGAATAATTTTGGAGAATATAATTTATAGAATATTCTGCAAGGGTATATCAACTTCGCTCCAAAACTTTCCTTTCTTGTTTAAATGTAAGATTTCTCGAATCTACTTTTGGTTGGAAGGACTTAAAATAAACAAGAAAGGAAAGCTAACTCGGGCGGAGCCGAAGTTGATATACCCTTGCAGAATATTCTGTAAATTATATTCTCCAAAATCGGGTCGGTTATTCATATGATGCATTCTTAATACTCATAAAAATCCCAACTACCTAATTTAAAAACACCAAAGTATGTCATTTCCAATCGTTCAGTTATATGGCAGCTATATGATATAGTGGCCCGATCCGCTCGTTCCGACTTATATACTACCTGCAATAGAAAGACAACTTTTGGAAAAGTTTTAAGGAGATAGTTTTAAAACTGAGGGACTAGTTTGCGTAGAAACGGACGGACGGACAGACGGACGGAAAGACGGAAATGGCTAGATCGACTCTGCTGGTGATGCTGATCAAGAATATATATACTTTATAGGGTCGGAAATGTCTCCTTCTCTGCGTTGCAAAACTTTTGACTGAAATTATAATACCCTCTGCAAGGGTATAAAAATATATATTTCATATACTAAACTATCGTTGCTTAAATTCAAAATGCATTTTCAAACATATCTGCGAGAATACTTGCTATTTACAAACAATTTAAAAAATTTATTTTATAAAGTATTTAAACCATGGTTTCGGTACTAGTAAATTAGAACACTAAAAAAATGTGATTTTGAATATGTAATGAATATTTTCTGTTCGATCTTGGACTTGAAATTGTTAGTCTAGATGTGTCGTCGGCATCACTGCTGCACACCACTCCTTTTCTTTGGCGGGGTGTGTGCGAGTCAAAAATAAACAAATGGTAACTTCTGAGGCAGCGACGCAACGTCTGCGCCCTCACTGATGGCGATCGGGTGCTCTCGCGGAGGAGCTGGATCCCAAGATGCAACTGGAACCCATGGCGGAGGATGGGGGAGCGGCAGTTGGACTATTTATGATGTATTTCTCGGTTAATTAGTTGCAGCTGAACGCTACGGAATGGGTGTGGGAATGGAATTGGGATCGGGAATGCTTCCGCATGCATTTGCTAGAAAGTGCGTTTCTTAGGGCTCTGGTTATTTTTGCTATATTTGGATATTGCGCCGCTTGATCGGTGATGGATGCCTGCGCCCTTTCATCATTTATCTTCGAGTGCGGCGGGCTAATGGAACTGCAATGCGTTTCAGGTACTGGAGCGGAACGATGACGACGACGATGGTCATGATGACGCTGCACCCGGGCAGACAGTTTTCAAAATTTCGGGTGAAGTAATTTAAAAACTAAATTAAGCCCCAAATTAAAAGCCATCAAATGTTCCGCAAAATTACACTTCCACAGCAACTACTCAGTTATAAAAGCCCCTGACTTCTAAATTAGATTACCCCGGGCAGTGCAAAAAATGTTCGACCAACAACTAAACGTACTTTTCCTGCTGCTCCTGACCGTTTGGGCTATGGGTAGAACCACTTCACCCGATTTGGATGAGGACTGCGAGCTTAATGCTGTCGATACAATGGTGAGTTCACTAATCAATTGCATAAACTGGTACTTACTCCGTCAAGATAAAAAAAAATTAATAAAAATTATTTTAAAAGAGTCTGAGATTTGCGTCTGTAAAAGAAAAAGAAAATTATAAAAAAAAAAAAAAAAGCTAACTAACGGGCGGAGCCGAAGTTGATATACCCTTGCAGAATACTCTGTAAATTATATTCTCCAAAATTATTCATATGATGCATTCTTAATACTCATAAAAAATCCCAACTTCCTAACTTTAAAAACACCAAAGTTATGACATTTCCAATCGTTCAGTTATATGGCAGCTATAGGATATAGTCGGCCGATCCTTATGAAATTTGGTAGGTCGGATTGGCTGGCCAAATATAACACCCATAGAAAATGCCAACTTCCTAACTTTACAAACACCAAAGTTATGGCATTTCCGATCAATCAGTTATATGGCAGCTATAGGATATAGTCGGCCGATCCTTATGAAAATCGGCATGTCGGATTGATTAGCCAAATATAAAACCCATAGAAAATTCCAACATTCTAACTTTACAAACACCAAAGTTATGGCATTTCCGATCAATCAGTTATATGGCAGCTATAGGATATAGTCGGCCGATCCTTATGAAAATCGGCATGTCGGATTGATTAGCCAAATATAAAACCCATAGAAAATCCCAACATTCTAACTTTACAAACACCAAAGTTATGGCATTTCCGATCAATCAGTTATATGGCAGCTATAGGATATAGTCGGCCGATCCTTATGAAATTCGGCATGTCGGATTGATTAGCCAAATACAAAACCCATAGAAAATCCCAACTTCCTAACTTTACAAACACCAAAGTTATGGCATTTCCGATCGTTCAGTTATATGGCAGCTATAGGATATAGTCGGCCGATCCCGGCCGTTCCGACTTATATACTGCGTGCAAAGGAAAGAAGGGTGTGTGCAAAGTTTCAATTCGATATCTTTAAAACTGAGAGACTAGTTCGCGTAGAAACAGACAGACGGACAGACAGACAGACAGACGGACAGACGGACAGACGGACAGACGGACAGACGGACAGACGGACAGACGGACATGGCTATATCAACTCAGGAGGTGATCCTGATCAAGAATATATATACTTTATAGGGTCGGAGATGTCTCCTTCACTGCGTTGCACACTTTTGACCAAAATTATAATACCCTCTGCAAGGGTATAAAAATCTAGTCCAATCGTTAAAATTCATAGCCAGACAGAGAAATCGTCTCTTAAAATTCCGATTCTTAATTGCAGCACGATTTCTGCTGCGACCTGCACGACGAGAGTCCGCAGTTCAGCGACTGCCAGATGGAATGGCATGAGAAGATCCCCTACGAGACGGATGAAGAGGAGCAGACCTACATGTTCGTGAGTTCAGTAAAAGAGGACATAAATGTACTTAACTAAATCTATGATCAGTGCACTGCAGAGTGTAGTTTCAACAACACTAAGTTTGTGGGCAGGGATCGCCGGTCACTAAATCTTGTACAGGTAAAGGAACATTTGGAAAGCGATCTGGTCAATGATGCGGATGTGACGCTCCTTTTTGACACGTATCTTAAGTGCGACAAGCATGGTGCGTTTAAATTCGAGAAGTTACTTTTAAAACCAACCTAAAACCGATTCTCTTTTCAGCGCTCTCGCTTTTGCCGCACAAGGGAGTCAAGCAGTTGGCCAGACGTCTTCTTCGCCAAGGCTGTCATCCGTACCCGGGTTTGGTCCTCGAGTGCGTGGCCAACGAGATGATCCTCCACTGTCCCGTCAAGCGATTCCATCAAACAGCCCAGTGCGAAGAAACCCGCAATCATCTAAAGCAATGCATGCAGTACTTAAAGTATAAATCCTAGAATGGGATTAAACACACAGTATTTGCAGCTTACACGTTTATTGTCCTTCGCTATAACTTAACTATGACTAAAGGTGGGATGCTCGGCTAGCTAGCGATCTTGACCAGATCGCCATTTACTTGAAGAGAGTCGGCGAGCTTGAGTTGCTTGTCGAAGCGTTTTTGGAACTTCTTGGCCTGCTTTTCGGACAATTCCTCGACCGAAAGATGCTTGGCGTACTTCTTGAATAGCTTCTTGCGAAGTTTTTCCAGGAAAATGCCATCAGCCTGCTTCCCTACGATCTTGGTTAGCTGGGCGAGCCAATCAAAGTCGGCGGAGATGCCATTGGAGATTTCCTCCGGTGCGGCTCCCTCGGCGGCCTCCGGCTTGGATTTCTTTTTGGGTGGCGCCTCCTCCTCCTCTTCCTTCTGCTGCTGCTGCAATGCCGCCACCTTTTCCGCCTTGATCCTGGCCAGCTCCGCCTGCTTGGCCTCCTTCATCTTGTTGAGCTCCTTCTCGAGAATGTCCCACACCTGGGTGGCCTGCTGGCGGGGAATTCTCATGCAGTTGCCCACGTAGTTCTCGAACTTGGCCTTCTTGCGCGGTACATTGTCGACGCTCTGGAGCTTCTGGAAGGCGGATCGCACGGCTGGCGTTAGATTGTATTCGCTGCTATCGAGGATCGCACGGATGATGTCCATCCAGCTTTCCTGCTTCTGGGCGTTCTTGTTGCGCGGCTCCTTGGCGGCGAATCCCTGGCTCTGGCTGGCATACTTCTGTGCCTCCGAGATGCACTTGATGTGCGCCACGTACTCCTCGCCGTAGAAGTCCTTCAGGCAGTCCATGCAGGACACGTTCTTGTCTTTGCCGCGACAACGTGTCTGGTAGTGCTTCTCCACCGCCGGCTTCTTCACCGACTCGCCGCAGATGTTGCACGTGAAGAAGACCATGGTTCTAAAGTCGCTAGTATACTGGGTTCAGGCGAATCCTTGCAATTTCAGGAGATTTTTTATTGAATTTAGCGCCGGCGGAGGCCAAACAAAACGCACGTGGACATTAGTGTGACCGCCGCTTAGTGGTGCGGAAAACCAGAAATATCAGTGTTGGTAAAGTATATGTACTTCCAGGGGTGCAAATTAAAAAAATGTATATAATTTAAATATTTATTCGATCGTTGTGTAATTTATTTTTAAAATCACTTGCTAATTTTTATCTAACTGAAAAGTGTTGATAATGGTAATGGTATCCATATTAATTCGTTCGCAAATTAACTGGCTATAGTTTCCGGCTTATGATTTCCGTCCTCCTTTTTTTAAACCGTTTGCGAGCTTAGCTTAAAAGCTTGAGACTTGAATTGTTTGCACTTAAGTTTAAAATCGGCGTCAATTTTCTATACCTGCCGAAAAAAAGATCGGCTACAATTTGCTAAATTTGATCGTTTTCGAATAATTTTGGCTCTCACTGATCACCATCCATTTGGGAGAAAAGGTTTAGTCGTGTCAAAAATGTCCTATATGTTTTTAGAATGTTGACTAACGTTTTTAATACGGTATTTACACATCGGCCAATAAAATGCAATACAAATATTAAAAAAAATAGACGTTAAAGGAAAAATGTATCTACTAGAACTACCATCACTTAGATTAGCCTGAACCAAAGACATTAGAATATATGAGATTATATTAGTCTTTGCATGACCCCAAGGACTAGATTTTCCCTATAATGGATGATGACCTGATCAACAATCCGTGATCGATTTCCAAATAAGTAAGACTGTTTCTATGCGCTCATCAAAGGTCGCCCAGCTGTTCTCCCTACAGGTCAATAAAATCAAATTCCACCCTGGGCGTCCAAGATAAACTGCACAGCTTTCAAGAATATGGCCCAAAATGAATCTCTTCAAGAACTCGCAAAATTACCAGATAGAAATTACATAAGTACTTAAAGAATACTGAACACAAACAGAATTTAAGGGCACTTTTATGGAAGGTAAAGGCGCTGTTGCGGAAATTGGCTGCTGTTGGAGAAACGTCGCATGTGTGAACAGACCAAAATATCGCTGAATCGTAAGATGTATCGCAAGCCGAGTTTCATCACTAATAGCAACAGCTGCTCGCAACACGTTGCCGTTTCTGGGGAAATTCATACAAACTATTTGGTGAAATCCCCGCAGTTTTTGTTTACTAGTAGTTCAACGACCCGCGATTACAGACGCTGACGAAATACGAATGTATTTAGTGAAATCCGTAGGGTCGTCACTCCATAGAACTCTACGAACCCTAACGACGAGTACATCGATGGCGGCCACAATAGCCTCCGCAAAAGATCCTCTAACAGGACCGCGCTATGAGCGTGAACCAAATATTCTGAAGAAAAAGCTGGCATCCGTGGTGCCGGGCACCGTCAATCTGCAAGTCTTGGGCTCCGGCGCCAATGGAGCACCTGCCTCTGTATACCTTTTCACCGATCAGGCTCGATATCTGTTTAACTGTGGCGAGGGAACACAGAGATTAGCCCACGAGCACAAGACCAGGCTCTCCCGCTTGGAGCAGATCTTCGTTACTCAAAACACTTGGGCTTCCTGTGGCGGATTGCCCGGACTGACCCTCACCATCCAGGATGCGGGAGTGCGCGACCTGGGACTCCATGGACCACCTCATCTTGGCTCCATGCTGCAGTCCATGCGACGATTCGTAGTGCTGAAGAACCTTCAGGTGCAGTCGTTTGATTGCTCCGAGGGAGCTTGCTTTGAGGATTCCATTCTTAAGGTGGACTCTCTGCCGCTGATTAGCTCAGAAAATCCAAAAAAATGTGTCATCAACTACATCTGCCAGCTAAAACCACGCGCTGGAGCTCTTAACCTGCTCAAGTGCGTGGAGAAGGGTGTGCCGCCAGGTCCTCTGCTTGGACAGCTGAAGAATGGGCAGGATATAACCCTTCCCTGTGGAACAGTGGTGCGTTCAGCTGATGTCACCGAGGCCAGCGAAACGGCTCTGTCCTTTGTTTTCCTGGATGTGCCCAGCGTGGAATACTTGCCAGGACTGCTGGCACATAGTAAACGGCTCAAGAAGTTGGGCGAAGAGCAGCTTACCGAAGTGGCCCTGGTGTTGCACTTCACACCTCATCTTATAGCTTCGTGCAAGGACTACAAGGATTTCCTCGAGGAGAATTTCTCGCCGGGCACTCAGCACATCCATTTAAGCTCTCCCCTTAACCAGTTCTCTGGATATGCTGCTGCTCATCGTATCCAGCACCAATTGCACCAGCTGGCCCCGCAGGTTTTCCCACTTCTCGGCGAACAGATGCCCTGTCAGAGTCAAAGCCTTAGCCTCAACCTAAAGAAAACCAAGTTGGAAGATAACAATGCTGGTAAGGCAAATTCTAGCCAGGAAGAAGAACAGGGCGTGGTAGCCATGACCAGCTTTCATCTGCGGCCAAGAAAGGGTGAGTTCTTTATCTGTAACAAATCCGCAGTCAACTTTATACAATATATTCATTTCCCAAGGTCTGGATCGCACTCTTGAGTCCAAACTCACGCCAGAGGAGTACGTTAAGGAGACTCATGCTGTGCCCGGCTTTACAGAACTGTTGGCCAAGTTCAAAGAAGATTATAGTTTCCCCATTAACTCTGCTGACAGCTACCCGAAGATAATTTTCCTGGGCACGGGATCCTGTATACCTAATAAGACGCGCAATGTAAGCTCCATTTTGATCAAGACTGCAATTGATGCCTACGTATTGTTGGATTGTGGAGAAGGCACCTACGGCCAGATTGTGCGGCTCTATGGAAGCGATCAAGGGAAGCATGTTCTCCGCCAACTGAAGGCTATTTATGTGTCACATTTACATGCTGATCACCACATCGGACTGATTGGTCTGCTCCGGGATAGGAGACAGTTGGAACCGAAGGCTGAGCCACTGATTCTGCTGGCTCCCCGCCAAATTGAGCCTTGGCTGGAGTTTTACAATCGTGAGATCGAGACCATCGATGATGCTTACACTCTAGTGGCCAATGGCGAACTTATGGCTGGCCCCCTGACCGGGGAGAAAGTTGAACCCCTGGGCATCACTGCCATATCCACCTGCCTGGTAAGGCACTGCCCCAACTCTTTTGGAATAAGCCTCACTCTGGCAGCTAAGCACAAAAATGAGAACGTAAAGATTACCTACAGCGGCGACACCATGCCCTGCCAGGATCTGATCGATCTGGGGCGCGACTCCACCGTGCTTATCCACGAGGCCACCATGGAGGACGAATTGGAGGAGGAGGCGCGCCTTAAGACGCACAGCACCGTATCGCAGGCCATTCAGCAGGGTCGCAATATGGATGCTCGCCACACAATTCTCACCCACTTTTCGCAACGTTACGCTAAATGCCCGCGGTTACCCAGTGACGAGGACATGCAGCGAGTGGCAATTGCCTTCGACAATATGGAAGTGACCCTGGATGATTTGGAGCATTACCACAAACTATACCCCGCCCTGCTGGCCATGTACGCCGAATATACGGAAGAACTAGAGCAGCGGGCCGTTAAGCGAGAGCTGAAACAGGAGCGAAAGCGCAAGTTAGTACAAACGTGATCACAAGAGGAGCAGCTGATCGCAGGAGGAGCAGCTTAACTTATTATGGGAGCTACTGGTAAAGTAGGGAAGTGTAATTGTTTATGCTTAGATTATAAAAAATGCCTTGCATCTATGAAATTTACACAAAAGCAAAGCGGGAATATATTTTAAATATAAAGTTATATGTTTGCATATATGGGATATTAGCATATAAGTCAATATCTAATTTTTTAAGATTTTGTTGGTTTTAGGTAAAAGTATTACAAGGGTAAAACTATTTACCTTTTCTTGAAGTACTCGCCACGTTGTTATTATAAACTATGGTTCCAAAACTGCACTTAATCCCCCTCAAATCCAATAAAATGTATAAAATCCTCATTGTTTTTTAGTTTTTTCTTTATTTACTAAATACGCTTGCAACAGTGTCTGTGTAATAAACGCTTTTTGTAATGATTTTAAAATGATTTCTGTTGGTTCGGACTTGACAATATCATCATAAATAATATTAATAATTATCAATAATAATTATCCACTGCCGACAACAAGGGGCCCTTGGATCTTAGCACGTTTTTTTTTTAATTTTTGTTTTTATTTTTAGTCATTAAAATTTCAACTTTAAGGCACTTTAGTTCAACGGTCTCCACTTCTTTATATTTTTTTGCAATTGTTTTTTTTTTTTTTTGGAAATTAGCTGTGACTAGTTAAAATTAGTAGGTAAACGACAAAGTATATATATATATGATCTTAATTTAGGTCCTTCGATATTTGGTGTGTGTGTGATTCTTGGGTGAATGGGGTGTCGGAGTGGGGGAGGTGGAGGGGACAACTTCTGGTTAATATTTGCATCTCATAAATAAACGTAATTCCAACATTGATATAATTAATGCTCTGTTTAAAAATAAATAAATAGCTTTAAATTACGGCAAAACGAAAGCAGTAGAATTAGCGGGATAAGAATTATTCAACAACAACATAAAATAATCCAGTAAAACCAAGTCAGAAATAGTCATAGAACTGCCTTCGCCCCGGCCACGCTGATTCCTCCTCATATTAGACTACAAATTCATTAAGATTAGAGACGAATGCCGACCCGGGGGCAGGATCATCCGGTCGATCTCTAGGCCCGTTCCACGTAGTTGCCGGGGAATGTGCCGAAGCAGCCGGTCCTCTGCGAGGTGCCCACGAACCATCCGTCGTCGCACTTCTCCAGCACATGGACCACATCCCCCTCGAGGAGCTCCAGTTCGTCGGAGTTCTGGGGCCGGTACTTGTACAGGGCGCGGTAACTGCAAAATAGTAAGATATGTAATACAAAATCAGGATTTAAAACGGACCCATCGTTTGGATAACTCACGCCAATGGCTTGGAACTGGTGTCCACATGCAGGGCGTCCGTCTTGTGGAGCGCCCGCGTTTCCTTGAGGATTCCGTTCGGTGGTTGGACTCCATTTTGAGTGAGTGTGTTGAACTCATTGTTGATGTTTGTGCGCAGCACATCAAGATTGGGCCGCAGATTCGTGGTGCTCTGGCTGGTAATCACGGTCGTTGTTCTGGCCGCAATATCCTCAGCACCAATATCCGTGAGTACCTTTCGTTATGAAACAAGATTAGCTATCTAGGGAACTTTCTTTTTAATTTCAGAACCTACTTCGACATAGGAGCATGGGAAGATGCCCTTTCTGTTGGCAATTTTGCCCTCGAACCAGTTTCCATCCACTCGGCGAGTCAGAATTACCAATTCGCCCTTGTTCAAGGAAAGCTCGACGCCCGATTGGGCTTGGAAGTTGTATTTGGCACGGGCCTGGCCCTCCGATGGTCGCTTAGATGGAGTACGGGCACCATTTCGACTGACAATCTGGAATTGGGAAATTGATTCGAGTAATTATTAATTGCTGTTTTTGTATGCTAGTAGATAATTGTTGGTTTTGGTCAACACTTATAGACTTTATAAAATTATAAAGGAATATTATGCTGTTCTTGTACTCTTTTTGTAACTTATAGAGATAGTTGCTTTTCCTGTTTGTACGAACTACATTGGCATGTTGCTTGCATTTTTTCAATTTCTAAAATAATAGTTTATTCATCTTTTGTGACTACCTTTTTCGGTTTAATGAAAAAACAGTTTTATCTGTATGTGCAATAGCAAAAAAACCCAATAAACAGCGTGGTTTATTTACTCACTGGTCCACTAATATCACTAATGAGTATTTAATTTTAATATCATTTAAATAACACTAAACAAAAACACAAAAGTTTTTTACATATACATATAACATAAATAGAGAATGAAAGGATTGAACTACATTTTGAATAATTACCAAAAATATATCTATATTACTGAATTAATGAATGGCCACTCACCTCAACATAACTGGCCGGGAGCAAACCAATCATTGCATTGTGCTCGCCCTCGTACCAATTGGCGTCGATCTGACGCCTGATGTAGATGGTGTCGCCCTTGCGGAAGGAGAGCTCCCTGGAAATATCCTGGCTGGAGATCATCTCGTTAAGAGCAACAAATTTTAATCTACGTACTTGGAGCTCTGTCCCTGGAAGTTGAAGAGGGCCCTGGCCACCGTCTTGGGTCCGACCAGCGACTTGAGGGTCACGTCCGTGGGGAAGTCATCGTAGCGATTGAGGGCGATGGGCGACTTCTGCGACGGCGTGAAGTTGTCCGTGTGGCGGCGCGAGTTCATGTCCTGCAGCTCCTGTAGATACTTGCGGCGGCGCTCCTCGTGGTAGAGCTTCTGCATGTGCTCCGCTTGGCGAATGGCTAGTTCCTCCTCCGGCACGTTCTGGCGCTGCTCATGCCTGATCGGGGTCTTGAAGTGGATGTTCACGTCTGTGGCATAGTAACGATTGGGAGAATCTGTTAAGATGAGAGGGACAAAAGCGGCAAGATGGGGTTGAGGCTCAAGCTTAAGCGATGCGGCTTTGGCTGTGTTGGTTCCCCTCTAATATATGCAAACACACTTATGATTTCATCTTATCATCTTACCCTATCACAACTCAAGGCGATCTTAATAAGACAAAGGGGAATTTCCACAGCACAAACTTTTGTAAACCGATAATTTTATATTGATATAAAACTACTAACAAATTAAATACTTTTTATAACTGAAATGTTTCTTGAGTGGTTCCAGTGCTTATACAAGTTGTTTGAGAACCAAACTATTTAAATTAAGAACAAATTTTGCCCGAGTGTACCCGGTGTTTACCCTAAAAATAGCAAGCTGTTGTCGCCATCGTAGTTGTCTGAGTCGTAAGACGATCTAACCGCAAATCGTCGTCACTGCTGCCGCTTCTGTTACGAAACACTGGCTTATCTGAGAGTCGGGTGCGGCTGTACATATCTGTCTGCCAATTGGTAGGCAAATAAACAGCCACCACATGGCCCCCACCCACCTGACACCCCACCCGACCAGTAATAAGCGGCATTCCACAATCCCAAATTGAATTAAGCAGCTCTCTCGAATGGAGAATGAGCTGCAATTGAAGTTAATGCTCGTTAGCTTAACAATCTGGTAATTGGGGTCTGAAGGAGGCAGCAACAACAACGCAACTCTAAGCCAGTTGACCTCGCGATAAGACTGTTTCCTATTTGCTTGCGAATCTCTCGGAGTTACTGGTCGCTTTAAAGTGCCCCGATTCCGTTCAGTTCAATTGATGCTATAATGGAATTGCGCAGCAGTCGACCAACTGATAAAGATGAAATTAAACATCCATTGACCCGATTCGGGAAAATTTCAAGGGGAAAACCTCGGAAGATGGATTGGGGGTAGGTGGAAATGGAAATGGAAGTGGAAGTGGTGCGGCAGCTGCACAAATATTTGAACGGCAAATAAACCATGAGCCACAAAGCTTTGTTTTCGAACAACAACAATTAACAACAGCTTTGTACGTGCTGTTTACGCCAAGTGAAGAAATGAAAAGAGAGGTTTAATTGACACTCGGGGGATTTTCACTTTCACTGATTCGCTGCGGCATATTTTTGTCAGCGTTTGAAAGTGCTTGCACAGAGAAAAATCGTCGTTGGTATCAATATGATAGTGTTATCATTTTTTATAAAAGGTCTTGGATTATTTTTAACTATCAAGGTAATTCTAAATGTGGCGCATTCTTGTCAACAAATTTGGTACAAGTGTACATGTATTTCAAAGTCGAAACTGTAGGCCTTTCTCAATCACTTAAGAGTATGATCAAAAGCATTGGCATATAAAGAACGCAAATTAATGATAAAACATTTATTTTAATAGTGTAATTAGCTGGTAATGGCTGATTTCCAATTAAGACCACTTTACATTTTTCCCCAGTAAGGAAAGCGTTGCTTTTCATCTATCTCTGAGGCACACACACACATATATATATGCAACTGCTTTTCAAGGCTTTTCCTTCCATTTCACGCTCAATTAACTGTTTTTAAATGGTTTTCTTTATTGTTTTCTTCGGTGAGCCCTCATTAGTCACAACAATCAATCAGAATCGGAATCGAAGGCTAAGGCAATTTTCTGATAAAGCTATGGAGAATCGGCAAACAACAACAAACAAGCTTCGCGCTTCACTTGAGCCGGAGAAAAGGACAGGTAGAGGGGGTGGAGAAAGAGAGGGACTTAATAACCGACTTTACCGTAGCACGCGTAGCGCTCAACTGAAACCGAAATCGAAACTGAATGGGGGCCCCAAGGCAGCTGAGCGATATAGAGATAGATACTGAGACAGAGAGAGACGGAGAAAGGGGGACAGCAAGAGACAGTCAGAGAAGAGAAGAAAGAGAGGGAAGTCCAGAAGACGAAGCTTCGCGACTACGTCAAAGACATTTCGCCTCTCTGCCGGGTGAGTAATTCCCAGAGATAGCGGCGTTCGTATTACTACAAGTTCCGTTTTCATGCGGCGCCGCCTCACGTTTAATTGTAGTTGTTGTTGGTGGTGCAGTGGGGTGTGTGAATCGCTTGTTGGTGGTACAGTGGGTCGAAGTGGTCGAAGCCCGATGAATTTATCTCGAACGAAAGATTCGATCGATTTCTATACCGCACTGCCTTCTATTTTATTTGTTGCCGAGCTCATATCCGTAATATTTTCAGTCAGCGGGAAAAAGTAAATATTATTATATTTATTAACAACACAGTGTAATTGTTAATAACCAGTGTAATTATTATAAAATTGATGGCTCTTTTATAATAAAGATACTGTTTTCTGTCTATAATTACATTGTGTGGTTAATAAATATCGTTTAATAAAAAATATATTAATTGTGTTCAGTCCGATTAAGCCCCCTTTCCACTGTTTTATCTTCACCTTGATCATAGTAAAATAAAAGCTTTTCCTCGCAGTTACTGACACAGCTTCAAGCTTTTATCAAATCTTTCCGATTGGAACGTGAGGAGCGTGGCCAAGTGGTGGCGAACATGTGGCCAACTTTATCTCTCTCTCTTTTGGCCACCTCTCTTGAGCAAACTCAGGCGGCCCAGGTGATAACGAGTTTTTACCTTTTTGCAAAAGAAAAACCGTGAGAAAGTGCAAAACAGGAAGGTCGCTTAGTCAAATGAGAAAGTGCAAAGCGAATGGGACGTTGGGAGCTGAAAAGGGGGCTCAATCGATAGTTTGGCTTTCTTTTATCTCGCTGGGGGTCTATCACACCGCTCACCAACATCTGTGGCTAGGCTAATAGTTCAAATAAATTCAAATTTATTAATTGTCTATTTAGGTTCAAAGAAAAATATAAAAATATAAATATATATTTTTTATACCCTTTTTGAAATTTCACAGTTTGATAAAATTATTCCTATATATTTGTAGCTTAACTTCACAAAGAATACGATTTTTATAAACTTGTTTCAACGACCTCAACGTGACTAGTAGATCTTAAGGTGTTGGAATAAAAAAAAATCTTTCAAATAATTATTAACATAAAATATAAGTATTATTAATATGAAATTAGATATGCACTTTGGAGCTACAGATTATCATCAAATATTTTTATATAAATAAAAATCAAGACTAAAAATAAATAAAAGATGGAGCTATCATTTATTAGATTCCCTTGCTTTATAGTGACTTTGTTCTAGATACTAACTGCTTGGCCACTGATGCCGCATCTTTTGATATCTTTGATGTTGCTGCAAATGCTGCTGATGCTGCTGCTGCTGCAGCTGCAATTGCTGTTGCTGCTGCTGCTGCCAGAGAAGCAGAGGCATGGAGGCCCCAATGGCGTGCTGGTTGGCCAGATAGGCCTGCCTTTGGTTGGGCTGCGGTGTGTGGGGCAGTCCCACCACGTGGTAGCCACCTGCAACACCCTGATAGTTTGAGGGGGACGGAGGTCTCAGGGGCGCGTTGCTCGAGTAATCGTATCCCCGGCGATGTATCCACAGGATTTTTCCACAGTTGGGAATATCGCAAGCGCCGTCCTGACGCAATATGCCATTGTTGTTGCCGCTGGCGTTACGAACGTTGCTGGTATCGCCTCCACTGCTCTGGGGCCTTTGCCACGGATTGTCGTTAATCTCCGGGCTGCGCCACTGGCTTTGTGTCTCCGGGATTTGGTATCGGTCATCCCCCAACTCCAGGTCATTACAACTGCGATGCAACTTCTGCCGCCAGTGGACCGCCTTACTCTTGGAGTAACTGGAGGATTGGCTACGATGCGGCGCCAGCGTTTGGTGGATCATATTCCCGCAGTTGCATAAGACATTTAATTTCCGAGCGCGACCCGAAAGACACGTTTTTTTGGCACGGAAAAGTGAAACTGACTAACGGCCGCGACAGGTATATTCCCGAGTTTGTTTTGTTGACGGCATCGTCTTGGCCATGGCAACGCGAACAACTGCAGGCCGGCAAGGTGAGCCACCCCCACGTGGCAGCAACAAAACAGCCGTGCCACCACCCGAAGGGGCGGACAGGTGGGTGGTGGTTCGGCCGGGTGAGCTAAGCAGGTCAGGCCCGTCCGCGTGGCCCGCATTCTCATTGGTGATATCGATTAATTTGGTCAACTGAGGCACGGCGCGCCTTCAAAGCGAAATTGCACCAATTGCGGAAATTGTTCGCCGCTGCGGTAGTAAAAATGCTTTTAGCAAAGGTCAACGAATGAGAGCGGCTTGGAACGGGAATAGAATGTCCTGGCAGTAGTTTCAGTTAAAAAGCTCGCTTAAACTAAGCAGTTTTTATAAGGTCACATGTGGGTTTATATTCTTCTAAACTAATCTATTTCAAACTGTCTATTTACTCAATCTTACAGTGTACAGTTGAATTGGTATATACCATATAGATAAAAGGACATCAAATTGTTTCATAAAAAAGCCTCCTTACTATTTAGTAAGGCTCTTAAGCGGAGGTTATTTTCGCTCCAATATGGAGTAAGCCAGGAGAACACCTGCTTGATCGTCACTCACCTGATCCGTCGAAAGTGTCGGTGTTGTACGGGAAATCGTAGGCGGAGAGACCCTTGACTGGCGGCTGAGGGGGTATTGGGGGCGCGTTCGGGTCGAGATCTGCGCCAACGATTACAGATAAGAGACGAGTAAAGGGATAATTTGGAATAGTTAGGACCAATGGGGGAGTACCCAAAAGCAGCAGCTAGCTCTACGATATCAGGCGACCAACGAAGCATAGTCTAGAGTGGCCCTGGCCCTGTGATGCACCCGAAATACCCCCAATCACTGCTCCCTGAAAGTTGTTACTGCTAATCACCTTTGAAAGTCACCATGGCCGTCTTCTTGAGGCGCTCCAAAGTTCCATTGTCCTTGGGATTCTTATTGCCATTCTCTGCACCATCGGGTACATATCGAGCCTTGGGACGATGTTTGTTGGGATCGAACTTCTGGTTGGCGAATATGTCCCTCATGCAGCTAGTTAGTCGGGAGCCTAGTTGGTGGCTCTCCGATTTTGCCGGACGCAGTGGCGAAGTGGAGCTGGCCCGCACCACCCGCTGTGGCTTCCGGGGCAGCTCCTTGGGCTTCGAGGGCTCGGGGTGCTTGTGAGCCACCCAGTCGGCACTCAAGTGCGGCGATATGTCGTGGACATCCCGCATGTCCGGATGCGAGGTGGACAGATAGCTCTGGGTCTGTGGCTCCGGCGATTCGTAGCGCATCCTCAGTCGCTCGAAGCAGTGACTGTTGCTGCTCACGCTCCTCGTGGGACTCGGCCGGATCGGTAGCTCCCTTTTCAAGGCCGCCGTCTTGCTGATGATGTCGATATGGGGCATTAGCCTGTCCTGGGCGCTCCTCAGGCGCCTCCTCCCGCGTTCCGGCGAGGGCGTCGCTGCCCGCAGCTCGAACTTGTGGGTCAGCCGTGGCACATCCTCCTTGGACACCGCCTCCGTAGCGGTGTCCGGGGCGTCTTTGGATCCCGCATTCATCTCGGGATCGCTGCGCGCCCTCCGCAGCGAGCTAAGCCCAAAAAAATCACGCCGCTCGTTGGATGGCTCCCGGGACTGCTCCCCGGACTGCTGGATGCTCTCGAAGTGCTGGCGCATCTTCCTCACCTCGCCAGTGTATACCCTCTGCAAATAGGAGCTGGAGCAGGCGGAGGCCTGCGATTGGGGCGACAGACTGCGCGATCGGTAGTAGGAGTCCGAGTAGAGCTCAAGACTGCCGTCTCCTTGATCCGGTGATCCGTTCCCAAAGCTGATAAGCTCGTCGTCGGGCGGACGGTCGGGCGGGCTGTGCAAGTGAAAATTTACTCGGGCAGCTGGACGCTCGCCGAAAACGCCGCTCAAATCGGTCAGGGAGTTGCTCAGCTCCTGGTGGTGAAGAAGCTGCCTGGCTCGCTGGCGCTCCTGCATATTTTGATTGATGAGTCGCATAACCTCTGCCTCGTCTGGAGAGGAATCCTCGCGAGCGTGGTAAATGGTCTTCGGTGGCTCATCGAACTGGCGATCCTCGAAGTACTGTATCTTCTGGTTTATGTCCTCCGCTGGCTCGCGAGTTTCCACTTTAGAGTCCGCCTTTGCAGGTGGCTTGCTCTTGGCCTCCTGACTTGGTGCGGGTTTGGGCCTGGGTGGCACATCAGGCGGTTTGGCCAGGGTCAACTCGGCATTCTTGGCTGCGATGGCGCCACGGGTTTCCCTGGCCACCACCACCGGCGATTGACTGCGAGTGGCACGGGGCAAAGTCTGGTTGGACTGCTGTTCGTCCCGCTTGCGTTGAACGGGGCCCAGGAGCTGATCCTTGGAGATGGTCGAGTTGCAGCGCACCTTCAGGCCATTCGGTCGGGAACCCTTCTCCACGGTGACCACATACTGCTCCTCGACGGCGGGAACCGTGCGGTTTCCCGAGTAAATCTCATTCAGCTGCTGGGTGATTTTCTTGATCTGATCCTTGGACAAAGTGCTCACCAGATCGTTGTCCAAGTGGCGCTCCATCTCCGGCTCAACTTCCACGCGGTGCTCCAGACTGCTGGCCAAATCAGCCACCGTGTTGCGCCTCCAATGGCGATGAACCGGTTCCGATTGCAGTTGCTGTTGCTGCCTGAGAAGATTCAGCTGCTCGAAATTGTCCCGGAGATCCTCGACGGACTTCTTCTTGGCAATCAGTGATTGGTCGGCCTCCTGGCGCCACTTGATGGAGCCCACGTCCTTGGAACGGAAGTGCAGATCCCGCTGTTTCTGGTCATCTTGTAGCTTTCCCACCAAATAGTGGAGCTCCTTTTCAGCGCGTTCGTGAAGTCGCACCCGGCGCCATTCATCAAAGTCCAGGAGCTCGGCATCTTTCCTCAAGGGATGGAAGCTGCTGGAGGATGTGGCCCTCTCCAGCTGACCCACCCGCTCCAAAGTGCTGTAAAAGCGGTTTAGCTCGGTGAAACGCTCGCAGTTGTTGCGATACCGACAGCTGGGGCTGTGCCGCTCCAGGTGGGTCAGAGAAGTGGCGCTGTGGGCCAGTTCCCCGCACTGGTAGAGTCCATTCGCCGGAACGGGAGTGGCCCTGCGACGCTCATCGGCGCTGCTCAGACTGCTGGCCCTGGCCAACGACTGCTCCTTGTCCTTGGAACGCAGGCTGTCGATGCGTCGGCGAGAGGGGGATCGCACCTCTCGGCTAATCTGGGGCACTCTCACCTCTCGAGTGGGCGAAAAGCGACGCTCCTGGCTCAATTGCGGCGACTGCGGACGGGCAATGTCCGTCACGGACACTTGTTTCGGAGGACGCTGCTCCCTGCCCTCATACTTCCACACGAGGTCCTCGATGCACGGTTGCTGGATCGGTTGACTGGCGTAGTCGCACACATCCTCCGGACCGAATTTGTATTCCTGGGGCAATGACATGGCCTGCTTCGCATTGTACTCGTTCCAAAAGTTGGTCTTTTCGCGCACCGACTCGCTATAGGAGTGGACGGTAACCGGTGGAGATGGCTTGGAGGTGGTTTTCCCGGTCTGACGCTTCCGGGGAACATGACCTTCGCTGCGGCTGTTCTGGAGAGGAACCAGCGCCTTGGAAGACGAGCCTCTGGACTTGCTCACATACGTTTTGGGCGGTGCAATGGGCACGAATTCCTGACGCACCAGCGAGTCAATGGAGAAAGTGGAGTTACTCCGCGGCAGGCTGTCATTAGACCCATTCTTAACCTGACCCTTTCCAGCCTTCGAGGAAGACTTCCTCAGCGATCGAGTTCCACAGTCCAATAGCGTCTGGGGTCGCACTTGTGGGAAACACATGGTCTGCCTTGTAGTGGTGCTCACCGTGGTGTGACGGAGCCTTGGCAAAGACTTGCTACGCGAGGTGGCGTACGAGCGCACTGCCTCCCTTACCTCTTGAGGGGATTTCAGAGAGGGGTCCCTTAGGATATTGGTACTAGCCTCAAAGTTGGTGCGATTAGCTGGTAGGGTGTTCTCCAGTCGCTTCTTCTCCTCAGCGAAGCTGCGCTCCTTCGAGATGCTACGACCAAAGGCCACGGGGCTCCGGCTGGAGTGGCGAAGAGCCAGCAGACGGGCGGGACGTCTACTAGGACTGGAGGACCTCAAACGGGACTGCTGCTGCTGCTGCTGAACGCGACGCGTGAGTCGGGTTTCCTTGGTGGCCGTCAGGGTTTGCAGGAGGGTGGACACCGCTCCCGCCGACTTCGACCGACAAATGGGCTCGCGACGCGAACAACTCGAGGTGGCCACCTTCCTCAGGGTGATGGTGGACACCCCAGAGGCATTGCCATTCGGTGGCTGGAAGCACTGCTCATGCCTGGACTTCGAGGCGGAACTCAGCACCCGAACAGTGCTCTTCGTGCAGCTGGACTTCCGGTGGGGCGGTCTTGGAGGAGGGTCATCCTGTTGCGATACTTGCTGCTTCTTGCTCAAGGGAATGAACGAGGGCAGATTCTTCGACAGCTGCGAGAACATCTTCGCCGGCTTCCTCTCCCTCCTCTTGGTCAAATCTTGCGGTGGCGGTGGTGGAGGTGGTGGCGGCGGAGGCGGTATGGTTGGCAGTTTTTTCAAGGGTTGCTCCTCTTCCAGCTCCTTGGTGCTCACACGAATCTTTGTGAGCGTGGGAGTGATCTGTATGAATTCGAACTCCTCCACAATTTCTTGAGGAAGGCAATAATTTGGGTTTTGGGATTAGGCAGCTGCGTCTGCTAGGTTTTTGGTGGTGCCTGTTACAGTGCCAAAAACGGTGGTGCTATTTTTGTTTCTTGTCGGTGGTGCCCGCCTCCTGATGGGCGGACAAATACAACTTCAGGTGAGCAGTGAGAGTGGGTGAGAGGGAGTAAGCCAGGGCAACACGTGGCAAGAGTTTACAATCTTACATAGTTTGAGTGTACGATAGATAGACCTTGGAACCAACACCGTTTGCAGATTAGTGAGTAGAAGAGCCCAGCGACTTACAACTATGTTAGTTATTAGATTAAATGAAACTACCCAAAAATAAGAAGAGATGCGACTTACCACGGGGCTTCTCGGGCGCTGGTTTGCGGAAGCCGAGCAGTGGAGGTTCTCCGCCTGCCTGGAGACTCTTGTAGGCCTCCTTTTGTTCAACGGGACTAAGGGGACTGCTTACAGGTAGCTCCTTCTTTCGGAAGACGAGGTTTGAGTCGCTGGTATAGCCGGATTCCTTGGCCAGAGCTCTGGGAAGACGGAAAAGGCTGGTGTTACGTATCTTTCTTTTTATTTATTATAGCTTGCTTACCTGGACAAGTTACCTTCGGTATACAACGGCGATAATTTCGATTGTTCTAGATTCTATCAAAGGGGAAGAGAGAATACAAAACTTAGTTTCAATTTATGAACAAAATTGCATTTGATCGAGTGGCTTCTATTAGTAGTTCTTGTGCCTTTTGCAATGATTCCTGCCTCGCTTTCTTAATAATCTCTGACAGATCGATGGATCTTCTGTCCGGGGAAACTTACTCCGATGTCGTCGAAATCATCGACGAACTCTATGATAATTCGCGGGATGCGTGTATGCTCCCTAAGCCACTTTGCGAACGATATGGGTCAGGCGTTTTGGCAGGCGGTAAATGGTAGGCAAGGAAAGATACAACAATAAGCAGATAGTTGGGATCGGTTTAGTTTACGGTAGGCGACGGAAAACAGTCTCGAGTAACTCAATCGGAAGGTAAATAAACTAAAACTAAATCTAGAATATATAGAAGAGATCATACCCCGTTAAAGATGTCCATCACTTCGTCCCACCACTAGAATTGTGAATAGAATAATTGCTGTGAGTTAGAAAATTTGAGGCGATCTGAATGACTGAATATGGGTTGTGAATGTGAATGCTGCTTGATTATGGGCCCGGCTAGGGCTTTTTGGGTATTATCATGGCGGTGTGGGGAGCAGGGGCAATAAGCTAATAGTGGACGGTGCTAAGGATTAGGCCAGTGAAGAGGCCCATTAAGTGAATGCCGCTGATTGCTTCGCATGGGTTAAAAGTGATGGTGGTGAAGTGGATTGTTCCAAAATGATGAGTTTTTCGGTCGCACTGATGAGAGTTTATGTGGATGTTAGGAGTAGGGGCAGCACTTACCTCCTTCTTTTCCTTTTCGGAAACAGACGAATGACCTGTCGTGTAGTTCTCGATGCGACCTGGCTGATTTTTATACGAGTTCTGCGCTGATTTTATGGGATTTGGCATAGTACCATACAACCTGTAGTAAAAAGTTACTCGTTCAATAGAGGGATCGCAATTATGATAAAACTAAGGACTCACTTCTCGTCCTGGTTGAGGTTGCGCACATTGACAGCCGAGGATACGGACTGCACGCGGTGCGGATTCTGGGTGCGGTACCTCACCGTGGAGTAGTCGGAATCGTAGTTGGGTTCGGGCTCTGAGACGTAGCCGTTGCTCTTGTACGACGGACGGGCTGAGCGGATATGGAAAAACATATTAGTTGAGCCAATTATTCAGTCTAGAGAAGCTTAAAGCGGTTTCTCAAGCTCTACCAATCATAATCATTACTTTGTCTAGGTGGTGTACTGGCGGACATGATGTTAGCGTAGTTTTGTGGTTTTGCGTTGGGTGAGTTAGGCCTTAGATTAGGTTAGTCTTGAAATTTAGTAGAAAGCTTCCAAATTGTCAATGAGCTAGACACGGGAATATGAGATAAATCATATGTAGATAAACCAAATAATACAGCATGCATGTAAACAAAAGATAAACCAAATAAGTATGAGGCTCTCTATTTCTTAGAGGTTACATGGTACTGGACCTTGTCTATATTTACAGGCAAAAACGGGTAGCTAAAGGGAAGAGTATACTAGGGAATAGCATAGTTTATAGATCAAAGAATCACCTCTGGGACACTTGTAGCGAATCACGAAATCATCTTGAGGCGAAAGCGGATGGGAGAATGAGAAACGAGAGTATTTGAAGAGACCAAAACGATAAGTTGGAGATCGGACTGAAGCATTAGAGGAATGGGGGAATGGACATATTTGGGTTCTGGGAATGAGCTGGGATGGGATTGGGAATGGTGTACTCGGGGAGTTCGTAATGCTTCAGACCAAAGGAAAAGTGGGGGACATTTACCGCCGTTCTTCTGCTTGTGAATCGTCTGATACAGACGCTTGTACCACTCATGCTGATGCGGCTCCTGGACCTCCTGCATGTGGATAGGGATAAGGAACAATACTCGTATCAAATCATCTCACTTCGAGTTCAAGACCCCCGATTTGCCCATGTTAATGGGGCTTCCTTTACCGATCTGAGGATGATGGGCATTCCATCGTTGGTCACCGGACCGATGCCGTCGTACTGTCTTCGCCCTAACTGTGCCATTTTCCGGGGACGATCGCTGCCCGTCTCCGGTTCGCTCATATACTCGTGCTTGACTTTGTAGACTGGAAACCGCAGATGGAGTTTGGTTAGTTGATTGGGTTCTCTGGAGGGCTTGGTTTAGGTATTTGGTTAAGGTATTTGCGGTTAAACAGAGGACACAAACATCACAGCTACATTCAGTGTTGTGCGTCGACATGAGCTCGCTTCACCTGGTCACTTGCCCTACCCTCATTGGCTATACTTACTGACTTCATTGGGCCTGTACGCTGGGCGACTGGCGTCGGACAGTTGGCGCCGCACGAACGGCCTCTGCAACTCCGAGTTGGAAGAAGAGCGTTCGAATGCTTTTCGGGGCGATAAACGACAGTTAATCGTTAGCGAAATCAAACGAATATGGGTCTGAGAAAGGGGTTCCATGTGAAGGGGGAAGCAAGAAGGAAATAGTCGGGAAATCCGACCTAACCATAACCAATACTCAAATTTTAATATACTAGCAATTTGGTTCTCCTAAGAAGCGACCAAAAAATCATCAGGTAACTTATGTGTGTGTACCAAAACCAAAATAGAACACAACAATTTCCTTTTTATAGCAAATCATTTTACAAAAGCACTAAATAAAATCGATTTTGCCGGAAATTAATGATTCATATATTCGAAATTTGTTTTCTACTACAAAGTAACTGAATATTTCCCATTAGTTTCTTGACTCGACAAAGTCATTTATGGAAATAAACGTACTGTATAAAAAGTGTGTACAATAATGTCTGCATATTCGGTTTGTTTTACTAATAATGTGGTAATAATAATATAACAAAAGGCATAAATGGTACAATTTGGGGCTATAATAAAAACCAGAGCCTTTTTGGATTGTTTTTCATTGATAGTGTCTCAAAATAGGACCTCAAAAGAAGTCTAGAAACTATATTTTATTTGGAGAGTTAAAATTTAATAGCCTAACTGTTGCTTCCTTAAGTATAAATGTATCTTAGCCTTTTAAAATCACGACTGCCTAACAATTTCCCTTTAAGGGTAAAAGTATAACTTGCAAGATAATAAAAACGGATATAAATGGATTGACTTTGAGTATTGGACTAAGGAAAGAGGACCTCGGCTAAGTAATAAGGGTCAGGGGAAGCTGTGTGCGGATATAGTACTTCTGATCTTGTCGGAGACACTGGCACTGGGCGCCACGGGACCAAAGTGTCCCGAACAGTCGGTCTCGGCGTAGTCCGAGTTGGAATTCACGGAGTTCAGGGAGGGCGGTGCGGGGGGCAGTTGGGGGGCACCTTCTCCGTTGGTGTATGACCACGGCGGGATCGTAGTCGTCGTCTTCTGTTGCTGCTGCTGATCTTGCTGCTGCAAAGCCGTGTACCGACGTGGCAGAGTGGGGGACTCGAAGTGGACCGGGCGGAACTCCTTGCGACCGCTCAACACCGGCGACGGCTGGGGCGTCCAAACGGGCAGCGAGGGCGGCGGCGGTGGCGGGGGCGTGGCCGAGGTGGGGCCCGATTGGTTTAGTTCGCCACTGGAACCGTAAGGTGTCCACACGCCTGTCGAAAGTTTTCAGAGGGTGAGCCAGTGTGGGCGTTGGGTCTTTCATGTGGCTGATGACATTTTCAGGGGCGCCGGCGAGTTCAGAGATTGAGTTTCCCGCCCCGACATTTACACTTGTCAACAAATTTATGCTCGCTGGCTATGCTTAAACCGCAGATCTCCTCGAAAATAGCTTCTTGGGCAGTCAACAAACCGAGCGAAGACAAATTGACAAACAAACACAGCGACGTGGAACAGCCATAATTAATACGACGGCGACCGAGGAAGCCGCCATTTGGCAGCCATTCAAAATTTGGCCAACACACACACGCACACGGACACAGAGACGCACACAGACGCTCCTCTCACACGGATGGAATGAGTCATCGCATTTGGCGCATGTTTAGCATTCACAAAAAAGCACACACATGCAGAGAAGTAGTATAAATTTATATTCCCGTACCGTTAAAGAACAGGGCGAGGTGTGCTACCAAGGTTCGTTAACTTCTATATATGCATACCAAACACAAAATTTGTCTTAAACGTAAGATCTATGTATGTAAATGTAGTATTGCATGTTCAAATCAATTTAAATCAATTAAATCGTTTTCTCATATTTACATCCTTTTCAGAAATAAGATATTTAATTAAGACATTAATGGATAGATAAAAAAATATTTCGGACACAATTATGAAACAATTCAAGGACTTCAAACTACGTAAACCCAAATCAAATTTACGAATACAATCTCAACTCAATTTATACAGCTTTAGATAGGTCATAAAATTTGAAGCTAATCTTCCATTTTAATCCCCGGTTAACCACTTTAAAGCAGTGAAAATAAATTGCCGCCAATTGTGGATTTATTCTGTCAGCGTAATCTGATTACTTGTCAACTAACCCCCGCGATGTCTGTGCAGCTTTGCATTGGGTCTAGCCAAAATCTTTCATTCTACAGATTTATATGCCACCTGTAAAAAAACAAGAACCACAAACAAACCCCCGAGATCACAGATACATTTACCGATTCAGACACAGATACATTTAGAGATGCCCTAGGCGCATTGCCTTCGAGACATTGACACGTATTTGGCCGAGGAGCAGTGGTGCTGCCTCGAAATTCGTTAGCGGATTGCTTGGGTTTCACAGGGGCGGTGGGGGAAACTGTTAGGGGGAGGTGGTGGAGGTGGTGCTGATGCTGGTGTTTCGTACGTGGGCGCGCTGACGTCTTTATTCAATCAGCACTTAATTGAATTATACAATCGAATCAAAAGGAAATTTCTCCTTGCAAATGTCAATCAAACTCGCACACACCGAGATCCTCTGAGTCACTCAGATTAGTACTACTCGGATTTACTCGAGGGATTTACCTCAGGAGATTGCACAGATACCGGTTACGGATACGGATGGGCCACCGATTTCGAGAGCGATTTGCTGATTGAGTTGCTGACTCCGCGCACGGCTCGAGGCGAACTGAATTTTGCGTGACTCGCCAGCGTCGAGCAGAGCTACTATAAAAGCCCGGGAATGGGGATGGATTCCGATTCGGATTCAGATTCGGAATAGGAATGGGAATGGCTATGGGCAGGGAGAAACAAAAGCCAAACACACCCAGTTGCCGATGGCGGCTCCTCCGCCTCATCGTCACAATCCCCAAATAGCAGATCAATTACTATTCTCGCCGCTCGGTGTTCGATCAACCGGAGACAGGGGCTCTTCGAGGGGGAAACGCCAATTATGCGTGCAATGCGAAATGGAACGGAAGTGTGTGCGGCGGAGTACAGTGAAGCAGCTCACAAAAGTCACAACAAAACATCAAAACATCAAAACATCCAAACAACTCTTCGGCAAAGCCAGACAAAAAGCAAACCCAAAACAAAAAGCAAACCCAAACACACAAAGCCAACTCGATTGGTTTGGCTTGACTTGGCTTGGCACTTCCGGTGGCCACTGACGCTACTGCTGCTGCTTTAGAACAAATCAGACGGAAAATTCGAAAATTCGCTTGGAAAAATGCTAATAGTGGCACTTGAGTGCGCGACACACCCGCAAGGAGCGCCCGCAGTCGAGCAGAAGCCGCATTTCGCTGGCTTTCGTTGTTCGAGGCAATTCATTTCAAATTTATCGATTTGCGAACAAGAAAAAATTCAGAAAACAACAAAAAGGGGACTCCACGGAAAACAAAATCACTCTGAAATTCATTTTTGCTTTGAAATCAAGTAACTTATAACACCTATTAACCGAATTAATTGATTAGCCCTAAAAATAGAAACTAAATTGGTTTTTGAAAACATTTATAAAATATTGAAAATGAATTAATGTTGTTATATGTTCTTATCATGTTCTAGTTGAATGTATTAGGCAAATTTGGGTTTACTTAACGTCTCAGTCATCATACTGTATTTGGATGTAAAAATGATTAATTCTCATTTAAGCCTTGATCTTCAGTCCTTATCGTTAACTTTGTGAAACTCCTCGTTTTAATACTAGCTTAAACGGACAGAAAAGTATATTAACCATTTATCAATTAAATCAAAGACTTTTCTTTCACTGTACCTGCAATGAGGGAACCATTTAATTTTAACTCTGGATTGTTTGTAAAATGTTTTTCTAATAGCGGAACCCATATGCTCGCTGCGGCCTTGTAAAATTCACACAATAGGTGGTGGGGAAAATAGTTGGGGAGGAGTGGTGGTTGGGGGCTCTACGCAACCTGTCACAGATTGGAAAACGGGAGTTGGGATCGGGAGTTCCGAGTCAGAGTGCGACCTGTCAATTGGAAATGGGAATGAGAATGGAAAAGGGTGCGGCTGCCTCTGGCAAATTAAGAGCATTTCCTGGGTTGATTTATGTGGAATTCAGAGGGAGTCCGCCTGCGTGTGGCTCGTGGAGGAGGCGGGGACTCCTCCATTTGGGGTTATTAATGGAGTGCATATTTGCGGTTCAGCCGGAACTGATTGGAAAAGCTCTGGTTGCAAACCGCATAATGGGCTATGACATTAGCGGAATAGAAAAGAACAGAAATCATTCACTCTAAGTTATGGTGTTTTTAATGAAATTGAATAAATTATAAAAAGTATCTGGGTATCTTTTATTTCGGCTATCACGATTCAAAAATAAAAACTTAGATCCACATTCATATCCGTATGATTTCTATTAAATAAATATAAGTATCTATCTTAATTACATAAATAATTGCTTTAAGCGTCTTCGTTAAAATCATTTAAGATTAAAATTATTTATTCACAAGTCAAGTCAATTGCACAGCCAATTCGTGAGATGATAATAAATAATTATCTCATTCAGTTTAATTTGTACGCTCATCCATATACCTATTTCATCGTGATTGCCAAATTCTTTTCCAATCTATATTATTAAGATCTCTTTCAAACAGATTGATAATCCCACCGATAGCTACGTCATCAAACAAAATTAAATCGCTATTTCCCGACCAGCAGCTAAGCAAAGGAATCTTTTCGTTCAAGTTCAACTGAATTTATACCGGACTATAAATTATTTTCACTCACTAAAAGTCTTAAAATTTATATTTTCCATTCTTTGGCATGGGCAAAATAGTCCGAACAGAAAAAAAAGAAAGGGGAAAATGTTAAAAATAACAACATACAAATTAATGCTTTAAATAAATGTGTAGGAGATCGTTATTTCCAAAGCATAGATAATGCCATCAGATGACGCCAATCAAGGAATAAAAGTTTTGATGGATTTGGGTTCGCCCCCGTAAATCCTCAAAGGGGCTTTATGGCCCGCGGCGGATTCTGCTGAATGGAAAATCCAACGGACTGGGCTAAAACAACATCAAATGGGTCGAGATGGCGACATGGCATAGTACTCCCCTCTCCGTGTTGATCTTATTTAGCAGGCATTTTTATTAGAGACTGTAAAAGGCGGCACCGCGTGGGCGGCTAACACGAAAAGCGAACAACAATTGAGAACATTGCAAATATTGTAATAAATATTCCGCATTTTCTCCCTCGGATTTTACGTCATTTGATATATTTAGCAATGGCGCACCTCGTTTCCAGTTTGGATTTTCCAAAACGCTGGTCTAAATCATGTGGAAACTTTGGTGTGTGCACAATTAACATGAACTAATGTGAAATATTTTAAATAAACAATCGCAACTGCCAAAGTCGAAATCAAGTTCAGTCCTAAAGAAACAAAAAATGAAAGAGCTAACACAAAAAATATTATCTATAAATACGAGCAATAAATTTGGAAACGAATAAGTCGAATAAGACTGGGAAATCGCGGCGAAAGATCCACTCAACTCGTCTGCCGTCGAATCATCAAAGACAACCCACTGAAAACGTCATGTTGGCCATTTGTCACACTTGACGTGGGTGCATCCGCGGGATGCAAAACGCATCCGCCAGATACAATTTACCTGAGCCTGGTGGCGCGCGCGCCTTGAATTTGGGTGCAAACATCGCCGTGCCCGTGCTTTGTGTGTGCTCTGCAAAAATCAAATTGCAAATGGCCAAATCGGCGATTTAATCGGGAATACTCTTCACTGAATACACTTCACTTCGGTTGCAGCTCGTGCATCTTTGTATCTTTTCGATCTTTTCACTGGGCAGCCGTCGAGGAAGTGGCAACAAGTATGGGGTAGCACAAACAAATTCGAATACAAAACACTCAACTAACCCTGCCCCATTTCTGCTGTGGAAATATAGAAGCGACTTCTTTTTGATTTTCAATTTCCGACTTCGGACTTTTCTATATTTCTATTTTCTGACGCGCCTTCGCGTTGCTCACACGACTTTAACACGACGACGACTACGAAACGGTTGAATTTTCGGTCAGGTTGCTTGGACTTTCGTAGTCTAGAGGCCCACCGAAAATCCCAGCCGAAAAATCTCAATTTGTGTGCGAGCGCAAGACAACAAATTTGTTGAACGTTCTCGTTCTCAAATGAAAAATTCGTATTTTTTTTCCGTTTCGCCCAGTATAAACAACAGTTTTTTTATGCTTTCGTAAACAGAGACAGGAGAGGAAGCCAAAAAAGAGCGATCTCCGGGAGTGAGAACGAGAGGTCTTCGACTCAAGTGGGTCATAAATTATGGACACAGTGCAGATAAAGATAAATATATAGAGATATGTATGTGTATGTGGCCGAGTGTGGCAAGTGACCAAGAAACAAGGAGCCTTCATGTCGTATACGCAATGTGCTGAAACAAAACAGGCGAACTTTGTTGCCTACTTTCAGGCAGGCAAGTGAAATCCGCCATGTATAAAGTGGATTTGGCTAAAAATAAACTTAACATAATTAATCGTACAACGAGAAGGGGCTAGACAATTAGACAGCAGGGGTGGGGAACGGTAGTGGGCGGGGGGAGGAAGGTTGATGGACGTTCTGGGGTTTTTCTGACACACCATTGGCGTAGAGGAAGCCCTTGGCCAGCTGCAGTTCGCTGTCGATCTCCTTGAGAAGATCGCTTTCCGACCAGCTGCGTCGCTGCCGCTGCTGTTGCAGCTGCTGGGCGTTGAGGAGGAAGCGCGTCTGCTTGGGTGGGCGTGGTCGCAGCCGGACACCCATTCCCGCTCCTGCGTCCGCCTCCGATGCGGTGGCTCTGTCTGAACGATAGCATTCGGTTAGATCTTCGCCTTCTAGCGGAGTCCGTTCGTTGCCCCGTCCCTGTTCCAATTTCAGCATGCATAGTCGCTCGTACACAGAGAAAATAACCAAGGCTCAAATTGGCAACTGAATTTTGAATACAATTATTATTATTATCATTGCTGTTATTTACTTATTGTCAGTGAAAGTTAAAATATTTATATGATTTTTTTAATATTATTATTGTATATTACTTTTAGTTGAATAGTCATTTCAAAAGAAATATAGGTAAACAAAACTTCTGCTGATTGAAAAATGTATTCTGCCAACAGAAATGCCAAACAGTAACAAACCTTAATATTTTTTGAGAATTTGATTACATTTAAACTTTTAAAAATGGACCTAAATTTAAGGTCAAAGTATAATATTTTTGAAAAAAAGTAAAACTGTTAAGCCCTATTAAATTTCCTTTTCTCAAAACTTTGTGGAAATAGGAAAAAAAAATTATTTTACTTATTTTGCTCGCAGAAAAGAAATGCATCTTCACTACATTTATTTTAAAAATCAATGTGTTATTTTTCGAAATAAGTGTGTAATCAATAGATTCTGAATAAATATCAAGAATTTGATCATTAGTAGTAGTAATATTTTTCTCTGTGTAGACGCTCTAGCTCAATTGCCCCCGATTCCGTAATTCTCGTTTAAACAAACGGAACGTCTGTCGCACTGCACTTTGTGTCCATGCAATTGAATGGAATTAATTTAAAATTTCCGCTTAATCGCAATTTCGCTTGTCTTTCCTTACTTCGTTCTTGTTTCTTGAGCATGATTGCGATTCTTGGGGGGCAGATAAGTCGACTTAGGGGGTGGAATGGGTGGATTGCGATGCCGCGGAAGGGTTAAGCCGATTTCAGCCCTCGAGCATTTGAGCACAGAGCCTTAAGCGAAAGCTTGCGGATTACAAAGCCAAATGATTTATTACCTTAATTAAAGCTTAAGATTAAACAATTATACACGGTAAGTGGGGAAATATCAGAATGACTAATCTTTATGTTAAGTTAATACTAGTAGTTATGAGTTTTAGAAAAATATGTTTTAATTGCATTAGTGAAATTGCATCAGTACTTAGGGTATTCAATAAGGTAACTCGGTTAAAAGCTTGATTGAGTTATACAAATTCAAAGCATTTCCCAAAATCATGAGACGAGAAACGTTTTTAGATCTTGCGTATATCTCATGAGCATTTTGTTTACGCCTGTCTGATATTTCCCAACCGCACTGTCCGCAAATATCTGTACACTACACACAAATATGGATTAGTTTTGTTTTCAAGCACATCGTCTCTCTCTCGGGACACATCATACAACTAGAAGGAATCGCATGCGGAATATATACAAATATCGAATGAATGCAACGAAAATACTCAAATCAAGTAAACAATTTTTGGTTAATCAAATAATTTCGTTTATTAAACATTAAACAACACTAAATATAATTTTCGGTTTCGTTTTATTGCTATGGTATTAATATTATTTTTAATGTTTCGAACATTTAACAAAGTTTCACAAACGCAATTTGGACAAATCAGTAACTTGTATATTTATTTATTTAACATGAGTGGGGGGTTGCTGCATGCAGCTGCAGGGGGCGGGGCTAGAAAGGGGGCGGGTCAGGGGTCAAAGCGTTCGGTTTGTGGTTCAGGATGGCCCTAGAAAGTGTTCGAGGCGGAGTGCTCGAAGTTTCGCCAGTACTTGTCGAACTCTTCGAAGATTTTCGATCGGAAGGGCGAGCCGGCGAAAAACTCGTTCAAATTAGCACCGAATTTCCCCGCCTGGGGATCGCTGGAGCGATCTATCTGGTGGATTGTGGTGCTCCTGGAGCCGGGTTCTGTGGCCTCGTCTGTGTGGATTAAGTAGGAGCGTTTCGCGCACAATGAACAATCAGAAGAGTGAGAGAGAGATAGAGATATACAAAAGAGAGAGATAGGACAACACCAAGTGGCTACGGTATGCGGGTGAGTGTGTGATCGAGATGGCCGAAATCCAATGGGTATAAAGCCAGATATGGGATTACTTTTAACTTGATATTAACAGATGGAAATTTGGTATAGTTGACTGTTGATACCTTTTAAGATCAAGTTTGGGAAGTGATCATCAAAATAATAAACATAAGATGTGGGATCAACTTAGGAGTGAGTGGGATATGAACTAACTGAACTTGTTCCAGGCGGTCAGCAGGGATAAGCCCAGCAACAAAGCGGTGCCCAAGATGCCGCCAGCGGCGCTGGATGAAGGATTCAATGGTTCGATGGGTGGCTGTGCTGGGGATGCTGGGATAGAGGATGGGGAGGAGAGGGAGTGGGAGAAGGAGGAGGAGCCTTGTGCTGAGGACGAACCACAACCGGGATTGGAGACGGAGTCAGGCGATGAGCTGTGGTTACTGGTTAGTTCCAGGGGGATGTTATGGCGCACGAGCCGCGCCGTTTGCGAGCGTTCGCGATAGGGTCGGCCGCCCTTTGACCCGGAAAATTGGCCGGGAAACTCACCCTGGACGGAAGGCGGCAGCCGCGACACCTTGTACGTCTTCACGATGCTCGTCTTCTTGCTGGCACTGCTGTGCGAGTTGTCCGTGGCCTCCTCCCTGCGCTCCTGCTCCTCGTGGCGCTCCATCTGGGCGCCATCCGGCAGCTGCTCGCTGGTGGAGAACTTGGCGAACTCCCTCAGGTGGCGTGGCAGCTGGCGCAGATTGGCCTCCGCCTGGCCCTCGAGTATGCGCACTGGGGCGGCCTCCACATCCGACTCTGGCTGGGATTGGGCCTGATTGGGCTGCGGCTGGGACTCCGCCCCGCTCTCCCAGTCACTGTCCGCCGGCATGGCCAGCTTGTGGCGCCGCTCCTTCACCCGGTCCAGGAACTCATCGCTTATGGTGGCCCTGTCCACGGTGGAGTGGTCCTGCTCATCCTCGATCTTGGATATGCGTATGATCTTGTGCTGGCGCCGCTCCTCGCGCTCGGCCACCTTGTTCATCCACTCCTCGGCCATTTGCTGCCGGAAGACCTCATCCTCGCTCAAGGTGGGCAACTTGGCCGCGGGCCTGTAGCTCTCCCTCCGCTGGGGAGCCGGCAGGACCGGCGCCCTCTGCATCTCCTCCATCAGGCGACGCCGCTCCTGCTGCAGCCGCTCCACCTCAAACTTGAGCTCCTCCTCCTTGGAGAGTATGTACTTCAGCTGCTGCTCGTGGAGATCCCTGGGCAGCGAGGACCGCCTCTGCTGGCGATCGTAGGCGGGTGGCGGCACTTGCTGCTGCGGTGGTGGTGCAGCCGGTGGGGCAGGACTCACGCCCCTTCGCGAGGTGGTGCTGATGTACCTGGGATTGGGGTCCCTCTCGATCATGGAGTAGCAACTGCCGTAGTGGGGACGCTGCTGTTGTTGGGCCTGGTTCAGCATGGGGGCGTGGGTCCTCCGGCCGCCGTAGGCATTGAAGCTATCGAAGCTGTACTGGCTGGAGGTGCTCAGGTCATTGGTGCTGGCCGAGAGTCGCGGGGCCCTAATGGAGTGGGGTGCCCTCTGGTTCTGTCGCTGGTAGCAGATCTCCACCTCCCTGGCGAAGGGTCGCGCTATGTTCTCCGAGTAGCCCAGGTCACTGGCGTATCGCGACCAGTCATCCTGAGCCGCCGCGTGGTTGTAGTGACCCACTGTGGTGTGCGGACGTGGCGGTGGCTCGTTTAGATTGCAGAGGGACTCGGCACGGCGGGAACGGGGCTCCAGTTCTATGGGAATTTCACGGGATTGCGGGGGAGTGGCCTCCATTTGTCGCGGCACCGAGGACATGCGCTCCTGCCGGGACTTCGCCGATCGCTCTATTTCCTTCTCCAACTCCTGCATGTGGGCATGTCGCCGCTGCTGCAGTTCCTCCAGCTTCGGATGACCCGCCGAGGGCCGGGTGAAGCCACTGAGATCGTACAGGGAAGCGGACTTCTCCCGCCTTTCGCGGGTGGTTTGCAGCTCGGCGTGCATCTGCTGGGACAGCCTGTCGAAGTCCTTGAACACGCGGTCGTGGTCCAGGCCATTCTGCTGCTGCTGCTCCCGCTGATCTCCAAAAGCATCCGCCGCGGCCTTGGCACGCTGCCGAAATTCCTCATACGAACCGTTGCCGCCCCCGCTGCCGCCCCCTCTCGCCGGCTGGCTATTTTTGGGCGCCACGTCTCCATCAATGAAAGTGCCACCGTTTAATTTCGTTGCTGACATAATTGGCGGCGGGGGGATGGGCGGGGCGGGCTGCTCTTTGGGTGGCTCGCCCTCCTCCTTCTTCTCGCGACTGGAGGTGCTCACATCGTAGACCACCTGGCCGTTCTCCATGCGCTTCTTGGACTCGAAGCTGCTCGTCTCGATGTTGGAGTACCGCTTGGTTTCACTCTGCACCGGCTGATGGCTGGGGAACTCGATGTTGGAGAAGCGCTTGCGCTGCTCCTCGAAAATGTCGCCCTTGTGCTGGGGGAACATCCTGGCCAGCTCGCTCTCCATGCCGTCCAGCGTGGGAAACTTGGATGTGGCACTGGACATGCTCTCTGCGGTGTTGTGGACGCTTGTGCTGGTGGTGCTGCTGCTCTGGCGGTGCTCTGCCGACTGCTGCTCGCCGAGATCAGCTGCTCGCCTTGGTTTATTTTCAAGCGATGACGATTCGCCTGCCGCGATCTTCTGCTTTTGTTCGCTTGCGTCATCTCTCTTGGCGCTTTCATGAGCGGTTGCCTTGGCCGCGGTTTCGGCGCTCTTCAGCGGCACGGGCGGCGGGGGGAGGGGGCGCCGGCGGCGAGAGGCTCTTGCGCAACTCGCGCATCATGGCCGCGGTCTTGAGCATCTCGCTCTGCTGCTGCTGCTGCTGGTGATCCTGCTCGAGCACCTGGGCCTTGGTCAGCTCATGGTAGCCCCGGCGCTCCACGAACTTCTGGTGGGCATCCAGCAGGTCATCAGGCTGGGTCTGGGCATCCAGGAGCTCCCTCTGGCCGGGGGACAGGCAAACCAACAGCTGCGGATCGGACTGGGTGGGCAGGCCCAGCCAGGCGGAGGAGGACTTGCCCTCGCCGGCGTTCAACTGCAGCTCCTTGATGTGCGGCAACTGGGGCATGGGGTAGGGCATCTTGTTCTGCGACTGATCGGCTATGTTCTGGGCCACGCTGGCTAACTCCTCGAGCACCTGTTCGCCATAGGGCATGGACGCCAACTGCTCGGTGCACAGCAGACGCAGCTTCTTTATGGCATCCGTATCTGCATCCGTGTCTGCATCCGTATGTGCATCTGCATCCGAATCTGCAACTGAAAGCTCTGGCTCTGATTGGGGGGTGGGTGGTGCGTGGGGTGGTGCGGGCTTCTGTCTGAGTGGCGGAGTGGGTGGCTGGGCGGTGGGAGGCGGCGGGGGACTGGCCAGGTTGATGGCCGTGCATTGGCTGTGGGTGGTGCTGTCTGAGCAGTGGGAGTCGTTCGACTCCTGCCGCCTCAGCTGCAGCGGAGTGAGGTGGAACAGGGGGGAGGAGAAGGGGGACACTGCGGCAGGGGGCGGGGGAACGGGCGGCGGCGACGGCGAACGCGTCGTACCGGTCGGCGGGACTTCCACTTGCTCCTGTTCGCGCCGCGTCATCTCGATCAACTCGCGCACTTTGTCCATGTTGCGAACGAACTCCTCGCGCGTGGCCGCCAGCGGCGATGCTGTTCCGAAACTAACCGCCGATCCGCCAGATACATTTGTATCTTTTGCTAATTGTTCTCGGTCCGCGGGCGTGGGCGTCGGTGTCGGCGTCGGCGTTGCGGCGCTCAGCAGCGAAGACAGCGAGCTGGCGAGCGTCGGGTTAGCGTTAACAGGTGTGCTCTCGCGACTCTCCTCGGCCTCTCTGTCCGCCTCCGTCTCCGTCTCCGTTTCCGGTTCCGTCTCGCTCCGGTCCGCCGTGGTGGTGCTGGTGCTGCTCATCTCGTCGTCCGGCCGTAGGATCAGCCGACTGGCATCCGTGTCCAGATCGACCAGGGCCCTCTCCGCCAAGGCGGCCGCCTGCTCCAGTTCCAGCTCCATGAGGTCGGACACACTACTGGAGGCCGAGGAGCTGAGGTACACCAACTCGGCGTCTTCGGACTGCGGCGATAGGGCGCTCTGGAGACGGGTGCAGCTCTCCAGATCGGAGGACTCCTCCAGCAGCTTGGTCTCCAGCTTCAGCGGCGAGGGGGCCTCCTCTCGTCGCTTGTGCCGCCGGCTAAAGTCCAACTGGCTCTTGGGAAAGGTCTCGTCCAGCTTGGGCGTGCGGGTCCCCGCCTGATCGCCTCCGCCGGAGGAGGAGTTGGAGTTCCGGAAACTGGTCGCCTCGCCATTCTCCTCCAGGATGCTGTCCAGGTAGCGGGGATTGAGCAGCTGCGGCAGGAAGTGCGACTCCAGAGCATTCCGTTTCTGGGCGCGCTTCTGACGCAGCTGCTCCTGCTGCTCCACACGGCTGCTGGACGGCACCTGCTGATCCGACGGGGATCGCTCCGCCCCCAGGACAACCGATCCCTCCGATTCCGAGTCCGCTTCGCAGACGAGCGGCGACTGCAGGGAATTGAATTCCCCGGAGCTGCAATCACTGTTGAGCTCCAGTTCCTGGATTTGCACATCGCGGGAGAAGCGCGAGAATTGGCCGCCACTTGACACGTTCTTCGGTGATTCCACCAAATAGCGGGGCGGCGGGGAGAGAGTTCCGGCCAGAGAACCGGATGTACTGCTAATTTCCTCGAAGGTGGGCTTACCCTTTCGCGGCCGCTCTTCATCGCTGGTTTCCAGCCGGATCTGGTGGATGATCACCTTGGAGGTGTGCTGCTCAGGCTGCAACTTATTTTCTTTCAGGATTTTCTCCAAGGACTGAGCAGCAAAATCAACTTGAAACTGATTGATATTATCCAACAAGGACACTGGTTGATGCTCTTCAACTTGCTGCTGTCGTGCGTTATTAGCTTGATTTCCTCTCTGATCCTCCACTCTTTCTGCAACAGCAACATGCTGCTGCTGTACTTCATTTGATTCCTGGGGAGCTTGTGCTTTATTTAGCTGTGAGTTATCCTCTATATCTTTCCGGTTGTTTAATATTTTGCACGGCAGAAATATGTTGCTGGTGGGCATTTTCTACAAATTCCATGGCTTTTTCAAGTTGCAACACGTATTGCTCTGGTTCTTTTGGCTTAAGTTGCTGTTGCTCCTGGTCAGGTGGCAGCTCCTTAGAGGGTTCAGCTTCAACTGAGTCCTCCTTCGAATAATCCACTTCATCTTCCTTTGGTAATGAACTTTCGTTAATCTCTAGATTTTGTGCAACTGCAACATGTTGCTGCTGTGCGTCTTCTAATAACGGACTAGTTTCTAAAGGTTTCTGATGAGCTGCTTCGTTTTCTCGTCGTTCTATTGTGTCCAGTTGCGGCTTCTTTGATTCGTCAACCTCCAAGTGCTGCTCTTTGGATTCCACGACCTTCTGTTGCTGCTGTGATTCAGCCTTGCCATTTGCCTTGTCCTCCTCCCTCACAATGCGATGAACTATGACCTTGGCTTGGCGGGGGCTGCCGGGTGGCCTTCTTATAATTGTGGGTGGTGGACGCACCTGCTCTTCGACTTTTCCATTAGTCGCCTGCTTATCGGACTTTTCCTTGCGATGTTTCGAGTTTTTGGCACCCATTTCTGCGTCTAAATCTTCTTCTTTTTGGATGACTATTGCTGGTTTCTCGGATATTTCTTCTATTTCTGCGGTTTTCTCAAGAGTGTTCGTCACACTTTGGTCGAAAGCAACAACATTTTCGCCGTTTTCCGTTGGCCCATTTGAAACGCTGCCAGAATTTCCATTATCATCTATGGAGGAAGAAGAAGTTGCTACTGCGATCTGAGAATCCTGCTGCTCCTCCCGCTCTTCCCGCTCCTCCGCCCCCTCTGCCTGCTGCTGATTGTTTTGGTTTTGGTTTGGGTTTTGATTTTGATTTTGGTTTCGATTGCGTTTATTGCGATTCCGATTGCGATTACGATTGCGGTTATTGGGCATCGTCTACGTCCACTTTCGCTCGATCAGAACTAATGCAGTTTTTATGTGAGATATGTGTGTGCGTGTTTTGTGTTTCGTGTTTCTTAATCAGCCAGAATCTACAGTACAACTGAATGTTGTTTCGTTTTCGATGTCGTTTATTTCTAGTTCCCTCTGTGTGTGTCACTCGTCGCCAGAAACTCAACCAGAACTGAACGGAGAACCGAGAACCGGCGGCATTCTGCTCACTATACCCGACAGCCGGCAAAAAACGAAAAGAAAATAAAAAAGAGAACTACGAGCGGAATATCATATAAAAACGCAGCGACGTCGCTGCTGGCGTCTCTGCCGCCCCGCCCACCGCCCACCGTCCGCCAACGGCACGCGTCCGAAATCGTTATGCTTTCAGGTTTATTTTTCGCTGCCGAGATCGCGCCTTTGTCTCTGATTGTCTCGAATTGTTTTGGCCAAATTAAATTGCGTTTGCGTTTTGAACACTGAACTTTCGCTCTCGTTTTGGGGTATGTTCGATTTAGCTTCGAATTTGGGGGTGATTTAATTTTCAAATATTTTTTAGGATCGCGTTTCCCGCTCCTCGTGCCACTGGCGACCGACGGACAAGGAATGGGCCGTGGGCTTTCCACGATCCCAGTCGGGAGCCAGCTCCCCAGTCTCCCACTCACACACTGGCAATCGCGGCCCAATTCGGATGCACAGCGGCAAGTATTTGAAAATATACACACAGAAAACAAATCGGGGAATTTATAATGATGCTCATTTTCAAAATACACACAGAGAAACGGGCAGAGTGAGAGAGAGCGAGAGATACAGAGAGTGGGAGTGTTGGGGGAAATGTGCAAAACCAAAACAGAATGCAGGGTATTCCAAAGACATCAAAATACGCAAGAGACCGAAAAAACAACAATATAACTTCTAGGTCAATGCAATTTCCACAAGCCAAACAAACTCATAAAGTCAAATGAAGAGAAACGAATCGTACGTTTCGAAAATATATTTGGCGCATCCATAAATATTAGGAAATGTTTTTGGAACACGTTCATAATTTGTTTGTGGAATTTAAGCCCTCGAAAATAAATTTTTAAAAATGTCACAAACACATTTTTGTCTTGAATTTCATTTGATAAATGCTCTAGAGTGAAGGATGTAAGACATTAAGGAAAAATAAATTATTTAGAGGTCACTTGGAAGTAGAAAAACGTTTATCTGGCAATTTAAAAGTGTTTCATTTTGGTTATTTCCTACTTTAAGTGTTTTAATTTATGAAAAGCTGCCTTGCAATATGCCCAAATAGATCGTATGCAGGGCATTGAAGAAGAGAACTCAATACGGAAATAGTTTGCCACAGTTCGAGTTTGTCTATATCTTCTCGCGTGTGTGTGTGTGTATCTGATGAGTCTGCGCTGGCTGTGTATCTATATACAACTTATGGCATTTTCAAGATATTTTTCGTGCGTAATTTCTTTGATTTTTGTGGTCACCCGTCTCTGCTTTCGGTGTACTCTTGAATAATTGAAGAAGCATATATCCACGCGTATGTATATATAGCCCTCGCATGTATCATCCCAGTGGGCCATGCGGTTAGTAGTATTCCGCTTTTATTTTTAAAGGTACTTAATGGCTTTCAATTTCCCTGGCTTTGTCTGGCCTGGGGCCCCATCATCATCCTCATCTCCATCAACTTCCTCCGACCAGAACCGATCTGAACTGAAGTAGTTGTCAGGTGGGCCTGTCAGGTGCCAGACGACCCAGACACGTGATGTGGGTACTTGCCCGGGCATTATGCAATTCCCGGTTTCTGCACAGTGTGACAGACTGCCTAGCAGCGGGATCCCAATTAGGAACCTCTGAAACGATCACTTCCCCTTAGACAGAACCCACACTCTATATGTATACTCAATTAGTTTCGGTTTCCGTTCGGATTTCGTTTGGGCCTACTCGTTAACTTACTGACGTACACCCAAGTAGCCGCTATCTATGGAACCATTGTAGTAGCTTCTTTTTTTGTTATTCTGGCTGCGTAATATCAACAAATTCGAAATTGATTTCTTTGTCCCGTTTTATTTGCTGTAGAACATCGCACATTTTAGTTATCTTTTCTGGGCTATCGCTGATAAATTTTGCATTTCTGATAAGGAACGTGGGAAGGCTTGCGCAAAATGTTGCTTTCAGTAAAATCGGGGTTGGAGAAGTCAATGCAATGAGGTGATGTTTGCTTCTTGGAAATTTATTATAGATTGCATTTTTGTATCTAAACAAGCATCAAGGGGGTCATCAAAAGAAGTCTTTCATTAAGATTTCCTACAAAAAGTTCGCATGACAGAAGATCTAAGATATGCTTTTTGCTTGGGAAATGCTTTGCCATGAATGAAAAGTTCTTATGTTCCATAATATGATTTTAGTCATCACAATTTATTTACAATTATTTTGTATAGTGTTATATGTAATATTTTAATAAGTGTCTTATAAAAATAAAATTTTAAGATGTCAAGAGTAAACAATTTTTAATTTATAATTTTTTATAAATTCTTATACAATGTGGTAATTCAATTACGAGATTTTTGTGGATTCAATTAACCAATCAGCTTTTGTTGAAATGAAAATAATGGCATTTTAATGGTGAATTATCAATGTTGTAATTATTTTTCCTCTCTAACTTTTCCTTTCACAGCTTAGCATTCCCAGAGGTCACTATCATTTTTCCAACGTATGTTTATAGAAACACTCTCCATTCACTCAACATTCACTATTTGTCGCTGGTGTTTTTTCAGGGTATTCCGAGTGTTTGGCTGCCTGCCGATTTGTTGGCTCTGCACTTATGTTGTTGGGGCTATATAAGTATGGGTTCGAGATACATTCTCCCAGATACAGATACACTCTTCGCCTTTGTTGTTATTGCTGCTAATTAGCATAGATTTTTGAGAGTCTTGGTGCTGTCATGTTTACGCTTTGCTTATTTATTTGGCCAGCGCCGAGCGTTTTGTTCTCCCATAAACGAGCTGAGCACATGTCTGTCTTCCGCTCTCCCTACTTGTTGTTTGTTTGCCTTTTACACAACACTCTCAAGCACACACACAACACACACACAGAATGTTAACACAAACAATGTGCTTAGTAAATTAATTTATGAATCGCCCCACAAGAACATCGAACCCGGTCTGACGTCACGTTCTTACAATTTAATTCCCAATTAATTGCAAATCGGCGGCATCGGCGAAAAAGCGTTGCATCAAAGGCCGCGTACGTGAGCCAACTGAATTGCAAGTGCCGCAAAGAGGCCGCCGCCAAATGCCGGCCCACTGTCCCCGCCGCACAGTGGGCCACATCGCTGTCTTATCTGCGGGCATATTCTAAAATCGAATAATGATCTCAGTGCCTCGCATCCAAGTGCCAAAGTTGGCGCGTAATTGCCAACGTTTTCGCTAATAACAGTAGTTGTATTTGGCCGCGGCATAAACAAACACTTTAACTTTGGCCTATTGCGTCAGTTTTGGCAGGTTTTCCCGCCGCCTTTTCCCCCGCATTTCCCTCGGACGAAGTTAACACACACAGAGTGAAGTAGGGAAAACTAAACAAAAAACACACGCACACCAGGGCTATTTTTAAAGGGCGAAATCAATCGGCGACTCGAAAACCACAACTGGGGGAAAATCACTACAATTCCGGAACCGACTATGTAGTGCAGTGTAATTTCCGATAGCTATCAACTATGTATATAGCCCTCGCTCGATCGACACAACGTCAAAGTCGAAGTTCTAGTGCCCAACTGAAGCCGAAGCTCGGAAAGCTCCCCCGTTCACCTGGAAATACGACAAAAGGTAGCTAAACGCAGATAAGTTTCTGGCAAAGCCTTCAACTTTTGCCGATTGTCGCCCGTCTCGCTCCGTTCCTCAAGCCCTCTCTGTTCCGCACTGGAATCGATTGCAAATCGGTTTCCGACAGCTTCTAATTTGCTGGGCGCTTGGTATCGGACATTAGAAATGTTTTGGCACTGCGCCAATCTGTTGACAGCTGGAAGCAGCTTTCGATTTCTGGAATAAACAGCGGTCGGAGGGGGGTCGGAGGGGGGTCTTGACTTGCAAAACGGTTTGGAGTGCTATTCTGGGGCTGCCATGAAATCATAAGCAAATTATAAACTTGATTAGGTTGGAAAGTTAAGGTTAAACGGGTTTTGTTTTTTATCAGTATCGGTGTGCCACTTTCGAGGGAATGCTAATTTTTAAACAATGCTTAATTGTTAATAGTGAAGTACCTATGGGGTGCTTTGTATATGTTAGGTATCCGGCAAGTTATTTAAATTTTTCATTTGTTTATATCTTTTTATCGTCTTGCGTTGCTAGAATTCTTTTAGCCCAGTTCAACTATTAAATACAAACATTGGGAATTTCAAAGTCAAATATTAGGAACCTCGAATTCATATAAACGAACGCTTGTAAAGTGGAAATATAATCAAAGGGATACATTTTTCGATACATTTTTACCACTTATTTAACATTTTGCGTTAAACATCACGGCAGTTTCCACTGTACTGTAATCACTGATTGTTCTTCAAGATTTATGAGTCAATCATCACAACTGTGTCCACTGTCCTGTAATCACCAATTTGCTTTTGTTTCAGCATGATGTTAACTTATCGTACAACATAGGCCGACACAAATCAAAAGGGAGATAAGAATGAAATTTTTGCACGACAAACTCGAAAATCTTTATCAATATTTATTCAAGCATTTGATATATGATTTATTTAAGAACTTAAACCGCAGAGCAACAAAAGAATTATATAACCAAAACGTTGGCAAACGGAACACACAGATCTGAAGTCATCTTTTCGCAAAATAACAAATTCACGCTAATTGCATTGTCAAAAATTCTGTTTTGTGCTGCTTTTTCAGATACTGAATCACAATTCAATACTAAAATTTCGTTTTGTTTGTCGTTTGCACAGAAAATGATTGCCAAAAAGCCAGTCAGCTGCGTCAGCTGAGCGGCGGCAAAACGACTTTATAGATAGTCGCAAAACAGGCTGGCAAAATTATCATAATGAAATAATGGCCAAGCGACACAATGGTCAACGATTTTGGAAAGGTTCGGCAGGGGTCGAACTGCGGGGGCGCTACCAGAAAAGTAAACCTGACGCCATTAGCAGGCCGACTTAAGTCGAGCTTTTGGAGGTAAACACTAGACTAAATTAGCCGAAAATGGGGACAGAAATATAGAGGTAGCTTTTAGTCGTTTTATGGTTTCTCAGCCATATTTGTATCTTTTTATTAGCTTTTTGACTTCACTTAGTTTTTAAAGGTACCTTCTTATTTTACAAAAAGGTTGTAAATGGCTTTTTAATATAAAAGTTTGAATTAGTGTATTGTATTATAAGTGTTTGTAATATCTACTGTTCAACAGCTTTTCACTACTCATTGTTAATTTCCAAGATATTCAATGTTTGTAATTTTAATAAGCTTATATTTATAAGAAGAATAAAATGTATTTTCAACTAAAAGAATGTGACAAAAGGAACAATTAATATTTGTACAAATAAGAAAGAGTTTTAATAAAAATTTTTACGGAAAAATTTTGAATTAAAAAAATTTAAAAACATAACTTTTCAAATTTGCTTAATAAACCTCGAGTTAAAGTTGGTTATAATATTAATTTATCAATAATCTGTATTTTTGTTTCAAAATTATTACAATGACCTACATTTTGTATCTTTTATCTTTTTATTTTCTTATTAAATAATAATTCATTGAATAATTATCCGCCTACAAGTATACTTCTAAAGTTTTCCTTACACAACCAGGACAAGCGAATTAATCAATTATTGAACGCCTCTGCCATTGATACATATCTAACAATAATGGATATTAAATTATATATACGACACCTTTAAAGCTCAATTGGAAGCCGGATCCCAAAAAATAAAAACCCTCCTAACCGCGACAATCGATCGCAATCACTCATTTTTGCTTCATGGCTAATTAATGTGACAAAAGCCATTAAAATAGATACCCGACAAACAAATTGAGTAGCCGCAGGGGCAGCCCCCTCCCGAGAAATATTCCCCTAGGTAACCAGAAACCGCAATGTCTCCAGCCAAATTCAATGGCTTGAGTTGGCTGAAAGGGCCCCCAATTAATAGAGGAGTGTTCCCCGAGCCAATGACCGCACTTGATTGAGTCACCGCCAAATGATGACGATAATTTCGTTAAATTGTGTTCTAGCAATAAGTGAGCTGTTTTGGGACAAAGAACAGCTGCTAGTTAAAAATGCAGGAGTCGCTCTCAACTAGGTCACCTTTCCTTTATAATCGGTCGAAGTAAACAATGAGCTTGTCACTTTAAAAGGTTCTTGGATAGACATATTGATTTCAGTCAATACTTATACGAGCAACACCAGAAAAAGTACTTAAGGAGGCATTTCCGATTTAATGGGAAATATAATTTGGTGAAAAGTGGTAGTAAATCTATTTAAACTTTTTAATGGGCTTTTAAAAGTGTAAGGGTATTAGTCGCCAGCCTATATAATAATATTTAAACATTTTTCACTTCCCAACAGTCATAATCAGACATTTTTTCTCGCTCTTTTATAGTCTCTTTTTATCGCTTTTAGCAATTGACAATAAGTTTTTGTTAGTGTGTTTTATTTGCTGAGGAAAAACACAAACACACATAGGGTAATAATACAAAATTTTGAATTTTCGCCAGCTGAGGCTTATCAAAAATTTGTGTGTCGTCGACGTCGTGGAACGGTAAACAAAGGCAGAATAAATAGTAGTACATAGACAGTGTTCGCTATTTGCCTTGGCTTTCTTTCAGTTCAGCGATAGAAGAATGCCGAGCAGAGAATAATAATTAATCGTGAACGAGCTCGGGGAGTGCCGGTTGCCAATTGAATTATGGATTCAATTTCGTCTGACCCACTCGGGCGAAATTAATTTTAAAAAATATAATTTCACTATTAAATCAAACCCGAATTCCGGGACAAATTCCCGGCTTCATTTGCATGCACAACACACCAATCGCACGGTCACAAACACAACACTTAACATCCGGTCATTAGCGACTTAATTGAACTATGACCAACAGAGGAAAAAGGGTTGCACTGTATAATTTAAAACAAATTAGAATCGCATATGCACAGACAGATCTATATACGGCGATACACATAAAACAGCAGTTTGTGCCATTTTCGGGGTATTATTATCACGAGACACACAGGCAATGATTAACCCAAATTCGGTCTGCATTTGCCTATCGGCTGAATTTTAAATTGGAAGCCTATAATCAAATACTGCTCGATTGATTTAAATAAGTAATGAAGCCAAAAAGGTATGACACTTTTCCACTGATAATACTGGGTCAAAACCGACTTGGCACGCTGACACGAAAAGAGGGCGCCAAACTCAAGCTCTGAACGGATTTTTGAATGGGGCGACTTAGACTACGAGTAATTCGGTTAACTCACTTTGCTTGGCCTGATTTTATTGCGCTCTTTTTGCCACAACGGTAGCTAATAGTTAATACGTTTCACGCGCCCGTCCTAACTGTTTACGGTTTATTTTTTGGCACTGAACTTGACTGATCGCCCGCAAAAAAATAGCAAAAAATATATAGATTTTCGCTCGCGACAACTTGACTTGGCAAAACTTCTGTAGTAACTAAATCGGTTGGGAATACGGTGTCGTATCGTATAACACCAATACACCGAAGGCGAAAAGCACGCCAGCAGCAGGCAAAGCAAAAGCAGAGCAAAAGCAGCGCAGCAGCAGAAAAGCAGAGAGCAAAAGTCGCCTGTTGATTAGTGACTTGTTGCCGCTTCTGCCTCTGTCTCTGTCGATGCTTCTGCTGCTGCCTCTGCCGACGTCGACTGCGACGTCGAGTGGTGGGTGAGGACTGGTCTCCGCTGTTTGCACTGGTAGTTGTAGTTGTAGCCGGCTTAGAGCCGTGACTTGTTGATGTTTTGCCATAGTGGTACCCAGTAATCGTAGGACTCAGGGGTATGCCGAACTTTTAAAGAATATTTTTTCTTTGTAATAAGAAGGATATTTATGTCTTTCAATAAAATGCTTTGGCATTAATTCAATACTTATGTGAGTGGTATTTCCTGATTTTAGAATATTAGAATCCTGTGATCTAGCACATGTACAGCTCTACTGGATCTGTATATTTATATTTATTTAAAATTTTATTTTTAAATAAAAATGAGTTAATTAAACAAGAAAACTAATAAAGATATGTTTGACTAAACTTTAAAATGTAATGCTTAAAATGCTATTGTGTTTTTGGTGTAAAAACTAAAAAAGTTTAACTTTTGGTGAATTTATTACATAAAGTTTGTTCTCATTGGCAAGTAATAAAATTGTTAGGATTTGCTATACTAAATAAATATTTCCTGTTAATTTTAAACACAAAACTATAGTGAAAAACATAATTTTTAGATCTATTGTACTGGTATCAATATCGGACATAGAAATATTTACAAATTTAATTAAATGGGTATCCCGATTTCCATGCACGCAATATTCTCCTGTTCTCGGTGACTTTGTCGTCTTTGCTCCCTCGATTTGCGTTCTGCGTTCGGCGGGCACGAACCACAGATCCGATATTTTTCAAATTTGTATGCATAAATTCACACACAAATGCACACCGAGGGTCGGGGGGTCAGTTTGAATGGGGGTGTGGGTGGGGGCAAGGCGGGAAAATGGGACAGGGGCAGGGGGACGCGGCCTGGCCAGCAAACAGAACAAAAGAATCCAATCATTGTCAGTGCATTGTGCCGCAGCATGTGCGCATCTGGTTTAGGGCAGAAGCTGGGGCTGGCCTGCAACTGGAATCGGAACTGGGACTTGGATGGGGCTATATCACTCGCTATAGTCACTGCTCGACAGGCACAGACATATGTCTGGAGTGGAGGCAGTCGATGAATGACGATGACGACATAGCGGGCGGCAGTACTTATGGTCATGGGGCGATCAAGGAGTTCTGAGAAGCAATAATCATATCATATCATATTTTCGTAGAATTCGCCAAGTAATTTCTAGTCTCTGTGATTAGTTACCAAGTATATTTATTTAGTATATTTAACACTAAACATCATTTTGGAATTATTCCAGATTGTCTTCCGGAGAATTTTAAACAACCTCGACTTAAACCAACAATTAATCAACCGGCTGATAATACCGATAAAAAATGATATTCGCTGTTAATTATCTTAGGTTTCATGGAATCGATCAAACTTATAAGGTTACAAGCTTTCTTGTATCACAATCATTTATCAACACAAGTGAGGCTGTCCCATTTTCTTTTAGATAAGTAAGCAAATTATATATGTAAATATTTAACAAATTTAAAGAAAATGTTGACCTTTTTGAAAGTTTTTAATTTTTCGTTTTGCTGAGTTCTCATTGAAGGTAGTTTTAAATTAATAAATCACATCATTATATTTTAAAAGTGTAAAATGCGTGTAAAATGATTGTAACCAAAAAATAAAGCCAAATATGCTATATGATCGATATAAGATTAATATAATTTATTTCCAGTTCCCAAGCAATGATTAATTCCCGACTATCCTACTTCACTCTACAACTTTTAAAGCGACACTCGCATTTATGTTGACTTTTATTTGGTTTTTACGTTTTTCCCGGCTTAGTTAGTGACCACTCGTTCCGCACCCCCCGTTCTGCTGGGGTCGTGCCTCCCCCGATTCCAGGAACCCCCTCTCGCCACCCCGCCCCTCCTGTCACACTCCGCCGTAAACACATAATGCCAGCGTCATTGTCATCGGCGCGTCGTTCGCGTCGTCAAGCTCCAACAGATGACAGAGGCGCTGTCACGGGGGTGAAATGGGGGAAAGGGGAGTGGCAAGGGGTGCAGGGGTGGAGGGGCTGTTGGGGGAGGGTCCCTGAAAGGGGTTCGTCTTGAAATCGTTCGGCGTGCACTTTTAGTTATTATTTTTCCAATACCATTTGCAAGGGAGCGAACTGTTCTCTGCTCTGTTCTTTTCCCACTAAACTGTTTATGGGTTTGTTTTCGTTTATGCAGAGGCATGTTCCATGAGTAGAGAAAATTATTTTTGAATTATTAGTAAACTAATAAGCGACTTTAATGCTACTTTTGTACTTTCTCAGTGACTTTAAACCAAATAGATAGTTAGGTAAAATTAAATCATAAGCTATTTAAATAAATATCGACTAACTGCCCCTGTATATCTTTAAATATATATATATAAAGAAAGGTCAGTTCTTTTAAATCTTTGACCGTTTATTCTAAAATGTGTGTACTCAATGTGTACTTTTATATGTTTTTATCATAAGGGGAATGTTTCACTCCCTAGGGAGCTCTTACAAATATTTTGGTTTGTAAAAGTGTGTGATTGCTTGGTTGGAACAAAAAACCCAAGAGAGTATTTGTCATGAATTGGAATTTGAATGGTAAGCCCGGTTTTTTGCTTTTAACAATTAGGGGAGGAACTAGCATTTAGTTCTTTATGAAATGGTTCGAGTACATAATACTTGATTAATTCAATGATATTACACGGTTTTAGTGAAGGCAATCAGGATGCGGTTAACTATAGGGTTCTTTGTAATATTATACCCATTCTATCGCTCACCTGTTGTTCCGTTTTCAACCACCTGACGGCTTTCGTAGGGGGTTCCGCACTTCCGGCAAGTTTCCACTGGACTCCCAGCACTAGAAGCGAAAAAGGGGGAGTTCTCACCTCCGCGAAGGAAAACTACCGAACTGCTCACCTGCTCAGGGCCAAAATCAGAGGACCCCGCTCCCGCTGAGCGTGGAGCACTCGGAGCAGCTGGGCGTCGTTCAGCGGGACATCCTTCAGCCGCAGCGATGACTAATGGGTTGGATGGGATGTGGAGAAAAGGAAACCAAACACTTCGGATTACATCACAAATCACTTAAAGCACATTTTATTACGGCATAACACTTAGGGGAAACGGCTGGGACTTAAACTAATTTGTCGTACACTCTTGGCCACTTTCGGAGTCGCACTCGCAGGCTCCTTGCCCCTTCGCAGCGAGCAGAACTTCAGCATGTCGACGGGCTGGGGCCACGCAATCAACTGACCCGCGAGATCTCTGGTTTTTAGGGGGCGTCTGTCGAAGATCGAACCACTGATTGGGCCACGCTACACCAGATCGCAGACGCCGCGGTTTAGGAAGACCTCGAGGCACGTGTTGTCCACGCGGTCGAAGAGCAGCGATCCGAACCTCCGGGCCGTGTAGTCCACGATCAGCACCATCTTGCAGTTGATGCACTTGTCGCGGTAGTGGAACAGCAGCCCCACCGTCGGGTGCACCACATGGTCCGCGTACCCGGGAGCCGAGCGGTACACCTGGTGGTTGCCCATCTCCACAATGGCCCTGGCATTCACCACCACCTTGCTCCGCACGTAGGCGGGCAGAACCTCCAGGGTCCTCCGGACCTTCGACTGGGTGTATAGCAACCGGTTGAGGACGTGGGCGGGGGCGTTGTAGGTGTCGTTGCTGTCCCGCCGGTGGAAGAAGACGTTGCGGAAGACGAAGCCCGCGGTGCGCCCCTCGTCGCACTGGCGCAGGTAGTCCGCCAGGGTGTTGTGCTTCAGCGGCATCACCACCTCGTCCAGATCCACAACCGCCGCATACCGGAAGTTGTCCACCACATTCGCCCGGTAAACGCAGTCGTTGAACTGGGCCACTATTCCGGCGTAGTGGACGTCCTGCAGATGCGCCTGGACATTCCACTCGAAGACGTCGGCCAGGCCGATCCGTTGGTAGTGCTCCAGAACGCGACGCACATCCTCGCTGGCCTCCACGTAGTAGAAGTAGAAGTGGCTGGCTCCCTGCAGTCGATATATCTCCACGAACTCCACCAGACGGAGCACATTAGAGTAGTTCTCCTGCAAGGGACCCACGCACACGGAGATCGTGGGACGGGATCGAGCGAACAGGTTGGTCATGTTGCGGGGATAACTGGGGATTAATGGAGACTTTAAGCTGGATTGGATTATAGAGTGGACAATATGCACTCACCTGATCTGAACGAAGGTGGGACTCAGGTGACTGAGGCGGTTGGAGGCGTAGGCCAAGGCCACCGCCTGCGGCAGTCGCATGGGGGCGTGGCGGGAGGCGTGCAGCGGACACATGATGCTCCAGGCCGCGAAGGTGTTGTTGTGGACATCATGCATGGCGCCCGCCTCCTCAGCCACAATCTCCTGGCTCTTGAAGTCCGCGAAACGCACGATGCAGCTCACTTTGGAGTCGCGCATGCGCTCGGGAAGAATGGCAAAGACGCGCAGCGATCCGATGGTCATCTGCTCCTCGTCCAGGCGGACATTCCCTATCATAAATAATTGTTTATTAGATTTGAGAAGCCTTAGTGTTCTGGTTTTTAGTACTATCACAAAATAAATACCCCCTAGCATTTTTTACATCGCTACGATATTCTTATCAATTCCTTTTCTTATCAGTTTTTCACTTTATATTTTTGAATAAATATTGCCAATGTAAATATGACGTCATATTTTTGAAACTTTCAAAGTGAGAAAAGAGAAAAATTTGGAACATGTTGGCATGTTGCTTACAGAAATGTCAGCCAATGCCAAATATTTAAAAATAATTATACCCGTTACTCGTAGAGTAAAAGGGTATATTGTATTCGTGCAAAAGTATGTAACAGCTAGAAGGAAGCGTTTCCGACCCTATAAAGTATATATATTCTTGTTCAGGGTCACTAGCCGAGTCGATCTAGCCATTTCCGTCTGTCCGTCTGTCCGTCTGTCCGTCTGTCTGTCCGTCTGTCTGTCTGTCTGTCCGTATGAACGCTGAGATCTCGGAAACTATAAAAGCTAGAAGATTGGCATTTTGCATGTAGATTGTAGAAGTTCCTACGCAGCGCAAGTTTGTTTCAAAAGGTGCCACGCCCCTTTAACGCCCACAATCGCTTATATACGATTTTAAAAATTTAAATATTTCGGAAAAGTAAAAATGCAGTTTTATTGTGTTTATCAATACCTATCGAAATAATTTTTCAAATCGGACCATTCGTTAAAAAGTTATGCGTGATCAAAGTTTCTATCTCCATCGCCCTCGCACTCCCTTTACCTGTGTAACGGGTATCTGATAGTCGGGGCACCCGACTATAGCGTTCTCTCTTGTTTTTAATTATAATCAAATTATTTTTGAAATATTTATTGACCGGCTAGAGTCTGCCGAGCTCACCTATTATATCCGTCCTGGCATCGAAGTAGGCCGAGTAGATCTCGTGCCGGAACGTGGCATTGCCTATCCGGCGCCAACTGTTGCTGTAGTCCCAGTGCGGATTGGGCCGCTCGAAGATCAGCTGGCGATGCGCCTTGGCCAGATCCTCGCGCAGGCGCTCGTTCTGCAAGTGGAAGGGAGAAGGGAACAAGACCGGGAAGGATTAGTCACAGGACCGTTGCGGGGCTGAAGGGTATCCGCCACACTCACAAGGCTCGAGCGCATGGAGATGTAGACCAGGACGAGCATGGCACTGGCCACCAGGGCGGACAGCGCGAAGTACACATGCTGGAAGCGGTTCTCCTGGGCGGCCAGCATTTCTCGAGTGGGGGAAAACAGCGCTCGGGACTCCGCTCCTCAGGAATCGCCGACGGCAACTAAACTGTTTATTTATTTTCTAGCAGCGCGTTGCGTGGACGTCGACTGAAACCGAGACTGAGGGCGGCAACGGCTACGTTGGCGTTGACCTAGACGCCGACGTCTTGGGTCTCGTTCTCGGGTCGGGTCTTCTGATTCTCGGGCTTTGGGGTCTCCAGTCAACCCCAAGCGGCTCCTGTTGCTTATTTGCTTAGTGCTCTTGATGGCCGGCCATCGATTAGCGATAACACGTGTGCGGTTGTCGCTATTCGCTAGACGCTTGTCTTTGTGGGGGCGTTCCTCCAGTGTCATCACCATCGACTGCCGCCCGTCCTCGGCATTCTTTCGCCACCTCCGCACCACTGACCCACCCAGCCACAAGTTCACTTGGCGCCCCGCAATACGCAAATAAGTATTTCCCTCACACACTGGCAGAATGAAGATACGCAGGGTATACGCCTGGCCGGATAAAGCGCAAAATTATGGCATTTTAATCCCACAACATTTAAAATAGATCTCTAAACTGTGTATATCACTTTTACTGTGCGAAAATGAACATTTTTATTTTCAAAATATATGTAAATGTATATAAACGTGAAAACGAATGCAAAATTTACGATCTTTATGTTTTTGCTATATGTAGGTTAATTAACTATTAGCAACTTTTTTCTTTATTTTTTTGTAGGGTTATTGAACTCCATAAATTGCAAAAATAATTATTACAAAAAAAATCTATAAAATTTTGTTTTTGGTGTATTAGCTTTGATCTTTTCCAAAACTTAAATATGTTTCAAGTCCTTTAATTCCTATTTAATAGGTTTATTTTTCATAAGAAATTTTGTAATGAGACGTTTTCATAGCTCAAGAGGTGATTTTAGGACACGAATGGTGCTTTTTGTTAAATACCTCAATTGGTTTTCGTTATAAGTAATACAAATTTGTTTAATATCATTTCCGCATTGCCATGGCAAATTAATCACATTTATATTTTCATTTAATCATTGTTCGACGTGGACTAAATCAAACCTGAGAAACACAAGTTTCAAATTTTATACCCTTAACTATGTATATCACAATTGTAACCCCTTTTGTAACGATTAAATGCATTTTAGGAATTTTTCCGCTGTGCACTAACGAGGGTGGGGCGTACGCTTTCCCGCTTTTCTGCTTTTCCGCTTTTCTCCAGGACGCGTATGCAACAAGTTAATCAACGCACGCCTCGCATCAAACTGGCGCCTCAGTCCACGGACGCTGTCATCAAATGGCGGCGCCCCCGGCAGCGCGGCGGCGTCGCAGCAGCTGCGCAGCGGCAGAGCTTCGAGGGCCTTGTACAGCGTACTCATGCCCCAAAAGTGGGTGGTGGGTGCTGGACTGGGGGGAGGGCTTAATAAATTGTACGCTTGTCTCCCGATTGGAGTGTCCATGTCCATGTCTACCGCCTCGAGTGAGTCAGCGTCGCTTTCCCAAGCTATTTTTAAGTTAATACAGCCGACATCCTCCACTTTTATTATTGAGAATGAAAATATATCAATTATACATAGCCACATGCCAGCGGACAGCACACACAAGCGCGCTTTTCTTTTATTCGGACACATGTTTATGTATAATTGCCGCATTTAATACATTCGTCTTGGACATGGCAATCGAAAGTGAGCGAAGGCGTTGACCACTTGATGCTTTGGGCAAAATAATGCTGCCACAGTGGGACCAAAATGGTTTACAACTTTTGGGTCACCGAAATCAGTTCAATCAGTGTTTAGAGCAGTAAACCGTTTTTCAGACTACCGCATTAAATTTATTTTTGAGATTTTTGCTATGTTGTTTTTTCATATTTTACTGCCACCCCTTAAATTTTTTATTTGCACATGTAATGTACTGATTATTTACATACGTAGAAGCAAGCTAATCACGAAATACGTACATGAAAAAACTATGTTGCCATGTGTTTTTCTTCATAAGTTGAAGTCCCTTTATGTCGTTTAACACAGACATAAGTATAATTTCGAAATGTTTGCTTAAACGTTTTACCCTAACGGACAAACAGCTTTATACCTCATTATTGGTCATAAACACTAACAATCGGGGCACTGTATATTTCAATTTGTTTTCCTTCACAGCGTTTTCACATAAATACAACGAATATTTTGTAGGTATTTCGTTCATTTTGTGCTATTCAAAGCGAAATATTAATTATTCAAACCATTAAGTACTTTAAGGAGGTCCGGATGTGTTTTTGACAGAGCCTATTTGTAGCCAATATAATGCGGCTAATTTGTCACACTCACTTGTAGGAATTTATAGGCGACGAGCAGGAAAATATATACGAAAAAGACCAGGAACGCGAAATAGGTCGCCTTGGGACGCTGCCAGTACGAAATCTTACGCATTTTCCACAAATGCTGGGAAATCACGCATCCAAAAAACCGAACTATAATCCAAAAAGAGTGGAACTAAACTGAAGCGCAGAGCGCTTCACTGCCGATAATTTATCAGGTCTTATCAGCTTGGTTCCATTGATAAGATGTGCTATCGCCGGAATAGAAACGCACCTAATTGAGTTGCTCAGGTAGCGAACACGCTTTTAGATAGTTTTTGAGAACACTTAACGAAACAAAATGAAGAGTCTAGTCGTTAAAGTACTCTTTTTCCTACAATATTTTTAAATAAGAGTGGTTAGACGAAGTCAAGAAGACAATACAAATTAACCACCGCTACTTTCAGGCATTTAATTGGTCATTTAATGGGTTAGGTTTGTTAATAAGGTTTGTTATAATATTGTTAATAATAATAATAGAACTATGATTATATTATACTGATAACTATATAACCAACACAAAGCAATTGTTTTATTTCATTATCAAGGTTTAAAAAAATGAAAAATATAATTTAAAATCTCAAAACATGTAAAGATTTTTGCGATTTTTTTTAATAAGCGCGCTTATCTCCAAACATATTATTCATATCATTGAATATATATCTAAGCCAATTACTCATGCATTTTGTTCAGATTTGAACCTTTTGATAATTGTTTAAAAGTGTACAATTTTTCAAAATGTGCGTTAAAATACTTTTAAGTTCATTGAAATGTTTCCTTTATTTAACATTATATAAAGTGTAAGTCTTAAAACTTAAGAGGCTTTTATTAGTTTTAATCAATTAAGTACTTAAAATCTTCTTGGTCTTTTTTCAGGAGCCCCCGTTCCCAACAGCTGCACCTTTGGCTCATCCTTAGCCCGCATACTGCCAGTAGCCAAATCATGTCCAATTGATGATCCCACAAGAGTCCTAAGTGAAATTAAATGCAACCAGCATAACTGAACAACCAGTAGTTGCCAAACTGACACAGGAGCTGGTAAAACCACCCCAAGGTTGATACCCCTGCCCCTATCCAACTGCTTTTGTTATCATCTCTTTGAGAAAACATTTGGGTGAACACCTTTCACGGGGGATTTTCGCCAAGGGACCAAAGGAAACCCCCAGCAGCGTGAGAAAGCGAACGGGAGAAATCTTGACTAATTACTATGCACTCAACTGGTAGCCCTAGATCACTCGGTTCCCACAAGACGACAAAGTCGGGCAAACCGGGGGTGACATAACCCGGTAACCCTCCACCGGGAATCGGAATCCAGAGCCAAGAAGTAAGGCGATCGCGGGGACAGTGCCGACATACCAGCATAAAAATGAAATAAGCATTTCCAATTCAATTCATTCCTTGAGCCTAACCCTCGTTTTATTGTTGTTATGGCCCAGCGGCACGCACCCGGTTCTTGGTTCCCAGTATCCAGAATCGAACCCCTTCCAGGCATTTTGAATTCCCCCTCTGCTGGCACGCCTGCGTCATGCGAAAGTATTTCCAACAGTCGGCGATGGTGGTGGATTTTCCGCCCAGTATAAAAGACCGATCGAATCGGCATTGCAGCACAGTTCAGTCTAGTATTCCGAAGAGTGACGACATCGGACTCGAAGATCGCTAAGCCGCCACCGTTTGGTGTGGCGGCCTCAGCCGTTAATTAAAGTTCGTTAATTAAAGAAAAGTATTTCGACATTGGAAAGTTCTTCAAGACCATGGAATTCTTTCTGGATTTGTGTAAGTATTAAGCAAGTGACAGTCCTTAAAATAAATATTACAATGGCTTGTTTCCTTCTGCAGGAATACAAGAAAAAAACTACTATATAAACCGACTCAACAATAGTTCAACAGTTCATAACTTTAAACTCTTGTTATGATAAAAGCAACAGGAAATACATTGCTCAACAAGTAAATGCAAAACCAATGACTCATTAAAAATGTGGATATGTTATTGGCCACGCTAAGACAATACAGCAAATATTTGCCTTACCAAGAGTTGTGAAACTAAAGGTGTTAAAAGTTGACTTCAATACCAGCAAATTATAGCCATGATACACCATGATACAATAGCATACAATCAGACAAAGGAATTCCATATCATAAAATAATAAAAACTCGATATAAAATACAAAAATCCAAGAGCTGCAAATATTACGATTGCCAAGAAAAAATTACTACGAAAATTATCAGCACAGACATAATTTAAAAATATTAAAAAAAAAAATTATGGAGGACTGCGACTCAAGGACATATTTACTACATTTCATCTATTCTTTCACTATCCAAGCTGTTCCTTAAAAAATGCTATACAAATCAACATTTCGCTTCACCATTATCGACCAAACTAGCCAACAAAAGAATAAATCTTCCAAAATTGTATTCATAAGTTCTCCAAATTTCAAACATACACCGCTCACATTTAGTTAAAAATTTATTTGTGCCTTTTTAGTTTCATATTTTTTTTTTAGTTTTGTTGATGTTTTTTGTTAAACCAATTTGAAAGCTATAAATTTGTTGGTCTAACAATATCCTTGTAAAAAGTTTCCACTCTGTAAAGTTCTAAATTAACAGATGAACTATAGGAAAGTTTTCTCAATGTATATTGCCAATAGCAAAGCATGTTTTTGTTAAAAAATGATTGTGTTAAACATGAGGTTCCCCGAGCTATAACTAAATTCAATTAATTTTGATTTCATTCCCATTTCTTAAAACGTTAATATTCTGTGATTATCATTTTCAATTCATTTATTTAATTTTTTTTTTTAATTTCCTATTAATTTGAAGATATTTTGTGATTTTTTCGGTTCATTATGATGGATGTGGTAAGTGTTTTTCTTTCATTATTTTCATTAATTTTATTTTATACAAATCCTTTATTTCCAATTTGTTCTTATTTGTATTTAATTTGCTTTCTTTAATAGTTTTTTTTATTTAATGAATTATTATTTTTTTAAATTTATTTCGTTGCAAGCTTTTTTCGAGATTTTTATTTTATTTTATAATTTTTAAAGTTCAAATAATATTTTATTTTCGTTTTTTTATAATCGATCATAATTGGTCAAAAATGATTCTGTTCTTATTTTATTAAAAAGTTTTTTTTTTGAATTATATTGGGTTATCTAAAATTTGGTAAGTTTTCAATTTATTTTATTTTTATATTGTAATTTTTTTTGCTTTATACTTTACTTTATATATACTTTACTTTATATTTATTTTAAAATTTCAATTTATAAAATTATGTTGATTGACTTATTTTTAATGTTATTAAAATTATTAGATTATCTGTTTAAGTATTAGTAAATTTTTAATTTCTTATTTTTTTTATTTCTTATATTTCTTGACAATTTTGTGGCGTTATTAAACTTATTTTAAGCATTTTCATTTCAATATGAACGTAGATATATTTTCATCTCCTGATTTCTAAATTTTTAAGTTGATTAAAATATTTTTTTAGTTATTTGTTGGAATTAAAATTTTTTTTGTTTTTATTTTAATAAATCATTAAGTTACTGATTTATCTTTAGTATTTACATAAGTTCAATGTTGTTTTAAAAGGTTTTTTGTTTTACATGGTATTTTAAATTTGAATTTATTTTTTTATTGCTTTAATTTTTGTTTAATTTTTTCATTGGATTTTAAATTGCATTTACTACTTTTTTGACTTAACGAACTCTTTTTTTTAATCATGGGTAGTTGACTTTAGTATTTGCTTAAGTTTAATATTTGTTTTTTTAATTTTTTTATTGTGTTTTATTTATTTTTATTTGTAATTTTAAATTGATTATTGATAATTAAACTTTAATTTTTTTAATGGATTTTAAATTGCAGATTCTTTTATTTTTAATTTAACAAACTGTGTAGTTTTTTTTGGTAGATATATTTTTTTATAATAAATCATGAGTTGTTGATTTACCTTTAGTATTCACCTAAGTTCAATTTGCTTAAAACATTTTATTTTTTAATTTTGTTACATAATTTTTTAGTTCTGGAATTCTTTTTATTTTATTTTAATTACCTTTATATTTTTTACTGTGGTCTAATATTGCATTTCTTTTTGCGTATTTAAAAATTATTATTTTATTTAGTTTTTGTAACAATTTAAGATTTGTATTGCTTTATATTATTGTTTTAAATTTTTTTATTTAAAGAAATACTTTTTTGTTTTAAAATAAATCTAATTTCTTGAGAGTTTATGGTTTTTGTTGATTTTCGTTTATATTATCCTTTGACCTTGCATAAGTTCTGTGATTCTTTCTTTTATTTTATTTTACAAACTTTTTGTTTTGTTCATTCATTTATATAATGTTGTTTAATTATTTCTTTTATTTTTTTTATTTCTTCTTTGTTGAAACATATTTTATATTTTAAATATGTGTTATTTATTATGATTTTATCAATTTTGATTTGTTTAATTGTTTTGATGACTATTTCAGTTATTTATATTGAAATATTCGACTTTATTTTATTTAATATTATTATTTTTACTCTTACTTAGTTATTTTTTATATATTATTGTGTATACTTAATTTTTTTATCAAACTTAATTTTGTTGTTTATTTCTCGAGCTCAGGGTTTCTCACAAAGAAAGTTTATTGTAATAATAAAAAATAATGTATTACCTCTTAGTTAAGCATTTAATACATGAACAATAAAATAAACTGTACTTCCAACTGAAAAATACTTATTGTACTTATTACCCTGATAAAAACCAACCATTTTTTGAGGATCTTTGAAATTTGTTTATTTGAGCAAAGCTGTGCCACACATAAATATTTCTTTGGAGACTTAGCTTACGAATTACACATAAATACGGATAGTAGGTTACACTAAGCCCTGCCACGCCCACCGGGCGGGCATCTCTCCCAGCCGCTGCACTGCATCCGGTCCTGGATTTGAATGTGGACTCTGATCTGGTTTGGGTTCCAAGTCCAGTTACTGCTCGGCTGCGCCGGCACTTCCCTCGGCGGCTGTTTGGGCCGCTGGGATGGGCATGCTCTGGCCACCAGCACCACCACCACCACTTCCACCATTGCCGGCGGGACTCGCCGTGTTTCCTGGACCGTCCGATGGAGTGTCCGCGTCCCGTTCGAGCAGATAGCTGACGCCTAGAGGACGTGGTCGGCCACCATAGGAAGAGCTACAAGGGGCGACAAGAGGGCAAGCCTATCTTAATGCCGTGACCGATTCCGAGTTCGAATCCGTGCGGGGAATTACTGTGGGTGCACTCAGTGACCAATAAAAGAACCTTGAACCCTAAAATGGTTAATTTCTAATACAAACGTCAATCAATCAAAATAATAATATTGACGATTTTGGTAAGAAAATCATTAAAAATGTAGATTGCGGTAAGTTTATAAATTTAAAAGAAATCTAATGCTGTCCCAGCATTTTTGATTATACTAAGCATTCTTAAAAATGTAATATTCACGCGCTCTTTAGTTTTATAAGTTCTACAATAACATATATAGCTGAGCTTAAAATTTTGTCAAGACCTTTTTAATAAACACCTTTTACAGAAGCATTTTAAAGCATTTTTCTTAAATTTTTTTAAAACTCTACTTTTTGTTCCTCAGTGTAACGTCAGCAATATTGAAAAACAAAAGAATGAAGTCAAGTAAAAATATTATTTCCTAGGATAATTAGCTTGTTTTAATCGAGTCTCTCAAATTCAAGGCTATTTTATTTGTCTGAGTGCGTTGACGATGCTGTTGCAGGGGAAGCACCCACTGCAACTTACCTCTGTGCATCCCGCTCCCTGTCCCGTTCCCGTTCCCGTTCCCGCTCCCGACTGCCGCCGCTGCCGCTCGAGCCGTTGCTGCTGCTACTGCTGCCGCTGCTGCCCGATGCACTGCTACCGCTGCCTCCACTGCCCTTCTCCTGGTCCCCCAGATAGGTCCAGCTGCCAGGACCTCCCTCCGATCCCAGCACATTGGTATGGCCGCCCACTCGGGAGCTGTCGCTGCCAATGGCCGAGGATGTAACCTTGGAGCCACCGGCATAGGGACAATTTCCGGAGATTCGCCCACAAGGCGAACTCATTGAGGAGGAGGGTCGAGAGTAGGAGTAGCCATGCCCTCGATTCCTGCCAGCATCACTTTCGTCCTCATCGCCGGCGAAGTAATAGCCACGTCCGGAGTTATCGAAGCCGGATTGACCCCTGATCCATTTTAAGTGGTTGTTGTTCGGCAAACGGAAGCGGAGCGGTAGTCGAGTGGGAGTCAACGGGGCGGATACGGGTTTTTTGGGCGGAAAATAGTGAGTGCAGTTGTTGGGGTGCATTACGGATTAAATCATGTTGGATTGGTTTTGCCAGCCGTGAATCATCCGCAGTGTCCACAGTGTTGTTGATGTATGGTGTGTTGTTCAGAGTTGTTGTTGTACATGATGTTGGTGTGGTTGTTTTTGTTGTTGTTGTTAGCGTGTTGTTGAGTTGTTGTATGAAAGTAGAGAGTAAAATCGGAAACAATTCAGAGATAGAAAGCCAAAGATACTGAGATAGCAGACAACATGGATATACATTTTATATACACAAAAGAGTGCGACGATACCTGTAGGTCTCATCCCAAGGGCGATAGTTGCGAAAATCATACCTGGAGTAGTAGCGATCGTACGGATCGTACCGATCATAGCTGCCAGACCTCGACCGATCGTATAAGCGGTCTGAAAAGGAATAATAAGTTATAGTATACTATATGCACAAGTATAAGATTATGTTTCCAAATAACATTTTGCGCCCATATGTAAAACTATTATATTATATATTTTATACAGTATAAATATTTAAAATAATTAAATATGTTACTTTGACTATTTTACTTTTATGTAGGGCTTAGACAGATAAATAGTTTAGTATAAAATTGAGGATGTATAGAAAAGGGACTCATAAATTAAATTAGTATTCAATAAACACTTTTCTTGTTAAACTTGTATTAAGTAAAATTTAATGTAAAACCTTTCTAAAATATGAATAGAAACCCACATTTCACCTTTTGTGCTTAATAATTTTAAATTAATTTTTTTAAATTTTACATACCTCGGGAAGAGCCTTCGCTGTAGCGATCACCTCCATAGTAGCGATCTCTGTTGTCGTACCCATATCCCCGTTCCCGATCGTAGGCTCCGCGTTCGCGATCGTAGGACCCACTATACCCGGACCCCCTTCTGTAGTCATCATAGCCACGCCCCTCGTACCGGTCGTACGTCCTTGGGGTGTACCGATCATCGTAGTAGCGGGAGCGATCGTAGTACCGGTCGTAGTCGCGATCCCTGCTGCTGCTGCGGTCATCGTAGCCGGAATAATACCAGGCGCTGCTGCGCATATCGTCGCCCGATCGGCTGGCATATCCGCCGTAGTAGCGATCCCGGTCCCGATCCTCGTAGCACCTCACACAGCGCGACTGGCGACTCTTTCCCCGCAGCACCGAGTCAAGGATTCCAACGCTCGCGGTGGCCAGCTGCTGATCCTTGACGTCCACGCCGGAACGAGCCTCCGGTCCTGTCACCGCCGCCTGGACACAGACTATCAGGGCCAGGCAGGATAGCTAATACCAGACAAAATATACACAAATTTAAAAGTATTCATTACCATATTCAAAGTAATTTAATTTTATTTAATTTTTGTTTGTAAATAATGAGGTCTTGGAACATTTGTATTAAAACATTGTCTTAAGAGATTTTCAAACCATAACTCTAAGACTAACTCCATAACCATAACTCTTCAAATATTTCTGTAGTTTTCAGTTTCAACTGTATGAGAATTGTTTTATAAGAGGCTTTGTAATTATACAAAACGAAAATACGAATTAAAAAAATAAAAATATGAGCATAAACTAATTTCATATCATAGCATGGTAATAACTTTATGCGATCGCAATTTAAATGGCTTTAGTGGTCTAGTTCTAAAGGCACCGATAAAGATCCTTTCAATTCACTTAATTATTCAGATGTATACGTAGGTGATATTTTGTATTCTGCATGGAAATCGGGAGTGCGATCATCATTAGTTGATTGGCTTTAATTGCCGCTGAGTGCGGGGCCTATCGCAATCGGCTAAGCCGGGGAACCAGCCAGCCAATACATATCTCACGGTTCAGCTGCCAACTGGGCCAAAACACGGAGCTCCGTGGCAGCCTCCGATCGTAATTGAGGCGCCCTCCGCCCACAGATGAACACCGCTAAAGTGGACGACAACGCCGCGTGGCCAGTCGGCGTGAAATATGATCAGCTCCCCCACCGATTATGCAATGGATTTTGGGCCAGGCCAGAAGAGCTCGGGGATGGCCGGGTAGCATTGACATCATTTCCAGCCCGGCTCATGGCTGCATGAATCAGATTTGGAATCGGAATCGGAACCATAACTCCAGTGGCACATGCTAAAGCCGAAAATCCGAGAATGGCCAGCCCAAGCAGAGTTAATCATGGAAAATATTTTGCTGGCTGGCCGCCACGCTTTGTTAGCCAAGCATCAGGAACAACTTCCGGCCAAAGCCGATGGTGTTGGCTTCGGCATGTGGGGAATGGATGTGGATCGACGTGACTTGTCACTGACTCTGGCCAACTTCATTAGAATAATTATATTTCGAGCGAGTACCGGGCGGTATGAGTATATGAATGTGGCAAATTGTTTCGCTGACCGAGGGTCGTTGCCATCGAAAATCCATGAATGGGTTTTTCGGGGCCCTATTGGAGTTTGGCCATTCCGTCGGCCCTAATTTACATAACATGATCGTAATATTTTGGGGGTTGCATAATGTGTTCTCTATATGTTACATAACATTTATTTTGGGTCAGGTTTAGTTAACAGTTCCACGATTAAATAATGATACCACGAAGGATGTATGTATATGCATTAAAATCAAACTGCCCTTACTTTTCTTTAGATATAAGGAAACAATAATTGTCATAAACTGATTTATGTTTTCATTTTCAAAAGCCTTTTAAGAATATCTGAGGGTAGTTTATTGTTATGCACAATAAATTAAATACGATGCACGCTATGTGAATTAATAAAAACCAAGGGTGTTTAATATGTAGATTGTGTTCGTTAATGATTGATATGGAAAAATATGTTAAGTCGTTTAAAAAAGCAGATATACATGTTGTATGTAATGATTTAACAGATTTAATTTTCTAATTGTTCTACACATCGTTTTACTTGTAGGAAAAGTCTTTTTAAAGTGTAATTAAGTGATTTTTTTTTTAGGATGTAATGATTATTATTTACTATGTTAGGATTTTAACAGATTTTGTTATCTAATTGTTATACAAATTCATTTACTTATAGGAAGTGTGTTTAAAAAGTGCTATTAGGTGATTATTCTTTAGAAAGTTTGCCTGATTTTTAAGACAGGGTATGATTAATAAATATTATTTAGTTGTTAAGGATATCGACTAGTAAAAATAAATAAAATTGACCAAAATGATGTGTTCAAAGACATTTATAAGTGGCAATATAAACTGTGGCAAGGATTTAAGTCATAAAAGACTCATCTGTGGAATCTAGAAGACCTGTTTGAAGTTTCCATTATATTTCTTGATAGTTAGAATCATAGAGAGCAATTTTATAATGTAGTATTAAAGTAGTGGATTGATTTCCCTAAGAATTCTGGTGGAATTCCCGCGGTTATTTAGAATTCCACGACATCAGAACTCACCAGCACAATAGCACGCATGGTGACCCCGCTTCACTTGGTTCCACCGAATCGATCACAAACTTGGCACCTGGCACACGACGCGCCTCTTTTATTTTGGGGTAAGACCGAGAATATCCTTTCCGAACTGTTTCACAACGAGCCAAAGCGTCTCGGACTGGCGTCAGACCGCGAATGATGTGGCCGGGACGGTGGGTCCGTATTTATCTGAACTCCAACCCGAGCTCTGGTTCTGGCCGAGCCGAGAGCACTGAACCGCGATCCCAGCCCCGGATCATCGTGGCTATTAGAGGTGGGATTGCTTTTCGGCGGTTGTGGTGCTGATGGCTGTGGTTCGCTGGCATTCGTGGCTAAGGTGTTGGCACTCGGTGCTTCTGATTTTTTTTTGGCCTGGGCTGGCACGTCGATTTGTCACTTCGCCTGCTCCAACACCTTGGGGCGGGCTCTGCTCTCGTTTCATGGTCAGTTTGCCTTTCGGAGAATGGCAGGGAGGATGTGCCCGAAAAACGCCTCGATTGTCTCATCGAGACGCGGGCTAATTATGCGTCTGTTGCGTAATGCCCCGAAGAACACTCCTGTGAAATTATCGCGGATTATTCCGGCTTCTCGAGCGCTGAATCACAGAGACCTGAGGCTGAGACTCAGCATGAGATTAGCATTTCCACTTCCAACTGGAACAAAACACTTTTCAGCGCTTACATAATTCACGACCGTGACCATGAAAAGGCTTTCCACCTGAAGACGTCCCAAATTAAGAAATGTTATTCGGGCTCTACCAGAGATTTTGAATACCCTTGAAGAAAAACTAAGACAAGCGGTAAAATATGCCCAACATTGCTTGTAGCTATGGGATTTTTTAAGAAATCAGTTTATCGTTTATCCCTATCTAAGAAAACAGCTTATTATTTTGTTTTAATTTTTTTCACAATTTCCAAAAAAAATAATTTCAATATTGATAGGAATGAAAATTTTTAAAGATAAAATCTTTAAAAATCCATACAATATATTCTTAAAACAGGATACCATTACAATTGTAAAGAGATTACAATTGTTAATATACTAATGTATCAACGACAATTTTTTTTTTCTCTTATCTTTACTTTAAAAAATTTGTTTATTCATTTTTAATATAATATAATTAACATACAATTTTTTTAAAAAATAATTCATAAATAAATATTTATGTATATTAATGAAAATAATCATTTCCATAGGTAACAATCTGGTAAGATAATCAAGAACCAACCGTTAGTTAAAATCAATTTGTTGTAAAAGAATTTCAAAGCATGACAAATTACCTCACCAAAAAATGTATAGTCAGGAGGGGTGGGGGGATGGTGTGGTGGGGGGGGATGATTCGAAATAACGCAGGTGGCGCTATGGATCACCTTCTTAGTCTCCATGCTCACTGAACTCCGGACGGAGGTCGTTGGCTTCGTCCATAAAAATCATAACCATCCAACGAAAATAAACAACAACCAGGCGACAAGTTTAATTAAACGATTTAATTTAGTTTTTACAAAGCGCGCAACAGTCTGGCAGATTTGTTAGGCTCAGTTTGAGAAACGGGTTCGATATGGTACTCGTAAATATATAATTTCTTGGGCTCTGGAGATTGCATCTAGTTTGCTTCATGGAAGAACAATTTGTGATGTGTGTGTACAGTGCGATTTGTGTCTGTGTGTGGCACTTTCGAGGGCGCAACAAGATCAACAATTAAGCTAATTCAACGATTCTGCTAAATACGAGTTATTGTCTCAAGTTGTACATACTTATAGCTCAGAGTATGTGTGTTCGCATGTGTGAAGCAGTGGCAGTGCTCAGAAATGTTTTGGATATACAAAAAAAAGTCAATTAAACCGACTAAACTAAAATTAAAAATACAATATCACAAATATTCAAATATTCTATCTAAAAGAGAATTATACATTAAGTTGTCTGCATTCGCAAAATAATAATTAAGTAACCTATTTTCATTTAACTATAAGGTCCCTATTTAAAAAGATTTGTTTCATAATGTTGAAATTAGGAAATGTTGAGATGGAAAACACTAAATATAAATTGTCCTAGATCTATTAACTATATCAGATCACTGCCCTCCCTTCACACACACTTGAATGTCCGCCGTAGATAGAAAGCCAAGCGATTAAGGATAATTGCGGTATAGCCCAGTATCACAATAGCATCTTTGCCGCATTTGCAGCGGCTATGTCATCCTGGAAAGCCAGGAATCCAAGCTGGGCATGCGAGGCCTCGTTTAAAGCCCTCGATCGAATGCAGGCGCGGTACTGATCGGCTGTCAGCGAGTTGGAGCAGATCTGTAGGGTAGAAACATCTATAGAATTCCAATAAGATAGAGTTCTATAGCAAAGTCAATACCTTGGTGTGCCAGCGGTGGAAGATGCCGGGATCGGTGGCCCTGATTATCTTGATCTTTGAGCGAACGTATTTCCGGTAGAGCATCACATCCTCGCCGCCCCATCCTACGATCTCCTCCTCGTCGAAGCCTCGCACCTGCAGGAAGTTCGAGCGGTACTGACAGGTCATCCCGTAGCCAAAGTCCCGCCAGAATCCAGTGTCCCGGGAGATCACCAGCTGCTCCTCTTCGCCAGGCAAGGATTTGCCCTGCAACGTGTACACCACATGAGGATTGTACAGGCTGAATACCACCGGATAGTAAACCTGAGTAAATTGAGGGCAACAATTATTTATTCTACATACATATCAAATAACTTATATGGTAGATCCACTTACCTTCTTCCCTGGGGCGGCATTCCATCGACATCGCTCTAGAAATCTGGTTGTGAACATAATGTCAACATCGCACATGAAAAGAAGGACGTCCTCTTTGGCCGGTTGAATATGTTCCGCTCCCAGTCTCAATGCCTTAGCTGAAATTAATATTAAAACTAATCAAATTGAGCTCACAATATCTCAAAAGCAAAAAAATCTAGATTTAAGCTAAAAGTATTTTAAAATCTAAGTATTTATAAGCTAAGTCCCATTTTTAGTAGTTGTCTTGTTATTCAAATACATCTTTTTTCATTCGAATAAAGAATTTTCTAAGAGTCCAAGAATAATAATGCATTTTTTAATGATTGTTATTTAAATTAAAGTTTTACACTAAAATTTTTCATTTTGGTTAAAAAAATGTGACCTTTTTAAAAATTTTTAACAAAGTATTGAATTGAAATTGAAAATTTTAAGACACACGGTATTAATTAAATACATTTAAATAATTTGCGTACCCCTGCTAAAAGTCTCATTGAGTGCCAGAAACTGGGTCCTTTGGGATCGTCCTGCCAGTCGTTTGGCCTGCGCCAATGCGCTGGTTCCAAAGTACACCACAATGAGCTCCAATCGACGATCCTCGAGCTTGGCGAACATCTGCAGGAAGCTGCGAAAGCTATGCAGACGACCGGCCAGGGGCAGTATCACATGGATCACGGGCGGACTGCGACTTGGAGTGGCACCTCCACTGTCCACCATCGACGTTAGCTCCGATAGCTGCACCGTTTGCAGGGGGGCGAAGGGGCGCATGACCAGGGCTCTCCTCACAGGACTCGCCTGGTTCTTGACACTCTGGAAATACAGCTCGTACTGGGTGCCGGTGGTGGGTTCGTTGCGGTAAATGCCCTCGATGAAGTCATCCAGGGTGTACTTGATCACATCCGAGGGGGCTCCAGCTGGGGAGCCGGCTGCCTTTGCTCGAATCCTCGCCGAGTGGTTTCTATTCAGGCTCTCCAGGGCCTTGTTAACAGCCTCGATCAGGTCACGCCGTCGATAGCCGATGGGCTTCTCCACCACCCGCTTGCCCAGCCCCAAGTCGATGGGGTAAACGCGGGTGAAGGTGAAGTGGTTGTAGGGAATCAACTCGTACTCGTTGTTCAGCGGCAGTCCGTGCAGAATTTCGGCGGCGCCCACCTGCTTGCGGATGTAGCTGCTGCAGTCGTAGTGGTGGGCCAGCGGGGCAGTCGGTGGACCCACGGTGGTTTCCTGCAGCTGGAGACTGCCATTGGAGGGCTTGCCGGCACTGCGATTATTCTGCAGGAACAGGATTTGAGTGCGAAGGCCCAGGACCTCTTGTTTTAGCCGCTCGATTTCCGCATCCCGTTCGCTCAAAGCATAGCTGAATCCACTGGATTCGCTGGGATTGCTGGGTTGCGTTTCCCTCGCCGTAAGTTCGTCGAATCCGCATTTTGTAAGGATTACGATGGAGACGGCCGTCACCAAGGCGAACAGCAGCAGCAGACGCAACAGCAATTTAGACACCAGCGAGTTATGCATTTTCCATACTTCTTTCACTGTTTATTATCTGAAATATATAGAATTTGAAAAGCCGTTAAAGAATTAGATGGATCTGGCAACTTCCTAGTATGGTAGTGCTAACAATGTGGTATACCACTTTCCAACACTTATAGGTCGTAGAGGTGGCCACTTTTTAAACGATTGTTCGTACTGAGACATTGTTAAACATTATTGGATATAATTCACTTGAATTTTATCAAATTATTATTTATATTTAGCTAACCGTTTAAAAAAATAAATAAAATATTGTTTCTGCTTTCTCTATCTTAATAAATGAGCTGTCCTATGTTTAAATAGCATATAATTTATATTTCGACTATTCATTCACATATTTACAAAATTCACGCAAGGCGATGTGTCCCAGATAAACAATTAGCACGGACAGCAACCTCGAGGATCTTTGCTAACTCAGGGACCCAGCGCTTTTTCGCCGGTATATTTTAGTATGTTTTCGTGACAACGGAGTAATTAAGAGGGTCACACTGATCACAAGCTGATATTTATTAAAAAAAAATTGTGCTATTTAAAAGTCAGCCGCAAGTTTTCCGTGGAAAACCCGAACTACACAGCAGTATTGTACAGGCACATTGTCAAGGTGAGTGCTCGGAGGGTGGTGGGTGGCCCGGGGTGGTTTTCAAGCCGTGTAAACAGCGCTTGTTGGCAGTGCGGCATGCAACAAGTTCTTTTTTCGCCCCCATGGTGATGGCATTTCTCTAAACCGAGTGATTCATTGGCCAAATAGATAAGGTGTGTGCTCCGGTTTGTTTTCTTTCTTTTTCGGACGTGTAATCTGCGTACTTTTGGCAGTATGTGTGTCAGGGAAATTGCAAACCACTAAATAAACCAGCGAATAATGGCCTTTCTTCGATTAATTTTCCCACCTACAGCACCATCACAATGGAGAACAACGAAGCCCCCTCCCCCTCTGGATCCAACAACAACGAGTAAGTGGTGGAAATTCATCGAATCAACAGGCTCAGCGCACAAAAGCAAGGAAAATCCCATTAAGTGACGTCATCTGCCTCAATTAGGGGGCAAAGCAAACCGGAAACTTAGCCTTAAGGTTCGGATTCTGGACTTTGGAATGACAACTACAAACTATTAGATTCGGAACTCATTGAGAACGTCAGGAAAATAGGTTTTTTTTTACCCATATGGTATTGTAGCAAACAAAGATGACAAAACAGAAATGCAGCGATCACTTAGAGGGATTCATAAAGACCATAGAAGTCTCCAAAAGCATTGTATTGTAAAGTCTTTTGAATCAGAAGGGAGTAAACATTTAAATCAGTCTGTTCTTTAAAAGTTTAAAATACTAGAGTCGGTTACCTAAACCATTAAATCACTTTTATTTCTATTCCATTTCAAGTAAAGTCACTGCTAAATAAAACAGATTATAATGGATTTCGATCTAAGTCCATAGAAAAAAAACTTTAAGCGATCGTCCAAACTCAAAAGTTAAACCCTTAGTCACTTTTACGGAAGTAAGTTTCATACAACTTTCTATTAAAACAAGTCAATTAACATAATTGATTCAATTGTTAGTTTTTAATTAATTTGTTGAGACCTTTTTAAATGAACTAAGCTTTAGACTGATGAGTTAGATGCAATTATAATCATAAAGTTAATGCTAAATTAAAATATATGGCTTTATATGGCTTGAATCCTTTATATAGCAACACAAAGACATCTCTATATCAAAAGTAAAATTGATAACGATCAACTTTATACTTATTAGTACGCCTTATCGGGCATGTAGACTTTTGCCGACTTCGAGTATATTTAAAACAGATGTTCAAGCCACTTGCTTTTGTGCCCTGCAGCTTTACTGATCTGATGCTCTTCATAAGTGTAAGCATCCCCCAAAAAACACATAATATTGTACAGTTTTCCCATACTTCCGCCACCGCCGAACCATCAAAACAACCAATTCGGTGACCACCACTCCAGCAACAACAATGCGGCCCAGAAGCGACTGCAGCAGACCCAAGCCAAGGTGGACGAGGTGGTCGGCATTATGCGGGTGAACGTGGAGAAGGTTCTGGAGCGGGACCAGAAGCTTTCGGAGCTGGGCGAGCGGGCGGACCAGCTGGAGCAGGGAGCCTCGCAGTTCGAACAGCAGGCCGGCAAGCTGAAGCGCAAGCAGTGGTGGGCCAACATGAAGATGATGATCATCCTGGGCGTCATCGCCGTCGTGCTGCTCATCATTGTCCTGGGTAAGTTTCCCGTTTGAGTTTCGCTTCGGCTTCTGCTTTCTGGGGCTTCTGGTTGCGGTTTTTTCTCGATCAGGCTAAAGATCAGTAGTGTAGCTAGGTGGTTGGTTTAGTTTGGCTGTAACTATAACGCCAGTCGACGCCCTGCTCGCCCTAATCTTGCTCAACCTGTGGTTTCGGCTCTCTTGCAACTAATCCATGTGGCCCCCATCTAACTAACTCAATACTAGATACTCGTACTCGTACTGATGACAACCCGTTGTGAATTTCTGTTTACTTGCAGTGTCGCTTTTCAATTGATACAATTAATTACACACAAAGAAAAACAAAAGCAAAACCGACAAAAAATCAAAATGCAATTCCGTTTCCCATACAGCAAAGTTAAGGTTCAGACTAATCGTTAAACACGTTTATGTACGTGTATCGGGCTCCTACTATATACACTTAAAATTGTATATTATTTTAAATAAACATCTTAAGCTAAGCAACTCTAAAACTCTAAAGGTAAATGTTGTTTTGTGTCTGTCCTATGTGTTAATTATCTTTGTATTTGCTTAGTCTATAATGTGTATAGATTAGAACCTCGATGTGAACGTGTGTAGACTATTAAGTATTTTACTCTAGGTCGGGGTAGTTTTTTAAACTATAAGCATGAGAGAGTTTTTAAATGCCATTAACGGGGAAAAAATTACTGTACAGGCATTACAGTACAGGTATCAAACTTGCGGCATCAATAATATTTGTTGTTTTTAGGACTTAGTACTCAAAATATTAAAATTTAGTGATTTTATGGAACATCTTTTAGATTTATAGTCAATTCGATTAAATATCAAAAAACAATTTGTAATTTGGTAGATTAACGAAAGCCTTTTGATATTGGAAGAATTCTTACTTATTTTTATTTTGAATCATCGGTGATTCAATTTAGAACATAAGTTTATAACTTGAATCATTGGTTAGAAATTGATTAGAAAATATGACTGTCAGTCAAATACTTTGGGGACGAAAATAACAAATGGTGCAGCATTATTTTAATAGGTTTGAATAGCTCAATGATGGAGATTTGACTTGTTGAATCTTTTGACAACCTCTAACTTTTGTGCTCTGCATTTTTAGTGTCCGTTTGGCCATCTAGCAGTGACAGTAGCAGTGGTGGAGGAACTAAGGCCATCACCCAGGCACCGCCGCACTAAACGCCTCCAATGGAGTGAGGCAACTACACGGATACGGAAAGGAAAAGGACCAAACAACCACATCTAGGACGGGAACCTCAATTTCTGGTCTTTTCGCGCAATCAGAGAGTGAAAGAGGAATAGAAAAATCAAAAGGAAAACTTACTAAAATTGCGTCTAGCATATATTTAACCAGAATGTAATTATTAAAACTTAATGTTAAACGAAACATTTTTACGTATTGTAGCCGAGACCAGAGGTCCACATGAATGTGTATTGCATATGTACAATTATATATACATGTATGTCATCCAATCGAAATACATCATGCCACCTACACTTTAACCAGTCCAAGGAAGCCCGGCGTAGTTTTTTAAAGCGGTTCACAGAAAAGGCCATTTATTTACATTCAGTGACGATGGTTAAATTGCGCGTGCTGAGAAAACAGTTATCGATTTTCCGGCAAACCGAATTGAACCGAAACGACTAGAGTCGCGCCACCCTGACAAACTTGCACCATCGACATCGAGGCACTGAGCACTGATGCCCCATCAGAGTCAGAGAAGCGGAAGCCTCGCCTCGCGTAAACATTCCCAGCTGTTCCGATAGTCCGCGCATGCGTCCCACTCAGTCGGTGACTTCCCGGACAAACAGGTACTTCAATATGCTCTGAACGGTCACATCCCACTTCATCAGCTCCAGAAACGACGCTATCGTCCACACATAGCCCATGTATAGCGCGAAGAAGTTGAGGTAGTACAGCTGGCCGATCAGTATATAGTCCCCGTTGCACTCGTGATGGTAGAAGTCTGGTCTTCGCATCGAGGCAGCGAAAACAAGGACGAACTGTGGGGATATATTGTGTTTTATATTTATATTACTCGTTATTTGTGTTCCAAAGTTTTACGTAGTACAATTTTTACGTTATTGTAAAAGGTATTCTTCAGTTTGATCTGAAACTGTCAGTAATTTGGGAAAATAAGTGTACAACTAGATATCTTTGAGCCTTACCACGTTCGAGATAATAGTGTATACAAGCAAGGTAGGAAACTCGATGGTAACCCGCTTCATCTCGGCGCAAACGATGATGCCGAAACAGGTGAGCACAAATATCCGTTCGCTCCAAAGGATCACTTTGTTGCGGGAAGTCTGAGGAGAAAGAGGTAAGTGGCTGAGACCCCAAAAAATTCGGCACTTACAAAAAGGCCCCTTCTTTGGTGCACTGCCTTATTTCCGTATATTACGCTGATAGACATCATAAGGAAGGTGAGGAACACCGAAACGATGAGGCTGAAATATGGGGCTCGTTTGGCGGGCTTCATGATCGACATGGTGTTAACCTCGTACTAGAGGCAAGAAAATGGCCAATAAGATCGGACTCCTTAAAGATTAAGCTTACCGTCCAGAAGCCCGCCAGGATCCGAACCCACATAGGCTTTTTGACGATCAGATGGTAGAAAAAGCCGTAAAGCTGGATGGACAGGAAGCTGATAAGGAACTGGACCAGGCTGAGGTAGTAGCGTTCCGCCAAAAAGTCCTTAAGTGGCGTGCTGGGGGGGAGAAGGAGGTGGAGGACCTATCAAAGGGCTGAGGGACCACTACTCACATCTCCATGGCCGCCGAGACCTGAATCTGTCCGATGACGAGCATAATAATGGTCACCCTGTACGTGGGCCCCACCAAGCTCTTCTGGCGCAATTCTGGGCTCTCTCGCAACATATGTACAGACGCTCTAGGCCTGGAACGGTATCTGGAGTGGCTTGTTTAGATTCACATCTAAATTTATGAAACAAACACCTAACTAATTTCAGAAAAATAAATGCCAACTGTTCCGTCCGCCGTCCGGGACGCGATTAAGCATGTTTTGGGTGATAATGGTTACTTTTTTTTTGTTTTTGCTGTAGGAAAACGACCCTGTTGCAAAGGATATAGTATATGGCGGATCCAATATGGTGTGTAATTGACTAAGTGCCATTTTAATTTTTTTCTAAATGACAATATTAATCAGCATTCCTAAAAACCCTTGGATATCTATGTTTAAAAAAAATCATACAATAAACACAGACTCGACATAATTTATTTAAAAGCTTCCTTTATCAATCTTTAAAATTGTATTACAATTGAAAGATAGTTTCCTAAATCATTGTTTTATAATTAGAATAAATCGGGCTGAAATATTTCAACAAAAAAAGTTTTATAATTCCACATATATATTTGTTATATATGATTTTTGTGAGTTTTCTTAAGGTTTTTGAAAATATTTAATAAAAAAATCTCGCCAATGCTAACATCTGTTTAAGAATTTTTAGTTTGACACGGTTATTTAGGTTGGTAAAACCGGTTAAAGACGGAAGTAAATCAGCTAAAATTATAATGACGTCTAGGCACAGCGTCCCTGATATCATAGTAGCCGTGACTACTCCGTTAAGTTTGAACCTAGTTGTCGTTTGTTCCTATATTCCTTGCCTTTTACCGACACTCAGCTAGGGCCACGCCCACGACCACGCCCACAACGCCATGGAGGAGCGTCGCCAGAGAATGCGGGCGTACCGGCGTGCCCGTCGGAAGTTCGCCTGCGTGGTCTACATGGTGACCATAGCCTGGATGGTCCTGGCCCTCCTGCAGTGGCTCCTGGTCAGCCTGATGTGAGTTGGGAGGGTGCAGCAGAGGACGCGAATAACCCCTGTCCTTTCAGCTCGGACATAAGCCTAGCCTTCATAGAGTTTTACTGGATTAGCGTGATCTTCTTTGCGCTGGCCATGGTGATGGTCACGCTGTTCATATTCTTCGAGCGGATCCGCTTCATCATAGGTCTCAACTGGCTGATCACACTGCTGATAGTGAGTATCCTGCGAAGAGATGCTGCCTGATCTACCACTTCGATTCCATCGGCTAGGTGGAGTTCGTGATTATAGGTATATTTGCGCTGGTGGCCCGATCTCTGTGGCCGGATCTCGTGATGTGGTTTTTCATCTGTGTGCTACTGGTGTTTCTCTTCGTGCTGCTGGGATCCATAATACCAGTAAGGGATCATTCATTTTATCTACCGATTCCTCTTTACCTCTTTTTTAGCACGACCTCACCTTGGACGTTGTAATCCTGTTTGTGATGGCTTTCATTTTTCTCATCGTCACCATCTTCTTTATCATGATGCACATTTTGATAGCGATGCCGTACTCCTTCGTGGTCTTCCAGATCTTCATCAGCGTCATTGTGCTTTTGGTAAGAAGTTGATGGCCCATTGGTGACCCTTAATGCGACCCCTCTTGGCCCACAGTTCGTGATGTACCATGCCCAGACCATCAACGGGGGCGCTTCGCCGAGATGCGACTCAACGACCACCTGCTGGCCTCGCTAATCCTCTTCCACGACTTCATCATCATCTTCCTGCTGACCTTCTATGCGCAGATTGTCTACCGGATCGCCTCGAATAAGACCAGCACCACGGCGACACCACAATATGTAACCTGGGTTCGCCCGTCCTCTAACTCGGAAGTTGAGGACGTTACCACCGTTGATCCCAACGCGGACAGTGAGAGTCCCCCCGACGAAGTTAAATCACCCGATGAAGCAAGCATGATTTTCTTCTAATTTTTCTGGCATTATGTAGGAAATGAGTGGGGGTAACCTGAAGAACCTAATAAAACCATGTCTTCTCCGAAGACCCGTCGCGTCGGATAATTTGAAAACATAATGCCTATTTTCGCGATTATATATTAGTTTACTCTTTTGACTCAACCGCAAGACCAAATTTCTAGAGATTTGTTCAAAGTTTGTTAAACACGAACATATTTACAATTTGTGGGGAACTGACAACATAACTAACATCTTTTGGACCCCCGCAATAAAACAGATTTCGGTTAAGTTTAACTGGAACCATGAAATTTTAATCACATTGATTAAACGTGGATATATGTAAGCCGGTTAGTTTTTGAGTTTTCTGGTTAACTAATCCTGATGTCTGCTGCTTACATCAGAACTAGGTGACCGCTAATCAGTTATCTTACAATAGGATATAGATATAGGCATGCAAATTATGGATATAACGTACGGCTCAACATTGATTGATACTACGATTGTTTGCATTATTGATTGATTGCACAGCAGCGTTGGATTACTTGTCCTTCTCCCCAATCACACTCACATAAATATGTACAATAAAACTAAGATATTGCAGGAAATTTTGGAAATCTTGAGATTGTAATAAAAATGAATTTGAAAATATTTTACTGCCGCAAAAAAGATTCATAAATGAATAAATAAGTATTGATATTTAAATTTCGATCTAAATCGTTGGTCTAAATCGTTGGTCTAAATCGTTGGTCTCTAAGGTGAAACTTCTTAAAGTGCTCAAATTTCAAAGTCAAATAAAACTAAAGAATTCGCGTTTTCAGGGTATTAATCTAGAACTAAAGTGATTCCATCGACGAGGTTGCCGAGCAAACTGTCGCATCTGAGTCGTTCTCCAGTTCCCGTTCCCGTTCCCGTTCCCGCTGCCCCTCCCCGATTCCATGGGCGGAGAGCATCGGCAGCGAGGAGGGGGAGGCGAAGGACTGCAGCAGAGGGGTCACCAGATCGTCGAGGCTGCTCAGGGGCGTAGGCGTGGGCGTGGGACCGCCACTGAGACTGCTGCTTTCCGTCGAGGAATTCCCGAGTGACTGGGACTGCGAGGAGTAGCGTTCCAGGAGGAGTTGGCTGAAGGTCTTGGCCGGCCAGTCCGGATCCTCGAGCGCCTCCAGGGTGGGCGTGCCCAGGGGCGTGGCCAGGGGAGTGGCTAGGGGCGTAGGCAGCCGGAAGATGCTGCTGCTGAAGGAGGCACTGCTCTGGGCGAGACTTTCGAGGGGCTCCAGGAACCGCTTGCCATGATAAACGTTGCAGGTGGTGACGGGGGTCAGGAGGCTATCCACGGACACGGTGACATCGCGATTGGGCAGGGGCGTGAAAAGGGGGATCGAAATGGGTCGAAACTGGTTGGCTGGCGGGGAATGCGTGGATCCAGGGGAATGCGGGTGGGAGTGGGAGGAGGAGCTGCAACTGCGACTGGGAGTGGACAGGGAGTGGGCGTGGTCGGGAGTGGGTACATTACTGGTTCTGCACAGCGACAGCAACTCAGTTTCTAGAAATTGAAGACAAACAACTGAATTAGTTAGTAGCAGTTTCTACAATCCTGATCAGTGATGTCACATAGACTAATTACCCAGTGGGAAAGTTTAAAAGAGCTTAAAGAGTGGGAAATAAAATATAAATAAAATAAATAAAACAAATCAACTGGAAAAAATAAAAGACTTTTAAGATAATCTATGGTGCGGAAATTTTAAATGACTGTTTCTCAAATATATAAATAACAGTTATTTATTTAAACAAATTTGTTTTATACAAATAAATTAGAAACAGATGACTATTTCAAATATTCAAATAGTCGTATAATAATAATAATAAGAAAGTCGAGCTAACCTGTCGGTCTGTCCGTCGTGCGCTGACCGTATGAACGCTGAACAGAATATTATAAGCTACATTATTGATTCTCCATGTAAATTTTAGAGTTCATATGATGCATTCTTTATTCTCATAAAAAAACCCAACTTCCCTAACTTTAAAAACAACCAAAGTTTTGATGGCATTTCCAATCGTTCAGTTATTTGGTTGCTGTCAGGATACCTAGTCGATCGGTCCTAATAAAATTTGATGGGCCCGATTGCAACGCCCAAAAAATAAAACCCATAGAAAATTCCAGCTTCCTAACTTTACAAACACCAAAGTTCATGGCGCCATTTAACCGATCGACTTCAGTTACAGCTGGCAAGGTGCTCAGATAGAGTCAACGTTAATTCTCGATATAGATTTCTATTAAAGGAAATTGAGATGGTGTTGCAAATTGTCAATTCCGAACTATATCCTTAAAACTAGCAAATCAAACAAGTTTGCCTAAAACAGAGGTCTGAGTCAGACAATGGCATGACGTGACAGACAAACAGACGGACATGCTTATATCAACTCAGGAGTTGCATATTTATATTAAGAATATATTACTTTAGTAAGGGTATCTGATATGTCGCCTTCACTATAGCGTTGCACACTTGTTTTCAAAATTTTAATCTATATAAAGGTATATAATATATATAAATTTATACTTAAAATTGTTTTATATAAATAAATTTATTTCTAAGTCATTTGTAATAATGAGAAAAGTTGGATAATTATACTTTAAATTACTCTTTTAAAAATAGATATTTTATAAATTTAAAAAAAATTTTGAAAAAATTTGTTTGAGTAACTCTTTTAATGGGTTTTTTACAATTTTTTACAGACATCACTGATCTGAGTACTTCAAAGGGGTTTTCAAATGCAAACTAGCACTGGCAATATATCTAAAAGGCCGACTACACTACCTGGGCTTCATACCTTCCGGCGACTCCTCGTTGTCCTCCTGAATGCTCGCCTGCCTCTCGGCGTTTGTCTGGGCCGTGGAGGTGGTGCGGCCGTAGGAGTTGGTGGTGCTGGTCCGAGTTGCACCACTGCCGGCGTCCAGGGTCGTCTGCACCACCACGTCCATGTGCGAGTCCAGCGAGAACTGCTTGCCGGACATGAGGATACCCCGAACGCGTCGTCTCATCGATGGCGATTCCTGGTGCTGCAAGATCGTAGGTCCAAGTGTTGGCTGCCTAACTAACCCATATCGACTCACCGCTATCCGGACGCCCGCGTAGGTCTTGGCCAGAAACTCGTCCGCATCGAATATGGCCGCAAAGGAACCATTGACCACCTTGGGCGAAAGCGGAGAGTTCGAGAGCAGCAGACTCGACCCGAAGGCTTCGTTTTTCTCCTTGGTTTCTGAGGGGTAGCAAGGTAATATCATAAGGGTTTATCCCAAAGTTTTCTACAGATGACGAACAAAAAATGGCTGTAAAGAAATCAGTTACTCCACAACTCAAAAGCTTTTTATACTACTTAAACCAAATATGACATATTGTCTATAGGTCTATAAACAAGATCAATTTTACTTTTAAATGCAGATATGATCTCAGTTTTTTTCTATAGTTTTAATATTTCGGAGAAAGGTCTTCCCTTATGGTTTATATTTTATGAATCAGGTTGGGTTATCTATAACATAATATCAACAGTTCATTGATTTTTATCGGTTCCCAACAGTTTTAAACGCTGAAGATCTTATCAAACCGAATATATTTGTAAATAAATATAAACAAATCTATAAATCAAAACTCTAAAAATACATTCAAAGCACAACCGTGTATTAGCTTAGTCAAAAACCAACAATTTCGGGTGGATCGGGGTGCATTAACTGAAAACATGAACATCAACGGCAACGGCAACGCAAACAGGAACGGAAACGGAAACAGGAACGAAAATGATAACGGGAACGGGAACGAAAGCGGAAACGGTGGCTACTGAAGGCGGTACGCCTTGCGTTTACCCTTGAGATACACGCGGTTCGAGATGGTGATGTTCATTTCCTCCAGCACCATGGAGGCCACCTGCCGGATCTCCATCCAGTCCTTCACAATGTCGTCCAGGGTCGTGTGCGTCGAAGTGATGGTGAAGCGGATGACGTACTGCCCCTTCAGCGAGGAGGGGATGCAGTGCAGGTTGCCGCGGTGGTTGAGCCTCTTCAGCAGCTTCTCGGTGATCTCGTTGTCGCCTCGGATCCGGAAGACCACCAATCCCAGATGGCGCTTGGCGGGCAGTTCGAACCGGTGGTCGGCCAGGACGAGGGCCTCGAACTTCTGGGCCAGACGCACGCCCTCGCGGATGTGCCGCTGCAGTCCCTTGATCCCGTACGACCGCAGGACGAACCACACCTTCAGCGCTCGGAATCGACGGCTCAGCGGTATCTGCCAGTGCATGAAGTCCACCGCCACCCCCGAGTTCTCGTGCTGCAGATACAGGGGCTCCACATTGAAGGTCCGGTGGACGGCGGTGCTGTCGCGCACCCAGAGGGCGGTGGCATCGAAGTGCACCATCAGCCACTTGGAGGGGTTGAAGGCCATCGAGTCCGCCCGCTCGATGCCACGCAGCCAGGTGCGAAACTCCGGGCAGATGAACGCACTGCCGGCGTACGCGGCGTCCACGTGGAGCCACAGGTGGTGCTCCGAACACACCAAGCCGATCTGGGGGAAATTGCAGTTTTAAAATTATTAATATGAACGAATATGTAGATGATGATTATAAACAAGAAAGGAAGCAAACTTCGGCAAGCCGACGTTTATATACCCTTGCAGTTATTACAAATCGACTACATTTCTTTTTCTATGCCTATATTACTAAAAACAATGAAATATCTCACTTTTGCGCCGCATTTTGCATTGTTTCTATGGCAGCTATATGCTATTGTTGTCCGAATTTTAATTTAATTAAAACCGTAATTCCGTAATATTTAAATATAATTCCATAATTTAAATATTATGGAACACCAAAGAAAAAAAAATAAAAAACAATAAAGTTATATTTTTTTTGAATTTTTTTTCCGATTGTTCCTATGGGAGCTATATGATATAGTCTCCCGATCTGGCTCTTTCCGACTTATATACTACCTGCAATAGAAAGACAACTTTTGAGAAAGTTTCAAGCAGATAGCTTTAAAACTGAGGGACTAGTTTGCGTAGAAACGGACAGACGGACAGACGGACATGGCTAGAAATGTCTCCTTCAATGCGTTGCAAACTTTTGTCTTAAATTATAATATCCTCTGCAAAGCTATAAAAATGTAGGAAAAGCCTTTATAATTTTTTTAAATTTACCTAATTTAAAATATGTTTCTAAGCAGGATAAAAAAACTTAGACACTTTTAGTTAAGATATTACACCTACTAACGATTGACATATTCAAAACTTCACAAACTGTTTTAACAATGAAACATGTAATAGTCAAAAAAAAGTTCGAAAATTTAACATCATTTTTTTTAACAAATCTTTTTCTTCGATTTTTAATAAGAAATTAAATTATGACCGCAAAACACAATTTATATAAACGGTTGAAAATCGAATTTAAATATTCTCATCAATAATTGTAGTGTTATTGAATTACTCGTGGTCATACGTTGGTTATATTTTAATTTCTTTTATAACACAACGATTTATTCCACTTAACTTTCATCACACTAAAACTTTCATCACAATCTAAAATCTTAAATGCAACTTAATAAATGTGCTTTTTGTGGCCAGCGAGTTCCTAATTTTTTTTTAATTATTCCCTGAACACCCACCTCCTCCAGGTTGTCGAAGCTGCAGCTGCCGGTGGTGCCGAGCGTTGCGCAGACCTAAAAGAAAACGACCACAGGACACTTAAATGCTGACATGAATTAATTGGCTCCAGTGGGAGTCGTGAATCTGGGGTCTCCAGTCGGGAATCAGAATCAGAATCAGGAATCAGCTGGCTGCGAAAGGCGGGCCAATTAGTTTTGACAGACTGCCACTCACCCAGAAGGGAACCAAGCCCTGCTTAATGTCATCCTCGATGGCCTCGCGCAACAGCTTGCCGCGCATCGCTAGGTCCTCATCCGCCTCGATGTACCGCATCCGCACGAGTCCTGCGGAAAAGGGAAGGGGGCGTGGCTTAAGCGGTAAGCGGCTTAAACAATAAAGTTAGCTTGGTCGAGCAAACCGACTATAAGATATTGTGGTTGCAAATTGTATCACCAATATCAAACTTCATTAAAAAACAAAACCACCCGGCAGCAGTTTGCCAAATAAGTGGATTATATTCTACCATTTTCATTCAGAAAATCCAGAATCCAGTAACTATTTCTTCGAAAAGAGGGGCTCTCAAAAGTTTACAAAGTTTGACATTTAGCTATGTGACTTGACAGACATGGCTTATTCTTTTCTCTCACCTAAGAGTTGTTAAATTTAAATTAACTGAATATTTGTCCCATGATTTACATATTTAAATTTTGATATTAATGATCTCTCCCTCCGTTATGGAAGGTTATACACTATACTAAAAAGCAATTATTGTGAAACCGTGTTCCTACAAAAAAGCGGTTTACAGCTATTTAAACGGACGAGCATGATTAAATATCTTGTTCAATCTAAGCTAATAATCCAATGAATACCAGGCTGAAAATGGTAAACCCACCGAATCAGCGCTGCTTTTTCCACACTGGAGTGCGCCTGGTCCGAGCAGTAGGCCACCAGTCGGGCGTTGATCTCCGCATCCTGGTAGCCGGGATGCCGCTCGTGGAATCGCTGGATCGCCCGAGTACGTCCTGCCAGCAGGCAAACGAGAGTGGCCTCACTGGCCGTGGTCTGCAGCACTCCGCCGCCCTGACTCTGCGAACTCAGGTGGAGGAAGGCGTCCGGCAGACCGATCATCTTGCCCAGCCAGTTCATCACGATTATCTCCAGTTCCGTGCAGGCCGGCGAACTGGCCCAGGTGAATCCCAGGCAGTTGATCGCGTCCGCCAACATGTCGCCCAGAAGCGAGGGCATCGAGTTGAGGGCTGGGAAGTAGGCGTGCATGTGGGGCGACTGCCAATGGGTTATGCCCGGCATCACGATCCGCTCCACATCCGCGAAGATCTTCGGCCAGGGCTCGCCCTCGATCGGAGCCGATTCCGGGAGCAACTGGCGCATGTAGCCGGGACTCACGTCCGGAAAGACGCGACGCTCCCTTATGTTCTCCAGATAGTCCGCTATGTAGTCCACCATCTCCTTGCCTACAATCACAAATCATTTCATCACATTAAAATGCTATTGATTCCGCTTGTTCATGGTTAAACATTCACTTTTATTTTAAATTGGTTAAATTTTTACATAACGAATTTGTTCTAAGTGTATACATCTGTTGTCAAAATATATTGATGTTTAATTAGCCTTCTTTGGAAAATGATTTACTTAATAATTTTATCCCATAAGTAAACATTTTATTTAAAACTATATGGCTATAGTCGTAGTAATCGTTTGAATGCAGTTATAAAAAACATTATTTAAGAATTTAAGTTTTAGATAAATATTGCGCAGAGAACAATTTTGGAAGTATTGGTGTGATTTCAAAATTACTTCTTAAATTATTAAATTGAAAATTTATTATGGCACTTTATAGTTAAATTTGTTAAGTCGAAACTAGCTTATTTCCCTTTACATTAACACAAAAAAAAAAAATCGGAATATAAAATTCGCAATAGGAATTGACATTTTAATCTACTACTTTGAATAGCCACTAAAACAAAATGTCAATATAGGCTGGAAAAGGCGAGTTACTTTGATTTGAAAATATGATACTGGTTAAATAGGATTGTCTGCGAATTCAATTACGGGCCATCAAACGAAGACAAACGGCCGGGACAAATCCGCCCAGGGCCAATCAAATATACGCCCCGTTGGACTGGATTTCCATCCGGTGTTCACACTCACACACATGCGTCGGCCGCTGTGCATTTTATGGCCCAGATTTGGCCAGAACTCACCCCTTTGGCGGTATTCCTTGAAGTCCATGCTGCAGTCGCCTCGCTTAACCCTTGCTGACGTAAATTCTGTGCAATTGTCGCACGCAATCAGGGGTTATAAGTTTATCTGCAAGCGTCTTGTTTCGCAATGAGTTTGGCCTAATCCTGTTGGACTTCTCGCTAGGCCAGCTCCATTTTTCGGGGACTTGGGCTAAATTGAAATGCCAAATGGGAACGTCGACCGTCTGACCGCTGGCGAAAAACAGAAAACAACGGATAACAATATAATGAAATGGAAACTTGGACACTTCCGATGTTGTGGGGCTTCTGGTGATGGCTGGAAATGAAAATGAAAAGAAAAGCGCCTGGAAAGGCGCTGAGAATCGCTGCCAGCTGTGAAAACACAAGGGTGAACCTCGGGTACTGGAAGGGTTCGCCCACGATAAATCACCTAATTACGGCAGAGATAATATTATTCTATAACTACGGCTTTTGAGATCGCACCCTGCTTTTATAGACCCGGCCAGAACCAATTAGAGTGTTCGCATCGAAGTAAATCCGATTTGGCAAGGGATGTGTCGACAAGTTGTCGGAACATGGAGCTCGCTAATTGACCATCCCCCGGCAATCACGACATGAGGGGCGTGGAAAGGGGGTTGCTCTCGGATCGCAGCTGATCCCCTACAAAATTCCGTTTAAATTGGAAAGCGCCCTCTAATTGTTTATGCTTGCTGACTTGCATAGCTTGATTATATTTTAAATACCGCAAATTAATTATATCGCTCAATCTGCAGCGCGTGCGGGCGTAACGTACGGGTGCACCAATTCTCCAACTGCATTTTGTCATGCATTTAGAACGAAGGAAACATGAACTTAAACTCATCCATGGAATTGCCGGAAAATCTCATTAAATGTTTGCCATATCAAAATAATGTTGATAGTCGTAGAAGCGCAACATTGTTGCTCTAGTTGTAGATTATAAGGGCAGACGCTTTGGATAAAATGACAATTTAAATTTAAATTTTCAAATTAAATTAAAGTTAATACCAAAATAATCTTAGATTTAAGTCGCTTAAATATTAATTATATTTAAAGTTGAAACAATTGAAAATGTTTTTTTGTTAACTTTAAATACATTTTACATGATTAGGTAAAAAATATTCCCTATTACATAGTTTTACAAAGCAACTAAAGTTATAAATTAAAAATGTTGCTTTTAATTTGTAAATGACTTAAGGGTTTAGTTAAAAAATTAATTTAAAATTCAAAATATATTTAGCCTTTATACAAAAGTTATTGGAGCAGCAGTATACAAAAAATGGTTTATCTTTCTTACTTAGTTATACGTGAAATCTTTAAATAAATTCTTAAGCAAAAATTATTTTATTACCAAACTAGACACGTTTAAGCACTATAGAGTTTAATTGCCACGCACAGGACTAGAATCAAAGTCGAACTGAATGAAACTGAAGTTTTAAATTTAAAACTAAACATTATTAGCTTAAACTCATCTGTGAAATTGTCGGAAAATCAAATTAAATATGCTGTTAGTCGTAGAACGGAAAGACTTTTGCTTTTAATATAATTGTATATAGCTAGAGCAAAGACCTTATTCAAAGCTTTATTTATAAATTATCAAAAAAATTTCAAGATATAATATTTTATTTTATATAATTAGCAGTTGTATAAAATGTATTAAAGCTGCAGTAAATAAAAAAACGTTTTCTGTATTACTTATTAATAACTTTTAATAGATTTCCTAAATAAAAATTTTTTTATTACCAAACTAGACACAATCACAGAGTTTAATTCGCCACGCACAGGACTCGAATCAAAGTCGAACTGAATGGAATTGGAGTCCAGCAGGACCTATTTATACCCGGAAACTGTTGCTTTCCTTTTCCAAAAACGAAGGACACTGGGCCAAATGAAAATGCCATTAAACAGCAGGATGGCTTTTTTTCTAATGGGAGTGACGACAACAATAAGCTTATAGAATCGTGGCAGTGCGCGGAAATCTTATGATACTCTTCCGACTCTTTTTTTATGAATAATCAAATATTTACCCTATTTAGATTAACTAATAATACAATTAAACAAATTTTAATTATTCTCATATATAAATTGTATATTTATACAACGTAAATCATAATAATAATAGACATAACGGACACAATTCTTGTCTTACGAATTTTAAAAATTGTCTGCATTGTCATGATGTGACATTGTTAAATTTTAATAAATGAAATCTCTATAAATTTCGTTCTATCAGGAATGAGCACCAAGAAAGAACAGAGTTTCGAGTTTCCAAAATACGTTAACAAAAAAATATGTGAATAAGTATACCCACAACTAATTAGTGTACCTTTACCATTATTGTTACATTATTTATTTTAATTATAGTTTTTTGTATTTCCAGCTTCCTGATATCGCAGAAGAGTATACAAAGCAGCAACAGGCAGTCGTGAAACAAAAGGATTTCGAAAACAAAGCAGAACGAAGCAGCAAGAGAGGGAGAAAGAGATAGAGGGGTGGGAAGCAACAGCCAATAGCGGGAGGTGTCCTTTGGTAGGGAAACAAAGCCACTGACCAATGGCAGAACAGCCTGGCAAACGGGATCAACAGGCTGTCATCAAAATGGCTCCCCCACACCCTGACTAATTCGCTAGCGGGCTTTCTGATAAATAAATACCCCATCTGGACAGATTAAATCGAAGTTCCCCAGGGAAAACGAAGAAAACCAAGAGAAGCACAGGAAGACATAAAAACCGAAAATGCTCAAAACTTATGTTCGTATGAAGCCCGTCCCAAAAAATATCAAAAAAGCAAATCAGGCCCCTCAATCCCCGCTCATTACACACTTGTTACAAGGGAATGGGGCAGAAGACAGAAGAGAGAGAGGTCAATGAGCTTTGTACTCGTCTCGAGACTCTGAAAATTTCGACAAAATACCGCTACATTGAATGGCTTTTGCACGTTGAATGTAAATGTATCTGTAGTTGTATCTGTATCTGTGACTGTGTATTACCAAATATTGAGCAATAAGAATAAGAATTTCGGTTTCTTTTGGTCATGAGACAGACAGTTACAAAGCGGCTTTTGTTCCGCACTCTCTCTCTCTCTCTTATTTTTTTCTTTTTAAATCTGCTGCTAAAAATACATTTTTTGTAAGCTTTTATTTAGCTGTAAGCAACAGATACATTCGTTTCAAAAGTGCATGTGCATACAAAAACACAAAAAGAAATACTGTCTCATTTCTCTTTATTGGAATATTTCACTCTTCAGTTTACCTGAGGCACTCTTAAAACGATCGCCTGTCTTTCTTTCTCTTTCTGCTTTCTTTGCTCTCTCTTCCGCTCTCTCTCTTTCTCTGCCTGGGGTTTTTCGTGTGTTTTGATTCCTCCATTCTTGAGCGCTAAGAACGTTCGTTGACCTCGGAGAGTTGGGGCCTCCGCTTAGCGGTACTTCTCAACCTGTTTTCCCCGCTCTCCCGCTCGCCGCAGCGCCTATGAGTGTGTGTGTGTGTTTGCCGTAGAAGTCTTCCTGTTTGCTCAGCGATTAAAGGTGCAACTGAGCGAGCTGCGATCCGATGACGGGCCCCAAAGATACACACGTACTTGTAGCTCGACTACAGATACAACGTCACGGGTTTCGGGTCCCTGACTCTTTGGGGCTCTACGAGTTTCACTCGGACTCGGAGTTACAGTCGGACTTTCGGACAGCATATCCCATCTCTGATGAAATGCACGCATGACTCCGCTGGCATGTGTATCTGTTACCCGCCAATACAGGCCAACTTCCATAAATCAAACTCATATGTTAACTTGATGAAATGTTAAGTAATCTGAATGGATTCCCCTGACGTTTTCCATAACAACTTAAGAAACTTAGGTTATTTATAAAAAAAAATCCTTTTTTTAATTTCGCTTTAACTCACTTATAATTTTTAAAACCAGCTAATGCTTTAATATTAAAAAAAAGTCAAAACAAATTTGGAACAAAGATTTAAATGAAATTTAAGTAGATAAAGAACAGAATCAATCTACTTTTAAGGGTATATCGCATTATTCGGTACTACTAAAACCTCACAACCACATTCTTTAGCTTGGCTTGGTAAAGAAATAAAAAAGTTTCGGCAGCTTGGATAAAAAACTGTATATTTAAACACATCATTGACAAATAAACACAATATTAAAACACAATATTAAAACAAAAATGGTACTAACATTTATAGAGAACTTAATCTCCTCGTCACTTTTACAAACGGGTTACAATAGAGGTTACTATATTTAGGTGGTTCAGACCCATACCCAGGATATTATTAGCTTGGCCACCTATTTATTTATAAGCCACCGAACTTTTCATAGGTTGATACAAAATCTGACATAGGAAAGCGGGACTGTAGCTTTTCGGTTGCTGCGTGGATATTTTTGGGCAGTGATCACGCATTTAATTAGCAGGAATTGTGGTGAGCGCCCCTTCTGCAGGTGTGTTGGTGAGCGCGTGTGCTGAGGTGGGAACCTCTTGCAGCTCCTTTCTCCTTTCTCGGCTGGGCTTCTGTTTCTGTTTCTTTTCGGGCTCTGCTTGTTTTCCGCTCGCCTCCGCACACAGGTTCCGCCAGAGGATGATGATTCCGCCGCCGATGAAGAGGAGCCCATGATGAGGACCGCGATCATGATCATCGGATGCAACGGGTCTTCGACTCGGTCTCTGGCCATTTAGTGTGCAATCGCCTGTCCCCACGTCCAGTCCAGTCCACACGGGTTCTGGGCTCTCTCATCGGATCGCTTCCAATCCCGATTAGGCTCGCTCTCCATCCTGATCCGATCCACCTCGCCACCTTCATCATCACCTTCGCCGGCTAATTCCACCGTTTGAAAACCGTTTGATCCCGTCTATGCGACTCGAACTAATTCGCGAACTTAACGATCATGATCATGATCTGGTCGAGTGAGGAGTTTAAAGCCTTGAAATTGATCCGATCGGTCTGAGTGTGTGAATGAAAGTCCATATCCATTGATGAGATCCGAGAACCTGGATAACATGCCAAGCACCATCAGAGGTTAGCTATTCTATCTAGTCTTAACTTTAAAAAAAATAATTCTTAAAATAATTTTAAAGAAGACTTTGTAGATAATTCTTTTTAACAAAAATAATGAAGAGGAATGGTGAAAGTTTTTTCTTGTTTAATTCAATTTCAATCAATGAGTCACTTTGGTGATTCAGTAAAACTTAAAGGCAAATAAACGAAACCGAAATAAATGTATGCTAATTAATACAATCTTTAAATATATGATTTATTTAAAATTTAGTTTAATTTCATAAGATTGGGGTCTAATGTATTGTATGACGAAAAATGTAATAAATTGTATGGTTATGTCAATTATTTCTCCTTGCATTCTTACAAAGATTTTTTGGAATAATTGGTCTTTTAAAGGTTTTCTCTGTCGAATATATAAAGATTATTCGCAATATTTGGATTTTTAAAGGTTTTCTCTGTCGAATATCATTTCGATACGTCTGTCGAAGGTCTTTTGAATTTGCCACTTAATTTGATAGAGCTAAAGCGAAGTTTCTCCGGCAATCAAAATAGTTCGGGTGATATTACGCCTCAGACATCAGCCTTGCATGGCTATAACCGACTAATGGAATCATTAGGCTGACTGAAAAAACCTAATTGATTATAAAAGGCAACGGCTTTCAATAGCCGCAAATAAATGGATGGGCTATGCAGTCAAGCTGCAAGACATGCAATGCCTTGCTGCTGGGTTTCCGATTCTAGCCAAAAGATTTTACCACATCTTCAAGGCAGCGCCGAGAACAACAGTAATGGCCAACTGTTGCCTCATCGACAGTGGGGCTGCAATAAACCAGTTGGAAGTCGCAGCTAATCTTGCAACACAGTTGCGCAACAAAGAATCCGAGGCAACGGTACTAACGTGTTTGCTGTTTCTGCTGCTATTGTGGCTAAATGCTCGGCTCGGCTCGGCGTTCTTTTCTTTTCTGTTCTGCTCTGTTCTGCTCTGTTCTGTTCCGTGCTGTGCTGTGCTGTTCTGTTCTTTTCGTCTCTGTTCTTTATTTTCTTGGCAAACAGCTCTGAGCCAGTTGCGTGTAACAGGTTTTTCCTCTTGAATAACTGGGACTTTCTTACGGGACTTTTTTCGGAGAGTTTCTGCAGAAAACAGGTTAGAATCGGCACAGACTTGCAATAGATGAGGCAACACCGCCGCAAGAAGTTTACAACGGTGAGGCACACATTTTCACGTTAGAACCAACGGTGTTTTAGCCAAGTTTAGCTGCAAGTCGCTGCCAGAACCAGTTAGCTCTTGATTGTTGTTGCGCAAGCGGCAGCTGAAAGCAGCGCAAAATAAATCTAACATGATTTAAGCAACGGAAAAACATGAAATATTAATGCCGATGGTTGACTCTTGGCTCCGAATCCAGCGTAACGGTGGTCGCTAGGTTCGCCTTCATCGGCCCTAGACCTCCACCCCCCCACCCCCACCCCCCACTAATGATGGCTCCGATCCGTAGCGATCCGATCTGTTAGGTTTGGGCCCAGTTAGGCGATTAGTCCAAATTCGCGATGGCTGTTGGGCAATGCCCGAGTTTTTCTCCCTTTTTTTGGGCAATCACTTGGGGGTCATTGTGGTCATAGCTGTTCTTCGACTTAATTTTGCAGAGTTTGGCTACTTTTTTTTGGTTATAGGGAGGTTTAATTACCGAACATGGGTTCTGGATAAATTCTGCCTTGAAGATTCTGTTAGATATCAATTTTAATGGGGTTGTGAAATAGGTCATCATCTGCAATACACACATTTAATCAATGGAATTTTTTTTGTTTTTGCACAATTTACCATCATTATCTTAAGAAAACAATTTATTTATTAAATAACAATCAACTTGTTTAGGAATGCAACGTGTTAAGCTCAAAAATATCTGAACTATTATTATATTTCTAAAAATATATTCTTGCTTTAGCTATTATTTAGTAACTTAAACTTAAGTCTAATGTTAAGTAGTTAATTTTTGACACCTATTTATTTTAATATTGGTAAAATATGGTACTGTTAAATAAATGCACTTCAAATATATGTTTTGAAAAATATAAAATCACATTTCTTTGCTGAACTATTTTTATTATACTTAATTATCATACTTAAAGATATTAAACCAAAACTAGGACGTTTTTTTTTCTTTAACTGTTACATTGGAGATTGTATTACAAATGAAGAAAATGTTATTAATATACTTATACGTTCAAAATCTGGCGCCCTTGGTGATTTCACCTCGACGGTGCAGAAATTTCCCGTGACTGTTTTCCACCGCGGCGGGAATTTCCCTGGCAGTCAACCACCCCCCGCTTCACCACCCCTTCCCGGGGTTAAGGGTGGAAAAGCTGCGCATCAACGTTCGCCTGTGCTCGTTTTCCCTCGTGTTGTGGCTTCCAGTTTTTCCTGGCTATGCACTTGGCATTATGCCTACTAACCCTATTTTCGCAGCAGTTCGCAGCGAGTCCCATTTTTCAACTTGCATGCGGATACACACACGCACACACACACTCGGCTTTTCCCAGAAACTGAGGCGCAACCCCCATGAAACAGAAAGTTTGTGCAGCGGCAGAACGAACTGTGTTTGTGGCACTCGAATTTGGGACACATTCCTGTAAAGGACGCAGCTCCGGTCAGCTGCTGCTCGAAACCCAAAAGGAGCCACTAGAAAAACGCGCGCGGTGCAGTTTGCCCTGAACCTCTGAAAGTGAAAATACAATACAGACACAGTGTGAAATGCAGAGTGGACTGTCCGCCAGTGCAGTAAACTAAATAGTGTATTTAACAAGCATTGAGCACTTGCAAGCTAAAAATCATTTTGGAAAATCGGAAAAGGGAAAGCTGCAGCATTGCTTCCGTTTGCCAAATATTGATTGGCAAGTGTGTTGCTGAAAAATCGATTATTAAAGCCACTTTCCACACACAGCTGGTGGTTGTTGTTGCTGCGAGGATGGAGGTGGCTTCAGTGGTGGCAGTGGTGGTGGCTGCATAGGCGAGGGTTGCGTGCCGCAATGTGGGAACTCAACAGCAGCAACATTGGCACATCCAGAGGCACACTTCCAACTGTTTTGACGTGGTCGAGTTCCAATGGCGCTGGCTCCACCGAATGCTGCAGCGCAGCCTTGCAGCCATCCAGCGGCGACGCGTTGCATGTGCAGCAGCAGCAGCAACAGCAACAGCGGCAGCAGCAACAGCAGCAACTGCAGCAACAACAGCAGCAGCAGGATACGAAAACGAGGATGACAACGACCACAGGCAACCGCGGAGGACACAGATACAGAAACACAGGCACAGTCACCGATACACAGCAACAATTGCTGCAAAACAGCCAATAGCAACGGCAACATATTGTGGCATATTAAAAAAATAATTTAAAAAAAAAACATAAAGACAAACCAAAATGAACTATAAAACGAATACAAGCTGAAACCATCAAATTATAACTCAAACTCAATGCATCGCACAAAGTTACGTTAAGTATACGACGCGTATTTCCAGCTGCAAAACGAACCAAAACGAACCGAACGAAACGAAACGCACAGGTGCATCTGCAGTCCCCACTCCGCCCCTGAAAACCCCCCACCCGCTCCCCCTTCATTAGCCCAACCCCCCCTGGGGTATCTACACCAATTGACAAGCAATCGAGGCAATGCAGAATGAATGAACTTGTTTAGTCGACAATTTTTAAGTGCACTTTCGTAAGGCTGATTTTGAATTTATTTCGATGTTGTGCTTCTACACCCCCCAAAAAAACGAGAAAAACGAAAACAACCAAGAACCAAGCAACAAAGAGCAATGAACCAAGTGAAAGTGTGAGTGTTTAGTGATTAAGTCGAAGGCGGAACTAGAATATTTGAGCGCACCTGTTTGGAAACGGCCTCCACAACGGATAGGCCCAGAGATCTCCTGCTGATACAGCAGGCCAAGTCCGCCGGCGGCAGCAAATCCTCGGGCGGCGGACCAACGTACCTCGGTACCGATGCCGCCACGGCAGCGGCGGTGGCCAATCTGCGCAGCAAGGTGCCCTCCATCTCGATAATCCCGCTGCCCGTCTCCACCACCATTGTGGCACGAAGTGGAGCCATAGGAGGTGGCGCCCCGCCAGCCCTGCCCCAGCTGGTCCACTCGGCGAGGAGTGTGTCCATGTCCACCAAGTCCACGGCCACGTCGCCACCCCTGGCCTTCATCTCGGAGGGATCGGGGGCGTCGGGGGCTCCGGCCCTGGCCCTCCTGCCACGCCCCCAGCAGCAGCACCAGTACCAGCAGACCGACAAGTGCACGGTCCTCAAGCTGGACGTGCTGAAGCCCCAGTCCGGCGGAGCAGCCAGCGGATCCAGCAACAGCACGTACCTGCAGATCGAGCAGCAGCTCAGCGAACTGGAGGCCGCCGACGAGGAGGAGGAGAACATGGCCAGCCTGCTGGGCAGTGCGCCGCCCGCCCAGATCCTGGCCAACCAGCCCATCATCGTCAAGATCGAGCCCACGCAATCCTTCCACATTGTGGACGAGGGCGACACGCGGGTGCTGAGCCTGCCCCTCAGCGATGCCGACAAGCTGGGCGCCAGTTGGATAGACCTCAAGGACATTGCCGGCCTGCAGGCGGGCGGAGGAGCCACCTTGCTGGACGTGTGCTTCGAGCAGGCCAACGAGGAGGACACCATCATAGCCACCGTGCAGCCGGACATGGATGACGACCCCGAGGGTGAGTTGGAGCCGGAGGCCAGGCCGGAGGACGAGACTGAGCCAGAGCCACCGGCAGCCAAGAGATTGGCCACCAGCAGGCCACCACAGTCGCGGCCACAACAACAGCAGCAGCAGCAGCAACAGCAGGTGAAATTCCTGTCGGATCCCCCTGCCTTGGCGCGGTCCAGCAGTTTCAGCAGCCTCAGCAGCTTCAGTAGCATCAGCAATATCAGCTCCGTGTGCAAGAACATGGCCAGCAACACCAGTCAGGAAGGCAACCTGAAGCGGTCCAAGGAGCGGACGCCACCGCCAATGCCACCGTTAACCGCACACAAGCCCGCTGCAACATCAACAGCAACATCAGCGACATCGGCAACAGCAACGGCAACAGCAACGGCCAGCACATCAACAACATCGGTGAGGGAAAACAGTAGCCACCACGGCAGCAGCAGCAATGGAGCCATGACAGGTAAATTTGATTGAAATGGGATTAATTTACTACTCTATAAAGAAAATCAGATTAGTAACGCTCTTCAAGACTATTCAAATCTAGTATATATTTCAATTTAAGGAATTATGCAATATATTTTCTTATTACAATAAACACTTAAAGAATTTGAGGGAAAAGTTTAGGACTTGCACATGACTTTAAGTAGTTTTACATACATAGATGGGAGGTTACTTAATATTTGTCAAATCTGTAGATATTTTCTATGGCTAATCTGGGATAATACAGGTGATTCGGGAAGTTACATTTACTATCTCAATAAATTTGTTCGTTGCCAAAACATCAATAGTTCAGATCAGGAATTTGTCGAATATTTCACTACAAGCCTCGTTCAAATGACAGAAAACTTGCCATGAGTGATTGTAGCAAATATTTGAAAGATCTTAAGTCAAGGATTCCTCAAATGATGAGTTCACACCCCATAAAACTCGGCAAGCGGCTGTGTCCCAGAGAACTCCACTTGTTGCGACTGCATTAGAACAACAGTCGGCTAACCACAGTGAGCACTCACCCAGAGCGACCACCGACGATCAGCGATGGTTCAGATAATCGCACGTATACCCCCTATAGAATCCCCCTGTAGAATCCGAGCTATGCAAATGAACGCTCGCTCATTGCGCAAGCATCCCAGGCAGCGGCAATTAACAGGCTGACACATCAGCAACACATCAGCGTCAGCAGCAACAGCAACAGCAACTGCAACAACAGGTGTACAGTGTACACACCCCATGCTAAAAAGAATTTCAATTTACAAGCCTCGATTTATTGGCTATTCACCTTTGTGTGGCTGCAGCAACAGCAACAACAGCAACAACGTAGCTACGGGCATGTGTCCCACTTTCCATAGTCAACAAACAACAGCAACACCACCAACAGCAGCAGCAACAAAAACATGTTTTGACATACTAAATAAGCCGCTGCTAGGCTGACTAGCTTTTGGCCAAGTCTAGATGGTGTTCTTTATCATTAGGTTCTGTTAGCTGTTTTTGCGATTCTCGCTGCCTCGGCACATTCGCTTTACTGCTGTTGCGGCACAGCAGCAACACCAAGAGCAACAGCAACAGCAGCAGCAGCAACACCACCGCCGTTCTTCTGCTTAGCTCATATTTTTACCGTAGCACGAACCTTAGCGGTAAAATCGTCAACTACAAACTATACAGTTAACTGAATGAAGTCTCAAACGGAGCGAGCGAGACGGACTGAGAGCGAAACTCAAGCTTAAGCGAAACTGGCTAGAACAGAATTAACGTTTATACACTGAAAAAGGCCTATCAATTCTACTGAATAACATAACTTACTAACCATGTTCTAAGTCATTTATTTTAGTTCTTTCTTTCAGTTGTATAATATACCAAATTGATCTTTTAACAATCTTAAAAATAATTTTTTTAAACTCCCAAAGATACGTTTAAGAAGTAACATTTCGAAATGAACAAAGTTTAATCTTGGTTAGGATCAAAGGTATTCTTGTTTTAATATCTTTAAGATCTTAAAGTTATTTAAAGGGTCCCAACAAGCAAATTTTAAATCTATATTTGTTTAAAATAAGATTGATAACGATCAAAACTTTAAGTGATAATACCAGACCAGATTAAAAAAAAATTGTTTAGCTTTCTTAGTTCGCTTTAAAAATCTTCAATCTAAATAACATCATATAAAAACAATAAAATATGAACAAAGATTTGATGAATTTATGTGCAAAATATGCTAGATAGTTTGACTTTTAAAAATGATTCGGCCAAAGGACATTCGTAAGATCGCACGCGTAGAGCTGAATCATATATATGTATATATTACCATATTTAATCAAAAGTTAATGGTAATTTTTTCAGTGCAGGCAGTCAAGCAGAGAACGGGATCAAGCCGGGGGGTGGCTAAGCTGAAAAATTGATTTGGCAGCGCTTCGGGCCAGCGACTCGATTCTGCTCCCTCGGCTCGGCTCACTTGATGACTACAAATGAGTGTCAGGCACTGACACGACTTCTCATGTAGAAGCCCTACAGTTTCGGCCAAGATTGATCTATATTTTATAGTTTCTGTTGATATCTGTGTGCTGGGGGCCGCCGTATCCACATACGCGGCTCATTAGCAGGCTGGGGCGGTGGCCAAAACGTCGGCTTTTCTGGGCTCATGATTGATGATCGAGGCGATGAATCGTTACCTAATTGCTGTACCCACTAGAACAAGGCTTTGGTTCGACAGAAGAGATCACTGATTTGTTGTGAGATTATATGCTCTCCCAATTCCAGAAGCTGACTGATCGATCTCTAAAGTTGATCAAAATGTCTCTACAATTCCCAAATGCTTACAGGCTATAGAAGCTTTTTCTGTGGCTTTGGGTCTTTAAAAATAGAACCCTATCCATATTTCATCGCATTATACTAAATACATTTTTTAAAAAAAAAATAAATAATAAGAAATAGAGTCCAACTCAAAGCATTGAAGGGATCGGTTTATACAATTTTTTAAAATTAAAAAAAAATTAATAATGACTTCCTTAAAAACTCAAAAAAATTTAGAGGGAATATAGGCCTTTCAAAATTAAAAGGGTTTTGTTAATTTAAACATTAGAATATATATCTCAATGATAGAAATTAATTTATTTGATAAAATTAAATTTCTTTAACTTAATAGATAATAAGCGATTTTTAAAATTATTGATTGGTAAATTACCCGTCAGCAGAAATTTTCAAAATGATTTAAATCATTTTCAAAACCCGTTTAGAGTCGAACGTATTCACAAGCGGATTTGACAATGATTAGCCCACATAATGGTAGTTGGCAAAAAAAATGTAAAACTAAAAACATAAAGGTTTTCTTCATCCGAACCTTTCTGCAGATGAGGCGACCCTGAACGTGGTCGATGGACTTTGGCAGTCCGCCGTTTTGCCGTTGTCGCCTTCGTCGGAGATGTCGCAACCGCGGGGATTACGAGATATATCTGCGCCATTGGGACTCACACTATCACTTTTGCGAAGGGGTGTTTGGTCTGTGGCGGGTTTATTGTTGTAATTTCCCATATGAATCGGAGCCAGGTTCATTATAATTTGGTTGGACAACGCTTTGCATTTCATGCATGAATCTTCTGCTTGTTGGCCGGTCGTCTGGGCCTGGATCCGTGGCTATTAGCCAGGTCAGCGCCGCATGAGATTTCGTCTCCAATCGAGCGTGGCGAAGTTTCATTATCATATTTTCGATTTTGCCAAACTTCATCGATATTGCCTGGCGGTTTCGTAACCATCTCATCTCTTTCCCGTCTATGCAAAATGCGATTTATGCTATGATCACATGTATCTTTGTATCTGCGAGATGCAGAGTTAATGGTTTTAGTATCTGGCGTCAACGAAAATACATAAATTAAGCTAAGCGAAATATTAATTTATATCTTGAGCAAAGTTTGTTTCTTTTTCGTTTTCAACATTTACATGGAAATTTACTTTTTTATTTTTATTTTTGGATTGCTTTTCATTTTGGCAAAGTTCGAAAGCAAATTGCCAAATGAGTTAAACTAATTTTAACATTTTTAATTGGCCAGCAAACTCCGTGTGCAGTTCACCTTGACTGTCCGGTGATTTTTTTACCTTTTTGCATTTTTTGCAAGCATAATGTTTTGAATATTTATAAAATTAATAAAAATAGATGCCAAACCTCATCTCTATAGGATTTAACCCAGTTTATTGTGTCTTCATTATTTAAGAACCCAAGCTTTTACACAATAAATGATTAACTGGGCGGAAACAAAAAAATTTGTGCGACTAATATTTATAAAACCAAACGTTTTTATTTAAATATTCAAAAATTTACAAAGCTTTCAGAATTCCGAACAACTTTTTTGTAATATCCAAGATTATTGTTGTTCTATAAGACAAATTATTAAGTATTCAAGTACTCCTGGAAAAATCAAAGCACGCAATTGTTTGAGCCCCGGCTATTCTATACCCTTTATTACTGCCCTATTACATGAATACTTGCCTACCTTATGGCGCTACTACCCTACTTTTAAAACCTAAAATATTTTTTAACTTACCTTATAGATTATTCACAGGACTCTTATTTGAAACTAAATATCTATTAATATTTTGCAATCCCATAATTGTATTTTTATGAAATATACGCTATACTAAGCAATATTTGGGCCGAAAAGTCCTATTCTATCATTTAAAGCTTGTTGACAGGACTCGTGTGGTATAATTTAGGGCCAATTTCCACTTCCGCCCCGAAAAAGCATTTGAAACAATTCGCCAAACATAAGAAGTGCAATTAAATAGCTGGCAACACAACTGCAGTGCACATATTTTGGCCTAAAAAGCAATTGACCTGCTAATTGAAGGCGCTTCCTTTAAAAAGCTCTCGCTCTCTTTTGGGTAAAGAGAAATTGTGATTCTCAAAGAGACGGAGTGAGAGAGAGCCCCCGCGATAACAGCTGATTATGCCCCACACTCTCTTTCTGGCGAGCGGTTGCCATAGCGAATGAGCCGAACAAAGCGGACGTCGCAAAAGGGGAAGGGGTGGAGCGGAGGGGGGCTGGGGCAGCGAACTGAAGAAGAAGTCATCGGCACAGAGACACATATACCCACTTCTCTCTCTCGCTCTCCCATGCGCTCCCACTCTCTTTGGGGGAGCGGGAGCTCAGCTGCCGCATTGCCGCCGCTGCGCTGCCAGCGTCGCTGCCGCCGCACGACGACAACGAACAGTCGATAACATTTTGCGGCACTTTTCAGCTACACCTCGAATTGAGCGTTTCGCGGCGGCGGGTTACGATGCGTGGCGCGTTGTATCTTTATTATTAATTATTTGTTGTTGTTGTTTATACTCTGTACCGTTTTATTTCCCATCGCTCGCGTGCGCGTCCGTCTGTGCGTTTGTGTGTGTGCGTGTGCCTATGCGTTTTGCCCCCCCGCCCCCCTCCAAAAAAAACGCCTATCCACTCCCCCACTCTGCCGAGAAATCGAACCCCCCAAAAAGTAAAAATTACTAAAAAAGGCAAACTACGAAACGCGAGTGTGTGCCAGTGTGTTGAAACCAAAATACAAAATAAAGCCTTGCAACATGCGGCGGCAGATGAAGTTTGTTCGGTTTCAGATCAAAACAAAATCATAGGATATATCTCTATATATACAGTACCAGTCAATCAATCAATATCGTGTGCATTCAAATTCCACATCGTGCCTCAAACTGCAATTGCAATTGCGCGCCCCCTCTCTAAAAAAAATCGGAAACAGAAGTGCCAGTGACGTAATACTCCCTAAAAAACCCTGAAGAATCCCTCCCACAACCTGATCCTCCTCGATTGTGCAACAGAAACAAAGCCAATTTCCGTGTATGTGTACGATCGATGTGCCCAAGTGTGTGTGTGCCACAAGGATATTAAAATATGATTAACCAAGACAAAATTAAATAAAAATCCATCAGGAAAATCCATCATCGCATCGCGGCGAAAGCAGACTTCCTCGCCCGCAAATTGGATAATTTATTGGAATAATCTATTTGCCTCTAATTGGATAGCTAACCACCAGTTTTCGGATATATCACACGATCGGGGATTTAATGATTGGGAAACAGAAATTTATGACATCGTTTAGGCTTGTTTGTGTTTATATTCGTTTAGGCTATTCGGGGCTTATTAAGTACACGTGTCTAGCACTTGAATAACTAAATGCACAGCGATGAAATTTAATTGAATAGTTGCTTGTTTCTAGGCATTATGAAAGTCTGTCACTTACAAGACCAACAAGAGATGCTTATTTTAAATGAAACTTATAATAACTTTATGAATATTTGCCTAGATTTACTTTGACTATCTTACATAGAATCCCATAAATAAAACTCTTAGATAATATCTAATAAAAATAATTAAAATCACTATTTTCAAGATTACAAGTTTTGACTATAGACATCCATGATTTAGATTGTGAAAGCAAAGGACAATAAAATATTTGAAAAAAAATATCTATGAAGTTTAGAATTATGAAAGACGGATACATTTAACAAGGCTAAAATTTATAATTTATTGAGTTCTCAAATTCAAAGTATCTAATGTGAAAGTCAGCTTACTCTTGAAGGATAAGAAGTTCAATGTTTTGTGTACCATTTCTGTCTATATCTTTATCCGCTTATCATGCTCTAAAATTGAAGTTCTTAAAGTGAAGTCTACTGGCTATTGGTTATCCCGTTTGGCCAGCTTGTTTGGCATCCCATATAGGAAATAGTTTCCCCAATTAACAACCTCTTTTCTAGCCACTATGGCCAACTGTCAGTTGAAAGCTTTTCGCAATTTTTCATAGTGTTCCCAGTATCTGTTACTCGGTGCTTCTGGGTCCATTGTCTTTGTCGTTCTTCACCATCCTCCGTGGAGATCTTAGGAACCCGAATCTCTGGGCACAAAGCACGAGATGCTATGCCCTTTTCTTGTCCACAGTTTCTGGCCCCTTTGTTGCCGCTGCAGTTTTGTGTCTCTGTCCATTGTGGCAACTTATGATTATCAACAATTGTTATTGTTGTCGTTAGAAGCAGTTAGAGGCGGCAGTACGAGTACTTGCACCGACTTTTCAGTTCAGGCGAGTTCAGAGCAGAGCAAAGTCGGTCGTCGCCAGCACCACCCACTCTGCGCCTCCTTTTCCGCCTGCTTCAACTGCTCCCCTGCCTTTTAGTCGACTGTTTGCATTACCGTTAGTGGAACAACATTGCTAAGCACACACACACACTGGCGGGCACACATACTCGCACACTCCTTGTGTCGCCCCATAAGTGTGCCACCCCAGCAACAACAACAACTGGGCCTGCACGAAGAAAAATGTGTTCTTGGCTCCATTCCTGGGGTTACATTTTAGCAATTCAAGTATTTTTAATACTTCTTTAGACTGTTTCTTTTTAAACCAGATATCCTACATATAGAAATGTGTCCCTCAAGTCAAAAATCTCCTAATATTTATTGATTATCAGTGCGATGTATTAAAGTCCTATAAAGTCCTCACTTCTTGAAATGCAAAATTTTCATCTCATAAATCTTTGATGATCTATTTTTCAATTCACAATCTTAATCATAATGTTTTGGGATTTTAAGAATTAGAATCGGAGCTACGTATATGAAAGCCTGACTTATTCCATTACTAACCAAATGCAATGAATGTCATTTCTTAAACTGAAACACATGATATTGTCAGAACTTTGGAAAAGGTTTTGTTGGAGGAATGGGATTTTAAGAGATTACCAGATTGATGAGCATTTTGTAAGGCTTTTCTGGCCGTGTAGAAGCGGAAAACAGCCTAAGCAGAAGTCCCAGGCGGAAAAGTGGGGCCAGCGGCAGAGCCCACCCATAGGTCATTGGTCTTTTTCGTCGGCGTCAACGTACTGCGACGGCAACAGCAACAACACAGCAGCAGCAACAACAAAACAGCAGCAGCAGCAACAGCAACAGCCCGAGCAGCGCTGCAACTGCGACGCCGGCAGCGCTGCCTTGTAAACTTTGTCGTCTGCTTTGCTGTCGCTCTGTTGCTGTTGTAACTGTAACCGCCTTCGGCTTCTGCCGCCCCCCGGCCCCTCCTCCTTTCTCCGCTCTCTCTTTCTTTCTCTTTTGCTCTGCTTCATCATCGGCTTGACCGGCTCGTTAGCTTTAGTACCGTTAGTAAGTTCGTTGTCGCTGCGAGAGAATTTTTCATTTCCACTGTGGGGCTATTCATTTTCATTTTCTTTTCAGCGTTTTCTTTGCGCTTTGTCTATATGTAAATTTCTCGCTCGCTCTTCGTCTCCCTCTCTCTTCTTGCCCTCCCTCTCTGTTTCTGAGCTGGCACAATTTCAGTGTTGTTGCTGTCGCTTTGGTGACGTATTTTATATGTCTGCCAGAGGCTTCCGCATGGCCACCCAAAAGCCACCCCCAAACCACCAACAAAGTGATTACACTCCCCCTTCCCCAAAAAAAGAGGAGAGAGAAAGTAAAAATGTTTTTATATTCATTGGGTTTGCCGGCTCGTTTGTCGCTCGTTCTCTGTGTGTGTGTTTGAGCTTTGGGTCATAGAACTTTTTTCTATGTTTACCCACACACACACGGAGGAGCACACCCACTATGCTTGGCGACGAGATTTATGCGCTGCATTTCAGAGTTTTTCCCCATTAGCCCCCAGCACCCCGTCCACCCTAAAACCCCCACCGTCTGTCTGGGCACCCTTAAATCCCATTTCTCTATCGATTTTCCATGTTCATGTCCATATAGTCATCATCACCAAAGGGAGTTGCCAACCGAAAAAAGGGAGAGCTACGGGTTATACTTTGTGGTTTGGGGGTTCGGCACAGTTCCTGAATTGCGATGCCTGCATAGGGAAAATTTGTGAGGGACCGTAATGTACATGATATTATACCATTATTGGCTATATCTGTTGGCTTAAATATGTCATTAGCCATTTTGGACCGAGTTCGCAGCAAAATATATAACAAATAATATTTATTGAAATGTAATTTGGTTCTAAACTTTACGGTATTTCCTGTTTTTCAAAGGGGTCAGAATAAAGTGGTATCTTTTGGGCAAAGATCCAATTTGAAAAGTTATATGGATCTCATTATCAGTGCTTAAATAAAAATTGTAATATTTAAACCTATATAGTAAATCAAAAACAACGAAATCTTAAAAAAGAGCGCCACACACACTCGGGCATAAATATATCCAACGACCTTTGATTATAGACCAATCAAAGATCGTTCGATTTATGTATCGATTTCCCCACTTGCAGACATCATTCCCGTGCAATATGCTGAGTGCCATGATTTGGCCATGGCTGACAGTGCGTAGCAAAAGTATTTACATAACTGGCCAAACCATTTTGTACATCAAAGTGTTCAAGCTGAGGGCCTGATTAAAACATATTGAAAAACAGATGAACGTTTCCAAGGCAGCGACAGTTCGAATCGATGAGAAACAGATTGCGCCTAAATGTCTTCCGGAATTAATTGTCGTGAAATTTTCGTATTTTTGGAAATTTTGATTTGGAATCAAGCAAAACAGAGAAATCGACAAAACAATGAGCATAGCAACAACAAAAGTAGCAGCAGCAGCAACAACAATAAAGAAACCAGCAGCAGCAGCAACAACAACAACAGCAACAAGCAACACAATAAAAATCACAGTAACCGAAGAAGCAGCAGCAGCAACACCGCAGTGAAAGTGATAAAGCAGCAACAACAACAGCAGCAGCAGCAACAACAACCACTGCCCAAAGCAACCAAAAACAAAAACTACAATAGCAATAACAATAGCAGCAACAGCAACAATCTGCACATACTGCAAAAGGGTTAAAGTTGGTCGTTCGATTTAAATAGATATTATCAAATCATAGAAAATTGCTTTAAATAAACGATAACGATAGATAACTAAACAAGTTTAATACATACGCGAACAAGTGTCTTATTAAAAAATAGTTTAATAAACAAAAAACCAATAATTAAGCGGCAGCAACAACATATAACATCAGATCCAACAACATCAACAATTTAGTACCTACAGGCCTGACAACGTTAGATCATCATATACATACATATATATAGCAATATACAAAAACAAATATATATACATACATATATATCGATTGGCAAGCCCCCCCACACACCGCCCCCCGCCCCCGTCTCACAAATCACCCACACACACTGTGATAGTTCTTGATTCACACTGAATGCGAAAAGCGCTGAAAATTCATTCATAAAAGCATCTACGGACAAGCTTAACACAAGCCACAACACACAAGTAAAGACCAAGTGCAATAAGACGATTGGCTAATACAATTGGAACCGAAGGGCAGCTATATAAAGTATATATATCTATATATTAAATACTGTATACAACGTTTTACATATTTACAAAACCCGAAAAAATATTAACTAAAATACTAAGCGAAATTCGAATTCATTAAACTGCAAAAAGAGCAGCCAGATTGCGCATACGCCGCGTATGGCAGTCTGTGTGAGTGCCCGTGTTCATCAGCGGTTGCAACAACTGATACCAAGTGTACATAACTTTAACTATAACTATTTCACCAATCAACTGCAGCGGCAACACCAACAACAACAGCAAACGTTACAAACGTCACCAAAGCTTCGCATTTCCCATTAATAATTATGTATACGCAACGTATGTTTGACATGTGGAGCAGCGTCACTTCGAAACTGGAAGCACACGCAAACAACCTCGGTCAAAGCAACGTCCAATCACCAGCGGGACAAAACAACTCCAGCGGTTCCATCAAAGGTAAACCAAACTTACTTAAACTCATTAATTAAGTTAAAAATATCCCGAGAGGAAAAAATAGAAAGGAGCAACAATTAAAATACTACAATATTCCCAAATCTTATAGGACAAAAAAAAGATTAAAGATAAAATACAAATCTTTAATTAAACAAAGAAAATTATACTTTAAATTAGGCCAGCACTTAAATTAATTTCGGTATGGGCCAAATTGACTTTAGTTTTAATTTAAATAAGTATAAAACTTTCAAAAATTCAACAGGAAAATCTATAAGCAATGATTAAACACATCTAAAAACACGTTGATTTCGTTCATAAATTTTAACTAGGCATGAATTTTTACTAGACATGATAAAATAAATAAAAATAAATATACTTTGTCTTCATTTGTGATGTAAGACGTAAACAGTCTTATAGGTGGGTATTACTTTTAGATAAAACTAAAAGTAGTTTAATATTAAAAACCTAAGTCGAAGACTGTGCTTTAAAATATATATTTGTGTTATTTCCGCTATCGTACAGAATATATAAACTATTTTCAGACGCTGGTAAATTTATTTTAACAGTTTTGAGTCCTTTGGGAAGTTTATGACTTTTATGGGAATTAAATAGACATTCCGAAGACAGAAAGTGAAGTAAGCGACAAGTGTGAACTTTCATCCCACAAAAAGTAACAAGAGAATTGCACAAAACAGCAAAAGCAATATAAAGTATAAATTTAATGAAATCCAGTTAAGTTGCTGGTTTTATGTGGCAGACCAGAGTCACTCAGTCAGTCAGTCAGTTGGTCCCGAAATGAGTTGCTGCTCTTTTTCGCTGTTTTTGTATATTCGTTGGCTTGGCAGTGAAAGTCACTTGGGTTTCTCAACAACAGCAGCAGAAATTATTTAAGGGAAATCCATGAAATTCGTAAATGAAGAAAGACAGCCAAATGAATATTACGAAACCCACTTGCGTGTGTTTGCGTTTGTATGCGAGTGGCCTGTTGCCTTTTTGCATTGACAATTCAACTAATTCGAAAAGGCAATCAGAGAACAGGAAAGAGACGGCTACAGACCCTTTCTTCTTCGCTGCTGCCAAAGATACAAAGATACAAATTGTATATGTAACAGAGGCGTCGTAAAAAGCGTACAGCAGGAGATCATAATAAAATAAAATGAAAAAGAAACTTGCGAATTAAAATTCGCGCGTCAGTCATAAAAACATATATATATGCGATATTGTAATGCCAACAAAGTTTCAACAAGCCATATAAATATATTACTATGTGAGTATGACTTTCATGTTTGTTGGTATTAGTTAATTAGCTCATTTCATTGTATTTTACAGTTGTTGGCCAGATTTGTATTTCTTGCTCTTCACAATTGACTTTCTTGTATTATTGGCACTTTTTATTGGGCGAAAATAAGAAACTAAGCAGCTCGACAAAAAGGTCTTGATTAATATTTTTAAAAAATATTATAAAAGAAATATACTAGATTAATGTTTAAAAAAGTACCCTTATCTGAGAAATGAAATTATGTATTTACTCAACAATAACAATAATTCAATACTTTAAATGGATATTTATATATATATTTTAGGAATAATAATGAGAAATTATTGTTGAGAAACTGATACGAATTGCTTTATCTTTTTTAAATATTAAACTAAGTTGTAGATTTATGGAATATACGATTCAATCCTCTTTGGGACTTAAAGTTTGGGAGGCAGAACTAAATTAATTCGTATTTAATTGGGGTGCTTTGACCCCTTAGCGGGTCAGCTGCGAGTGCAATTAAGGTTTTAGTCGGGAACATGGAGTATATTATTTCTAACATAAATCTTAATCGCGGCAGCAATCTATCCCCTGGTTTTCGAAGTTGCGTGTAAGTAATTAAGGGAACTGCATGGGTGGCGAGGGGGTCTCTTTTTTTGACCGCTGGCCACTGTTACTTTTGGCATGCAATTTGCCTTACGACTTCCGCAAAATCAACTTTTATTTTATTATTGAAATTTTCACTTTTTCGCTGCTGCTACTGCGTTTCGCTGTTGTTTCTTCGCCTTTCCTTTTGTGAAACAGATAGAAACGTAGGCAAAGTGAAAGAAAGAAATTTTGCGGCGTAAACAGAAAGCGGCCAAAAACGAAATTTAAAAAGCGAAAGAGTTGACAACGTTGGCCCTTGGAAGGAGAAGGAGAAAGAGATAGGGACAGAGAGAGAGAGAGAGGGAAGTGGCAACAATAAAAAATATTCAAAAAAACCATACCGAAAAAGTTTTGTTATAGTGAAATGCTGCTGTTGCTTTAGCTGATTGTGTAGTCCGCTCACAGACACATGCGTACCAAATAAAACAAAATGAAATGTGTGGAAAAAAAGCGACCCATGCAGGCCCAAGCCCGAACCGGCACCACCCCTTTCCCCCAACGCCCCTGCGAGATAGTGCGAACGCCAGTTTAACACTCGAAACAAACGAAAAACCAAAAACTATGAAGCTACAAAATTTCTAACTGACTAAGCGAGTGTGCGTGGGGGCAGGAGCGTAGAAGGGGGCTTAAGAAGTCCAAATAAATATATTTACTGTATTATAATTGTTTCATCTTATTAAAAAACGTTGTGAAAAGGATACAAAAAATACTTAAGTTTTCAATGCTAAAAATTTTATAACAATGTAGTAATTTTGTTCAAAATACATACATTTTATCACACAAAAAAAAAATAAAAAAATAAACAATAGCAAACATTTTTTGTATTTTTAATATATATCTTAAGTGTCTATAACTTTAAGTAAGCAGATTAAAATCAAATTTCAATGATATTTCAACATTGTAAGAAAATTATATTCTAACATTAAACTAATTTAAAGTCTAATAACTCAGAATGTCTATTAAGACCATTTTTACTGAGGGGGCCAACCATACAAAAGCCCCCTGAAAACGCCCATGAGTATGAGTAGATGTTTTTCCGTGTATCTGTGTGAGAAGCGCCAAAGCACACATTCACACATGCACAATCATCATCGCCAGCGTCAACATAGTAAAAGTCTAAAATCGAGGAAAAAATTATTTTCGGCGGTCATTCAACTCGCACGCACTCACACTTACGCACTTTTTGATAGAGCAAATGGGGGAGAGAGTGGGACAGTGGCAGAGCCGGAGAGTGGGAGAACGGGAGAGAGTGCGTGAGAGCGGCGCGTTCGTTGACTGTTATGCGGGAGCGAGCGTCGACGTCGACAGCGACGCTGGCCGCGCTGCCCACGCCACGCACATTACAACACCCAAAACACAAAAAAAAAACACAACAAACAATGGGCCATACTTTCTATGGCTTTTTCCACTTCTCCCCCATTTCTATTTCTCTTTTCAAACAAACTAAAATTATTATTTATGCAGTCAAAGTTTGGAGCCATATAAACGAGCGAGAGGGAGAGAGAAAGAGGGAAATTCTATTGCCCACTTCTTTGTTTGACAATTATTGCGTGAATTTCCACTATTACGGCTTCTATCGCTCATGTAAATGCCGTATTAATTGCCCGGCGAAGAAAAGTCGCCGAACTTTTGACTTCCTTTCTGGGCGGCCGTTAACTTCTTCGATTAAGCACAGACGATAAAGACTTATAAATAGGATTTTAGTAGATTAATGATCAGTTAATGAAAAATTATTATAGAATATGTAGGAAATGCTATAGGAAGTCAGTAAAAATCTCTTTAAAATGGGAAGGAAAACATAAAATTGTATTTAAATCAGTCAATGGAAATACAGGAAAAGAAAACTCTTATTTTTTTAAATATCTTGTAATTTAAATCTGCTGATAAAGACTAAAAAATAGGATTTTACCAGATTTCATGAACAGTTAATGAAAACGTATTAAAGAATATGTAGGAAAAGCGGGAAGAAAGAAATCTTTAAGATAGGAAGGAAACCATAAAATTGTGTTTAAATTAGTAAACAGAAATGCAAGAAAAAAAAGAATAATTGGTTTTTAAATGTCTTGTAATACAAATCTGTTGATAAGTGTCCTATAAAATTATATTTAGTTCTAACTCGATACAAAAATCCAATATAAACCGAGGTTATTCACTATGATCAGTATTTC